TAAAGCTAGATCTGAGAAGAGCTTGGTTTAGTGTAAAATTCATCGATAAGAGTGCCATTCAAAACGTTTCACCCGTTCAAAAGACAAATAAAATGCTGACGACTTTGTTGCACAATGACATGATGGTGAGATAATTATGTATTCATTTCAAAACAACTGTAAATTATTTTCCTCCCCCAGGTTTTTAACTGCCCATGGTAGCTATTGCATATTGCCAGGGACATTGTTTAGGTCTCTATTATAGCTTACAGTCTTAGCATCATTCCTCAGAAAAGGGTTGCTTATGGATCAGGTGTAATGAATAAAACTATGGGAGAAGTGAATTCAAATTTGAGGAAGAAATAAACAATAACCTGAAGAAATAAAAAAAAAAAATTCAACTATTAAAAGGCAAGAATATACAAATATATACAGGCATGTAGTATCATTTGTATCAGCCAGAAAATTATTCTACACTTAATTGAAGAAAATGTTGACCCTACTTCCCAATACTCCCTGCCTGTTTTATGATAGGGATTATAATTTTAGGCATCAAGTAAATTTTAGAACAATGTCTACACATTCATATAACACATATTTAAAAAATGAAGATATATTGAAATATATTTTGATCAACATCACAAAATTTATATAACTGGCCCAAACTGGCAGATGATGAAATAAGCAATTAAATGTTCTACTTTCCTATTTGTAAGCATTATGTGTCCAGTGGTAAGGAGCCTATTAGGATAGCATAAAAAAAGAATGTAAAAATGTTAATAATTGATTTATCAAAATTTTTTTTTATTTTCTTCTCCTTCGGGACTTTTTTATTCTCATGTTCATAACTAAACCTAAACATAAAAAAAAATGCTGGCCTTAAAATGAAGAAAGGGGCCTCTTTCAAAATAGATAATTTCTCAGGGCTGCGGGGTCAGGGGTACCAGGGGGGTACTTTGACTAAAAATGAATTAATGCTTTGAAATCTGCCCTTTGATAAGCAATGGTGCCTCTTTCAAAATTTGTGAATTTCATGGCTTTTGGATTAAAACACGAACCAAATATAATCACTGGAAAGTTGTTACATGATACTCAGGTGACCTATAAGGCCCGAGGGCCTCTTGTTTATTTTAATAGTTATTTTATAAAAGTCTAAAAGAAAAAAAATAAAATATTTTTCCTACCTACCTACCCATTGCTAAAAATCTGGGTCGGCTAAGGGCAAACAAACAATATTTTAATTTAGGCCTTGATCATATTTATATGGAAGCATCCTCAGGTAGTGTAGATTCAAGTTTGTTCAAATCATGACCCCCAAGGGTAGGGCGGGGCTTAAATGGCTGACCAAATTTTTACATAGAAATGTATAGGAAAATTCTTTAAAAATCTTCTTCTCATGAATAGCAAAGCCATGATTGGTCTTTGGACTACTTTAGGATTTAAGCTTTTCAAGTATAAACCAATTCTGCTTATTCCTAGCCACAGTGCTCAGGTGAGCGATGTGGCCCATGGGCCTCTTGTTCTTAAGTGTTGTCAATGGTTCTGTAATTGGCTCGAGTTATTCATGAGTGTTGTCAACAGTTCTATGATTGGCTTGAGTTTTTTTTAAGTGTTGACAACCGTTCTGTGTTTGGTTAGAGTTATTCATGAGTATTTTCAACAGCTCGAGTTATTCATGAGTGTTGTCAACAGGTCTGAGATGGGCTCGAGTTAATCATGAGTGTTGTCTATGATTCTGTGATTGACTTTAGTTTTTCATGAGTGATGTCAACAGTTCTGTGATTGGCCTGATTTATTCTTGAGTGTTTTCAACAGTTCTGTGACTGTGTTGTTGCAGGTGAAAGTCAGAACCCTGACGGACATGTAGCCCTGCTGGACTACCGAGAGGACGGAATCACCCCCTACATGCTGTTCTTTAAGGATGGAATTAGAGCAGAAAAATACGTAAGAACAATGTTTATAATTGATCTTTCATTATAAAATCTGTTTCTCTTAACCATATTGAACTAGCCCTCAATTTCTGTGTTTGATATGTTGATGGAGGAATTTCACATTCCTAAGAGTTATCTCCCGTTTTCGGTGTAACACTCATTTTTTCCACTTTGTCCTTTGTAAGTTACCTGTTTATATTTTTGATCTTCAAACGTTTCAGAAAATTTCAATCTGATCCTCTATTGCCAGAAAATGGGGCAACATGAAAAACATAATGAACAATGAACACATTCATTCAGAATTATTTCTAAGATCTTGGCCCCTAAGGTTGGTAAGGTTATAGAGGGAAAATGGTGCCTTTCGCCGGTTGACCCCAAATTGATCCTACAAAGGGGAATAACTTTTGTAAATGTGAGTCGTCTACGGGGATATACCGTATAACGGGTAATTTTTACTGCTGTAAAGTTTTACGAATTTTGGTAAAAAAAAAGTGTGATTTTAATTTTTACGCATTAATTTTTTACGAATTGAACATGTCCGTTAAAATTAAAATCATCAGATGTAAAATTCCTGATCACTGATTGATAGCTCTTTGAATATGTTTACATACAAATGATGTGTCCGAAAACCCGACAAGAGAGAGAGAGAGAGAGAGAGAGAGAAAGATATTGAATTATAAAAAAAACAATGCAACAAATTACATAATGTGTAATTTTTTTTATCATTTACCTTTATATACACGAATCATGTACCTTTCATTTATTCATGTTTTGTAAAAGATATAGCTAGGCACACCACATGCTCGTCTGGATTTACCGAAAACAAGAGAGACAACTCAAACTATCATAATTGAAGTGAAAGTATACATTTACAGTGTATTAAGAAGTCAAAGTTTTATTCAAAGCACATGCATGAAACGGAAGAAAGTGTCAAAGATTAAAAACATGGGTATAATTGGAAGACCTGTAATTATTAAGTCATTATCAAAATTCATGTGTCTCGTAAAAATACTAATAAAAAAGAGTAGCCAGGTAGGTCTAACTGATTCATTAATTTACGATGTTTGTATAATTTATACAATTTAATTGAGATTTACCCGTATGATCCCAACTGATGATTGACTTAAAAGTGCTCTTAATAACAACAGTACACTAATTATATAGCCTCCAGGGAGTGAGCTTAACGACAATTAGCATTATTACTTTTACACATATGATGTTGAAAATTTTCAGGAGCCATTTTATAAATTATGTGGAATTGTACATGTTTAAATTTTACGGATTTATAAAACTCGTAAAAATTAGCACCACATAAAAAATACCCGTTATACAGTATTTTATATCTGAGCCAATACTTTGAAATTCATTCTGTAATTAACTTGATATATACCAAAAGTGAACTTTTTAAATATAAAGCAAATGAAATGTAAACAGGTAATTAAAAATTAAAATAATTCCCAACTGAACTTACCTCCTAACTGAAATACCTCTCTCCAATTAAAAATTAAGTTGATTATTTAAACAAAGAAGAAAAGATCTTAGATATCCAACAATTGGACATCCATCAATTTTTATCAATCTAACAACGTTCAAATCTGCATCAACATAAAAATAAAAGTTTTTGATTAAAGATTAGTTCGCGATTGAAGTACAATTGGTAAGAGAAAAATAGGACAATTCATTGGTCAGGTCAATTTAGGGGAACAGATATTTTAACGTTGGCCTCAACAACTTGTGTTTTCACCATCATACATAGTTTAGCCTTCAAATGATTGTAGTCAGAATATTCAGTTTCAATAAAAGCTTCTTAGAACATTCACAGGAATTTAGTTGAAAAAATGAGGTTCCTCAAAATCATTGAGGTTTCATTCCATTCCCAAGCCCTATCACTGAAATCAAAATATTACTTGAATTTTCAACAGAGGCTCTACAGAACTACATTGAAAAAAATTGTGTTCCTCAAAATCATTGTCGTTTCATCCCATCCACCCCTATGATGGGGTGAACAGCAGTTGATACTTAATCTAATAATTAAGCTATCTCATTTTGATAATTTTATACTATTTATACTAATAATGTATTTTTCTTTTCTTTCAGTGAACAAGTCTTCATAAAATTAATTCATTAAAAAGAATCAGAAACATCCAAAAAAGTGACATTCAGGACTTTCTACAAATATTGGGAAAAAAATTTACAACTATACTGGAATTCTTCAAACTTTGGACCTGAGCATTATTTCTGCTTGTTTCCCATTGTGAAATCACTCCTAGTCTCATGGTTATCGGGTACATGGCTTCGGCTTCTTATGCCAGTATTTATTTGTTGACACAGTAATACAATTATATGATGACAAGGCTACAGATACAACTGTGATACGTTAAATGGGACTGTTCTTAAATAACGCATGTTGTTTGGCTTGTGACAAAGCTGCAATATAATGTATATGATTATACAATAAAATTTTTAAAAAACAAAATAATTTTAGTCTTTAAGTTTCATGTATGCGAGTTAAAACATTTTGCTGTTTCTATGAAAATACAAATTAGGCTTTATTGTATTGGTAAGCAATAAACCTTGTCCGTCTGCATGTGTACCACAATTCCCTGTCATCCTTGGACTTTCAGTAAGGTGTGGCATTCTCAATGTTAGGTAGTTAATGTCTCTCAAATGGATATATAGATTCTCATTGGTAAAGAAATTAATAATGTCAGTGTCAGGAACTTCAAATCGTGGTTGACAACAAACAGATGACTGAAGCCCCACCCTTTGCCGTACAAAACGCTATCATTGGATCCTTGTTACACTTGACGTTCGCCCAAATTTCTATCCCATGTATATTTCAACAGCAAACGAAAGGCTGTGTAAATTTCAGCGCTAAATATGAAATGTCGAGAATTCCACGCCTTACTGAAAGTCCAAAACAGAATTGTACTAACTGTCTGTGCAGTACTAGCAAGACTATTAAACCACCAGCGTAGAGAAATATTTCAAGCGTTTGCATAATAGAAAGATGGAATTTGATAATCTGAAGCAATTATCGATCAGACAAGTTCTGTAAAGGAGAAAAGGTGTATACTTTGTTTCTGGTCCATCGCTTTCAAATGAAAATTATTGGAATAAGAAATACATCCTTTTACCTTAATTCGTGCAGTAAAATCTCAAGACCATTTTAGGTCTAAAAAAATACTAGTATGTAACTGCTCTGAAATGAAAAGAGTGAAACATGATGCCGGAATATAATGCCATAGGCCTTAAGAATGTATCGACAAAAATATAGGTCACAGTGACCTAAGTGTACTTTGTTTCATTTATGGCTAAACATTTTCAAAAATCGTTATTTATGGCTAAACATTTTCAAAAATCTTTTTTTTATTCCGATAGTAAGAGGTTTAGAATCGTCAAATCTTGTAAGTTGATACAATTTGGACCTTAAGTTCTATAAAAATGTAGGTCACATTGACCATTAATTTTTATAAGCCCGTCTTACGGGACGTATTATTCTGTAGCTTCATGTCTGTCAGCTTTTTTCGTGTCCTGCTCATAACTTACTATATAGGTCTAGAGTTATCAAACTTTGTCAGCTGATGCATCTTGGTTAGAAGGTTGTCGCGCACAAAAAGTAGGTCACTCTGACCTTTAATTAAGAAGTTATAGCCAAATATGGAAAAATCCTTTCTTTAGAAAACTATTAGACTTAGAATCATCAAACTTGGCCAGTTTACATGTATGCCTCTTAGGTAGAAGGTGTGTCGCAACCTATTTCAAGGTCACTGTGACCTTTTATTCAAGCGAGTTTTTTTTTAAAAATGTGTTTTTTACTATTTATTTACACATCCCAAAATGTAAGAGTATTGCATCACAATCCTTATTAAAAAAGTGTTAAATCAAGAAATACTTTTTTTTAGCATATACTTGGCAGCAATCTATAACAAATGTATGTTAGAGAAATTTCATTCCTCCCATGAGTGTAATTATCAAGCACTTTTAATGACAGACAATTGCATGTCAAATTAGAGAGAAACTACTAGTAATGATTTTAGTGTGAGGAGCTAACTGATAGAGCATCTGTGATCAAGCACGTGTTACTATAGATTGCAGTTAAGTGTGAAGTTTTTTTTGTTACGCCACGATCTAGTTTGACAACTGCGCTCAATGTAAATAAGACCGCGGAACATTAACTGGCAAAATTGGAAATATACAGCTTACGTCATTTCTATCTGTTACAATCAAAACATTCAGTGATAGACAGCGTAATGGGCGGGTACAATTCGACGCGGACGTTTGGAAAACATCGGATTGAAATTGCAGATCGAAATTCATTTTCAATCCACCTCAGCTACGCTAGAACCACATTACTGATTGACCCAAAAGACAGTATGATTTCAATTTTGGTACAGTTTGAATTTTTTTGTCCAGTGTTTTTAAAAAAATATTAAGGGACAAATATTTTATTTCTGTTTGGTAAATATATGTTTATGTTAGGGGCTTAACAATTTTAAATAAAGTTGTCCAACATTTTTCAGTGAGAATAAGTATAAAACTCATGCACTCTTATAATCCTAGAAATAAAATCTGTTGTCATGTTACATGTAAGTAATGACCTGACTCGACAATTTTTTACCTCCCCCCCCCACATTTAGAATCAAATATCTCCTGAAAAATAATCCTTGTCTTCTATGATCTTTCGCGTCCCTAAAATTATAAGCTAAAACTCGTATTAATGTGAACTTCAAACAATATGTATTCGGGAGTTGAAATTAGTTGATTTTTGGATCATATATTCACTCTTAGCTTTGAAAACAGTTCAGGTGGATTGAAAATGAATTTCGATCTGCAATTTCAATCCGATGTTTTCCACACGTCCGCGTCGAAGTGTAGCATAGCTGAGGTGGATTGAAAATGAATTTCGATCTGCAATTTCAATCCGATGTTTTCCGAACGTCCGCGTCGAATTGTACCCGCCCATTACGCTGTCTATCACTGAATGTTTTGATTGTAACAGATAGAAATGACGTAAGCTGTATATTTCCAATTTTGCCAGTTAATGTTCCGCGGTCTTAGTACACGCCTCCTAACCGCAAACTTTTATGAATTTTCTTCTAATCGCTGATTGGTTGCTCGTACAACAGATATTTCTGTGTCAATGTTGATAATACGAGTTGACCAATCAAGTGAATTGTTTACGCTGGATGCATCTGTCGGAAAAGATCGTGACGTAATGCAAAACTTCACACTGAACTGAAATTGATAGTATCTATATACCGGGGGTATTCCTATGGAATTGGGCAAATGTGTCAGCCTCTTGGATTAAAAATTAATAGCTCCTTGTTGGCTAGCCCAAGTTTTAAAATGAAATTGATGAAAAGTTATTAAAACTAATTTGATATTACATAATAAACTAATCTGATATTATATACTATTATCAATTTAAAAACTAATTTTATTGGGGAGGGGTTGAATCAACATGTCCATATGAAATGCATTATTAAACCTGTCTGATATTAAGTCTAAAAAAATCATGGAGTATTTTATATGCTTTAAAAATGTTTTAGGGTAGAAAGTGAAAATCCATCCAACTTTTGGTAGTAATGAGTAGACAAGTAGCCAGAGATTAATTAATGAGTTCACTGTAGGAAGGCTAGCTGTCTCAATCATTTTTTTAGAGCATCTCTGATCAAGCAGTCTTGTCTGTATCCTTTGGGGATTAGACAGAAGAACTGTTGTTCAATGATGTAATATTTGTTATAATTTGTCATTAATGCCTACACAACAGGGGATGGATGAACAAATATTTTAAGGAATGGAAAAATCACGGAATTCTTAGAATCAAGGTTGATTTGATTTTCTTGCACTCTAAACTGTTTGAGATAATTGTAATTTTTTGACGGGCGTATCATGCTGTGGTGTAGCCCTTTATTTAACTTATCAGGAATTTATTTCAAATTTTATAGGCATATTTTGGACAAAGCCGATGATCATAAAACTTGTCAATTTATGCATCCTAAGGCTGCAAAGTTTTCAACCAAAAAGTCGGTCACGGTAACCTACTTTTGATAATTTATGGCTATAGTTGAGCATTCCATCAATGCTATATCAGTAAATGCATCTTACGTTTTTGCAGTGTATCATGTCATTTGAAAAGCATTTTTGTTTGTGGCCTACTTTTGAAATATGGTTATATTATTGTAAATATTTCAGATACTAAATGGCTTATAATCATAAAACATTTGCAGTTAATGCCTCTTGGATTCTGAAGTGTGAAGTAGGTAGCAGTGACTTACTTTTGGAATCTTATGGCTTTAAAGTAGCAAAATACTTCAGATACTAATTACCAGGTAATTGACTTAGAATCATCAATCTTTGTCAGTTAACGCATCTTGGATCCTTGAAGTACTAGTATGTCAATGGAAAATTATAGAGCTATACGTATTCTAAATTTCAAATGCTAATTGACTGGCTTTGAATCATCAGTCTTTTTTTTCTTTTTTAAAAAAAATCTTGCATTTGTATTTGAAAAATGAGAGCAATAAAGAATTATAAAAAATTAAACTCCTTGAAATTAATACAACTAGATGGACATTTATATATTTAAAACATCGAGATCTATGGAAGATCTCTCTCTCTCTCTCTCTCTCTCTCTCCCCCATACACATACACTTATTTTAACAATATTTATTTAACTTACGGCAAAGACAATTAAATCAAATATTGTTCTTATGTGTTTCTGTCTGTAATATACAATGAAAGGGTTTTTGATTGCCTTTCTATTTATATCCACTGGAAATGACATTGAAAAATCAAATCCATGTTGATTGTCACAATATTAAACTACATATAAACTCTCAGTCAGCTAGAATACAGTGAATTAACCTTATTATATACAATCTAGCTAGTTAAAAAAAACAGAAATATTTACGTTTTAGATTTTCTCAGTTAGATCAGTTCTAAAAAAATAAAGTGATCTTCATTCTAATAATTATTATTTTAAAATACCCTGGTAATTGGATCCTCCACTTTAAGAAAGTTTGAACGACAGTTTTAAAAAATTCACTTGACCTACTTTAATATCTTTGCAACCAATGGCGAAACGCCTTGCGGATAAAACGTTTAAGAGACTCCATACACGTACATATGTGAAATAAAAAAATCACTTCCTTGTTTAAAAGTAATCCGAAAGTATGAATTATACCGTACTAAATCCTGATATGGTACTACCTACTGCGAAAGTGTAACGATTACAAATTCTGGACTGTGCAAGGTGACACACCAAGAGCTGACTGATTTATTGTAAGTGTATATTTATTATTGAGCACACTACTTATGACGTCTCTTGTTTACATTCCCAATATTTTATTTACAGTCTTTCTAAATGTAATTATTGTTAAAGTAGGCTGTCCCCCTGCTTACAAGAGGTCAATTAGGGTTACTAATCTTTAATGTATCATTTCAGTGACAGGTCATAAGTAAAATCTGGCTGTAAGGTCACCAGTGTTCAAAGTGCAATGGCCTCTACCTCCCGGGGGGGGGGGGGGTGGCGCGGGGACTATACTGATAACGAAAATATCACAATATTTTCTTTTCTTTCTTCACATCTCATCAAGGTCCCCATTCCCCATTTAACACCCATATTTACTTTGTTTAAACATAGTGCAATCGATCCCTCTGTATATTAATAATATCTGAAAAATAAAAAGCAATGAATGTCCAACATGTACAACTGTCAGTACACTAAACATGCTGCATAAAAAAGTCTCCAAGTAGCCTCTTGTCTCTGTTTTATTTTCTATCCTCTTTTGGTTCCTCCCCCTTTCTATATTTATTCTTTCATTTCCTTCTTCATTTCCATTTCTGTCTCTAATTAAATCACTGCTTTTGACTGATATTTGTCTCTGACTCTCTAGCTGTATTTCTTTCCGTCTTTGACTGTCTGTCTCTCTGTTTCTCTCTCTGTCTGCATTTCCTTCTGCCTCTATCTGTGTGTCTGTCTGTCTCTGACTCTCTGTCTGTATTTCTCTCTGTATTTATTTCTGCCTCTATCTGTGTGTCTGTCTGTCTGTATCTATCTCTGTCTGTATTTCTCTCTGTATTTATTTCTGCCTCTATCTGTCTGTCTGTATCTGTCTCTCTCTGTATTTATTTCTGCCTCTATCTGTCTGTCTGTCTGTACAGTATGTACAACTGTATATATCTATCTATGTCTGTCTCTGTTTCTCAGGTTATGTCTCTGTCTTTTTTACTGTCTCTGAATCACTGCTTTTGACTGTCTGTCTGTTTCTGACTCTCTGTCTGTATCTCTCTCTGTCTGTATTTATTTCTACCTCTATCTGTGTGTCTGTCTGTCTGTATCTATATATCTATCTCTGTCTCTCTCTGTATCTCTCTCTCTGTATTTATTTCTGCCTCTATCTGTTTTATCTCTTTTTTATGAATTCTTTTCAAATTTACGTACTTTCATTTAAGAATAAAACGAAAAACAAACTTCCAAAAGGTGTAGGCTAACATATACCTGAGACTCCCAAACTCAAGAAAAATCCAAGGTATGGAGACTGCATTTCTTCATTATTATAAAAAAATTAAAACTGGTGAATTAACTTTAAGGAAATAATTTCCAAGTATATTTCTTTGCCTTTTTTCACTGACTTCTAATCGACTGATAAACTCGACCACACTGCATGATAATACAATAACAATTGAAAGTATGATACACTGTTTTTTAAAACATTCAATAAATTGAGGGAAAAATATGTGAAAAGTCAACATATTCTTTTCGAAGCAAATAAAATGTCAAGGTAGATGACGGTTTCACTGAACTAACCATGAAAAGATGTATACAATATACAGCGGTTGTTGAAACATTGCTAAGAAAGTTGGAATTCACTTTTTTCAAATTATATTCTGTGATTTGGATAAAGATAAGAACCCTTAAAGTGTACATGAAAGAAACATCTATCAGTGACAAATGCTATCTCTTGTTTTATTTAAAATTCCAAATACATTAGACAATCTGGTTAAAATATCAGCTGTTCTGATACGTACATATACTACATACTTCCTATCGGAAATCGTTTGTAAGCGGTAGCGTATCAGAACAGCTGATTTTAATCGCATTGATAAAGTGGAGGATTTGAATGGTTTGTGATAAGCATGATGTTTTCAAATATTAAAAAAATATACAAAAAGATAACAAGTGTTTTATCTAGACAATGAAGAGTGAACCTTTGATAAAACGTGAACGATTTTCTCTCATGAGTAGATTGCTATAATTTTGATTTTGCGTTATAGAATGTATTTTATGTAGATGTATTTAAATTTTGTGAATATGATATCTCGAGTGGATTATGTTTTTAATAAATAACTCTATATAACCTTAAATTACATAATTTCAACTCTCGTATAAAGAAGGCTGAAAAATATATAGTGCTAAGAATAACCATATCTGTCTTTCCCTGAACACGAGTAAATTGTTTTACATATATTCTATTATATAATCATATTCTATTATATATCTATTCAATATCTATGGCTTATCTATATCTATTCTATCCCTATTCTATTTCTATACCTATTCTGTACATGTACTATACCTATTCTATATCCTTCATTATTCTATATCTATTCTTCTATCTATATCTATATCTATTATATATATATATATATATATATATATTTATTATATATATATATATATATATATTATATATATATATATATATATACTATATCTAGATTTTATATATATATATATATATATATATATATATATATATATATATATATATATATATATATATATATATATATATATATATATATATATATATATATATAACTGGTATTTTCTGCGGTTTTTTAATTTTTGCGGATAGAATAAATTCGCAAAAATTACAATCGCAAAATATTTTTAATATGACTTAAGGTATTTTATACATGCAAGTATGATAAGTGGTGTGTCTGCAGACTCACGCATGGTCCTGTCTTCGTTTGCGAGAAAATTCGGGTGACATCGAAACTCCGATAGCTGCAAACAAAATATGACAGCTTTTCTTTCTTTCTTATTTTCCACTTTTCAATTTTGTGTTTTGTCTTGAGACCGTGATTACTGCTTGTGTTTACAACATGGTTTGTCTCGTAAATTTCATTCAAATCAGACGTCTGACAGTATTAGTTACACCTCAATGCGCATGACACGTGTGATTGTTTAAGTTTAGAATGAAACTCCCGAATTAATTTTGATGGCAATTAATTTTAAGTGCATTTTAGATTATGGCTTGGGGGTATTTATTATCATTATCTATATACTTTTTAAAATTATTTTGATAGATCATATTAATGAACGACTGCGGTGTTAGAATAAAGATTTTAAATTATTGTTTGGGTGGACAAGTTCTGTTACTACAATAATTAATTCCAGGACTAGGCATAATTTTACAAAGAGTGACTAAAAGCTAGTAGTTTAATAGCGCAATGCCTGTTCTCATGCACGTTTCATTCATGTGCCTGAATGAATTGACAAAAAACGTAGTAATTGCAGTGTTCAAATAAATCTTAGAGTTTGATGATCCTATACACCCCGTAAATATTTTTTTTGCGGTAAAGTGCAACCGCAGAAATTGAAAACGCAGAAATTACTTTGCTACCTTTTAGGGGTTAAATCGCAAAAAATTCCAACCGCAGAAAATACCCGTTATACGCACGGGCACTGGAAGTTGATATAAATATATAGTAAGTGTATGTATAAAAAAAGAAGGGTAGGACACTCTTTTTTAGGCAAATTCGGGTTTGGGGTATTGTAGGCCTTTCTCAGACAACTTGACGCGATTAATCGTTCGCATATAACACTTTAAATATATTTACTGTTTCGTTCCGCTTCAATGCCCTCCCTTCGAAGAAAAAGATGTTTTTATACCTCCAAGTGCCTAAGAATTTCGCTAGACTGCCTTACATCCGGTTTATCCAAACTGAATAGAAAGGTAAGTTCTGATTGGTCAACAATAAAATAAAATTTAGACAGATGGATATACATGAAGCAAAAAACAATTTATTTGTCATGGTATATTCAACGTTTGTTGAAGAGTTAGTTGCAGTTAATATATTTTAGCCTTTTCACAAATAATTTCTAGGAATAATGAAGAATATTAGTATAGTATATAAAAAATATGTGTATGACATTGACCAATCAGAACTTAGCTTTCTATTCAGTTTGGATAAAGCGGAAGTAAGGCAGTCTAGCGAAATTCTTAGGCACTTGGGGGTATAAAAACATCTTTTTCTTCGAAGGGAGGACATTGAAGCGGAACGAAACAGTAAATATATTTAAAGTAAGTTACATCTGAACGATTAATCGCGTCAAGTTTTCTGAGAAAGGCCTACAACACCCCAAACCCGAATTTGCCTCAAAAAGAGTGTCCTACCCTTCTTTCTTTATACATACACTTACTATATATTTACATTAACTTCCAGTGCCCGTGGTTATACGGTATATATATATATATATATATATATATATATATATATATATATATATATATATATATATATATATATATATATATATATATATATATATTTGAAGAACAAATACAAAATCAGTCCACAACAAGCACAAAGATGTTATAAAAACCAAAAACAAATTGTGAAAGCCCCAACTATTTAAATATCCAAAATCGCATTTTATAACATCGTGAAACATGAATGGAGGTTTGTGATAACCCTATCTCCTTCTCTTCAAAGTTCGAAGCATACTACAAAAATGTGGCATAAAACCTGCATATACCAAGTACTTCCCTGTATTCTAGTCTGACAAGCATGTACATGTATGCATACACTCGAATGAAGTTCTCTTCATATTTATATGCATAACTTAAAAATAAAAGCAATACACATGCCTTATGTATAAGCTAGAATGAGTAATTTAATTGGATATTTTTCTTAAGAGGAATGCTCTCGACAATTTCCTCTTTCTGTTAGGGCCGTACGAAAAAGATAGCATTTCCTTCAAAAAGTTGTCAAACGGAAAGAAGAATTCTAATTGAAACTATAGGTTCTGTGAGCAATGAGCTCACTAAATGATACATCCGCCTCCCATATGTATAAAATGGCAGTGTCTATGTTTTGCTATGGTAAACCCAAAATCTTTGTCGGATCAAATAGTAAAATGGGAGATGGACAATGGCAATATGTAATAAAGATTATGTGAAAGTTTCTTCAAATATCATTCAGTGGAATGAGAGGAGTTTCAGATAAGAGATTGGTACCCCAAAGCGTAACAGACAGACGGCCGGCCGGACGGACATACCAATTTCTGTATACCCTCAAGCTTTTCAACCGGGGGGTATAACAAAACAATCAAGTCCCTTCCTTCCTGTATGAATATTAAATCAAACAAAAATTTCATATCAAAAGCAGAGGAAAAAAACTATTCTCCAAAAAGTGGATGGGCGGGGTTGTGGGGAAGGGGGGGGGGGGCACCACCCTTGCTACTATTCACTATTTTGCATTGATTTTCGTCAATTATGAACAAGACAAGTATTATATAAGGAAATAAAAAAAAAAATGAAAACAATTACGCATACAACATGTAGATTGTCAGGATCTCTGTAAAAACAGAAAATTATAATGTTAATTCAAAGTGCAAGTAAGTTAACCAATGGGCACTTCACAGTTAAAATTATCGTATACATATACATTATTTTATTTGAATTAACTAAAGCCCTTGAAAAAGTAATACAACACATCCGACAAGAAAAAAAAGTAAATGTAGGTCAACGGATGTTCCTTTTAAAATTTTCTGTGTTACAAATCTTTTTCTCTGAAATGCTTTATACAGTCCCAGACCCACAAGCTTCCGTTCCTCCAACGGACAGAAATACCGTCACTGTCTGAAGTGACTAAACTGTGTCAAATCTCGATGTTTAGTATGATATTATGAATAATGCAGTAAATGTAGTTACGCAAGTATTTAATTTATAGTTTAATAGATCAATTGAAGAGCCCCTAATTACTAAAACCCAGGAAATTTTCCTATTATCCTCGCAAAAAAATCACTTCTTAAATAAGCATGTTAAATTTTTTTTTTTTTTATAAAAATGTTATCTACCAAGAAGCGTATATGAAAAATGGGCTTCTTAATATAAATCGCCGAGAACTCATTTAAGATATGATTTTTGATATGTGGAAAGTTTTCAGATGGATTCAGAAATTAAAAAAGTAAATTAACATGCAGGAAATATTTAACTTATGCAGTCTTACTGGTCGATTGTTTGTGGGGAAAGCAAAATATATTGATGCTGTGTTTAAAATGATATAAAAACGCCAGATTGACACGGAAAGACATTGTCAGGACACTAAACATTTATACCTCACATTTTTTTTTATTGAATTCTGACAAAGAAAATGAATACGAGACTAATATTTCTATCAGATACCTATCTATTGCCTTAAGTTCTTACAAATGCCCAAGAGAAAACACACGTTGAATGTGGATCCGATCTTTTTATTAACATTTTTAAAATCAAAAATACAAGATTTCAATTTAATATTTAGCTCTTTGGATGAGAAAACTTGGAATGCACTCTCTATCATCGAAAAGGAATATCAATAAAGTATATGGAATTGTAAACAAAGCTGTCTTTTTATCAATTTTAACGAGGCGCAAGGGCTTCAAACATGTTTCAGTAGTTTTCCTTTTTTAAGAGGTTTAGTTAATCGTGAACATACATCGTGTGAGGGACCGTTAATGGTTACTTTTATGTTCAAATAGCAATAACGAAATTTAAACACAATCAAAGAATTCCAAAGAAGTCCAAATAGCGGTCGCAAGGGTCTTTTCATTTCCTGTACGTGACAAAGCTAACAAAGAGTAATAAATTAGATTTTGAAATAATGAAGAGAGGAAAGCTTACATAGCTTTTCTTTCACACAAGAAAACAAAAGAACATTGTACAATATCAGCACAGGCACCTGGCGTACGTTACTTATTTTTCTTTTAGTTGAAAAAAAAACTAGAACTGTCCAAACGGGACAAAATACCCCCCGCTGGGTTTTTCAGAAGTAAATTTTTCCATAATAAAGATATGTATCAGACACGAATTATGAAATTTTTTCTTCCAGTGACCTTGAACTTCCCAAAATGACCTTGGGTCAAGGTCATGAAACATTCTTGGGTCATGGGCAATCTTTGAGAGAAATGAGAACTTACCAAGTTTATCCATAAGAAAGATATGGACCGGACACAAATTATGAAATTTTTCTTCCAGTGACCTTGAACTTCCCAAAATGACCTTGGGTCAAGGTTATGACACACCCTTCGGTCATGGGCAATCTTTGTGTGAAATGAGAACCTACCAAGTTTATCCATAAGAAAGATATGGACTGGACACAAATTATGAAATTTTTCTTCCAGTGACCTTGAACTTCCCAAAATGACCTTGTGTCAAGGTCATGACACATCCATGCATCATGGGCAATCTTTGTGTGAAATAAGAACCTACCAAGTTTATCCATAAGAAAGATATGGACCAGACACGAATTATGAAATTTTTTCTTCCAGTGACCTTGAACTTCCCCAAATGACCTTGGGTCAAGGTCATGACACACCCTTGGGTCATGGGCAATCTTTGTGTGAAATGAGAACCTACCAAGTTTATCCATAAAAGATATGTCTCAAACATGAATTTTGAAATTTTTCTTCCAGTAACCTTGAACTTCCCCAAATGACCTTGTGTCAAGGTCATGACACACCCTTGGGTCGTGGGCAATCTTTGTGTGTAAAGAGAACCTACCAAGTTTATCCATAAGAAAGATATGGACCGGACACGAATTATGAAATTTTTCTTCCAGTGACCTTGAACTTCCCCTAATGACCTTGGGTCATGGTCATGACACACCCTTAGGTCATGGGCAATCTTAGTGTGGAGTAGTAGATTCTAATGTCCCTCTGTAGGAAAGATATGGACCGGACACGATTGCACAGACAGACGGACAGACAGCTAGACGGACAGACGGACAGACAGACAGACAGACAGACGGACAAGGTGATTCCTATATACCCCCCCAAACTTCGTTTGCGGGGGGTATAAAAACCATCTACCTATATATAATACAAAGAAAAATAAGTTACGTCAGGTGCCTGTGAATATCAGATATGTATTAAGCTTGGGAAGTGACATTCATCATCAATCTCTTTGGGGTACCCCTAAAGATGAGCAATCATACATTTCCAATCGGAACATCACTCGGCCTTTTCCGTCAGGTCGAGAAAAAACTTGACGAAAAAGGCCGAGTGATGTTCCGATTGCATACCTTTCTAGATCTGTTCCTCGCAGCAAATTTTAATTTGATTTAGTTACTGCGATGGGGTTTAGGTTAAGATGTTTTACAATAAAGACCCCTTCCTACTTTTAACTTTTTAAATTTCTTTTGCAGGTAATTTATATATCAAGAATGTGAAGAAAGGAACAAAAATGTCGGACGGAAAAATTCCTCAACCTTTAGATAATATAGGTAATATATGGATTCTTTAACATATTACGAAATAAAAAAACGATAGAGAAATCGGAGAGATAACAGATTTTCTGAAAGAAGTCAATTTGAATTGTATATTTTATCATATGTAATAACCCTTTCTAAATTCATCAAAATAAACAGTCATATCATATCACTTCTTAATTTTACTAATCTTGCATTTTTTAGCTCACCTGAGCCAAAGGCTCAAGTGAGCTTTTCTGATCACAATTTGTCCGTTGTCTGTCGTCGTTGTCGTTGTCGTCGTTGTCGTAGTCGTCGTTGTAAACTTTTCACATTTTCATCTTCTTCTCAAGAACCACTGGGCCAATTTCAACCAAACTTAATACAAAGTATCCTTGGGTGAAGGGGATTCAAGTTTGTTCAAATGAAGGGCCAGGCCCTTTTCCAAGGGGAGATAATTATGAATTAGAGAAAAATTAATGGCATTTTCAAAAAATCTTCTTCTCAAGAACCACTGGGCCAGGAAAAATGAAACTCATGTGGAATCATCCTCAGGTAGTGTAGATTCAAGTTTGTTCAAATCATGACCCCAGGGGGTAGGGTGGGGCCAAAATGGCCGATCAAATTTTTACATAGGAATATATAGAAAAAATCTTTAAAAATCTTCTTCTCAAAGAACCACTGAGCCAGGAAAGTTGAAACTCATGTGGGATCATCCTCAGGTAGTGTAGATTCAAATTTGTTCAAATCATGACCCCCGGGGGTAGGGTGGGGCCAAAATGGCCGATCAAAGTTTTACATAGGAATATATAGGAAAAATCTTTAAAAATCTTCTTCTCAAGAACCACTGGGCCAGGAAAAATGAAACTCATGTGGGATCATTCTCAGGTAGTGTAGATTCAAATTTGTTCAAATCATGACCCCCCCCCCCCGGAGTAGGGTGTGGCCTAAATGGCCGATCAAAGTTTTACATAGGAATATATAGAAAAAAATCTTAAAAATCATCTTCTCAAGAACCACTGGGCCAGGAAAGATGAAACTCATATGGGATCATCCTCAGGTAGTGTAGATTTAAATTTGTTCAAATCATGACCCCAGGGGGTAGGGCGGGCCACAATGGATGATCAAAGTTTTACATTGGAATATATACGAAAAATCTTTGTAAATCTTCTTCTCAAGTACCACTGGGCCAGGAAAGATGAAACTCATATGGGATCATCCTCAGGTAGTGTAGATTCAATTTTGTTCAAATCATGACCCCTGGGGCTAGGGTGGGGCCAAAATGGCCGACCAATGTTTTACATAGGAATATAAAGAGAAAATCTTAAAAAATCTTCTTCTCAAAGAACCACTGGGCCAGGAAAGATGAAACTCACGTGGGATCATCCTCAGGTAGTGTAGATTCAAGTTTGTTCAAATCTTGACCCCTGGGGCTAGGGTGGGGCCAAAATGGCCGATCAAAGTTTTACATAGGAATATAAAGAGAAAATCTTAAAAAATCTTCTTCTCAAAGAACCACTGGGCCAGGAAAGATGAAACTCACGTGGGATCATCCTCAGGTAGTGTAGATTCAAGTTTGTTCAAATCTTGACCCCCGGGGGTAGGGTGGGGCCAAAATGGCCGATCAAAGTTTAACATAGGAATATATAGGAAAAATCTTTAAAAATTTTCTACTCAAGAACCACTGGGCCAGGAAAGATGAAACTCATGTGGAATCATCTTCAGGTAGTGTAGATTCAAATTTGTTCAAATCATGACCCCCCGGGGGTAGGGTGGGGCCAAAATGGCCGAGCAAAGTTTTACATAGGAATATATAGGAAAAATCTTAAAAAATCTTCTTCTCAAGAACCTTTGGGTCAGGAAAGATGAAACTCATGTGGAATCATCCTCAGGTAGTGTAGATTCAAGTTTGTTCAAATCATGACCCCCTGGGGAGGGTGTAAAATTCAAGCCCCCCCCCTAGTTTACTTTCAGTTCTGATCTGATCTGTGTTTTTTCATAGCCAATTGCTCAGGTGAGCGATGTGGCCCCTGGGCCTCTTGTTTTTTAAAATTCTTAATGAAAACACGACGAATTAAACTGAAAATTATAAATTAGTAAGAGAAATATGTACCTAATGGTTTGGAGACTAAAAGAAGTCACGGTGGATACCCAATCCCTTTTCCTTCAAGCCGAGACTTGACGGAAAAGGCCGAGTGATGTTCCGATTGGATGGATACCATAAATGTATTTGTGATTTTTTTTAAAGGTTGTCAGGATCTTTTATTGGAGGACTACAGTCACAGTGGTTGGTTAAGAAAGCAGAGCTTTATTAGCAGATTAGGAAAATTTAGATGTGAGCCCCCCTCTTTCTCTCTACTTTACATTTATAATATTATCTGTTATCAAAATACACAGTATTAATTCTATAATTTAGATAAAAAAAATTATATTTCACCATAAATGCATTTATTTAAAAAAATCATAAGCCTTGACTAACTCCTTTTACAGGGCCCCAGATTTACATGGTTCTCAGTGGAGGTTGTATTTATTATTTTAAAAATGAATACAGTACCCGACCGGCGGGGAAGTTCACCCTTTATGGGTATAACACGTACGTAACTTTAAAGCTAATTAACATTCTATGGGTATCTTACGTACGTAACTCTAAAGTTAATTTACATTCTATGGCCATAACATGTTCGTAAAACTAATTCACATTCTATGGGTATAATACCTACGTAACTTTAAAGTTAATTTACATTCTATGGGTATAATACGTACGTAGCTTTAAAGTTATTTACATTCTATGGTTATAACACGAGCAAAAGCTTATTTACATTCTATGGATATAACATGTTCGTTACTTTAAAGCTAATTTACATTGTATAGGTATAATACGTATGTAACTTTAAAGTTTATTTACATTGTATTGGTATAACACGTATGTAAAGCTTATTTATATTTTATGGGTATTACATGTACGTAACTTTAAGGATAACTTCATTCTTTTGGTATAACACATATGTAAAGCTAATTTACATTATATTGGTATAACACGTACATGAACTAACTTACATTCTATGTGTATTACATGTTCGTAACTTTAAAGATAATTTACTTTCCATGGGTATAATACGTTATAAAGCTTTACATTCCATGGGTAAAGCACGTACGTAACTTTAAAGCTCATTTACATTCTATGGCTATGGCTATTATGGCTATGGCTAATTAACATATTATTGGTATAACACGTACGTAAAGCTCATTTACATTCTATGGGTATTACACTTACGTAAATTTAAAGTTAATTTACATTCTATGGATATAACACATACGTAAAGCTTAATATTTACATTCTCTGGGTATTACATGTACGTAACTTTAAAGATAGTTTAAATTCCATGGGTATAACACATATGTAAAGCTTTACATTCCATGGCTATTACACCTACGTAACTTTAAAGCTCATTTACATTCTATGGGTATAACATGTATGTAAAGCTAATTTACATTCTATGGGTATAACACGTACGTGAAGCTTATTACATTCTGTAGGTATAACACGTATGTAATTTTAAAGCTAATTTTCATTCTATGGTTATAATACGTATGTAACTTTAAAGCTAATTTAACTCTATGGGTATAACACGTACGTTACTTTAAAGTTAATTTACATTCTATGGGTATAATACGTACGTAACTTTAAAGTTTATTTACATTCTATGGTTATGAAATGTGCGTAACTTTAAAGTTAATTTACATTCTATGTGTATATCCCGTACGAAAAGCTAATTTACATTTTATGGTATTACACGTACGTAACTTTAGAGTCAATTTACATTCTCTAGGTATAACACGTAGGTAAAGCTTTACATTCTATGGATATAAAACGTACTTTTAAGCTCATTTACATTCTATGGGTATAACATGTATGTAAAGCTAATTTAATCCTATGGGTATAACACGTACGTGAAGCTTATTTGCATTCTATGGGTATAACACGTAAGTAGGACCTTTGAAAAAGTATTCATTCTATGAATATTAACGCTAAGTATGAAGTTAATCTACTTGCATGTAATGGATTAAACTCGTAAGCAAGGTGTTATTTTTTTTAGTAAACATAGTCGTCGGAACTGGGGAGGGGGTTAGGAGGTGTGGGTTAGCCCGCTCTCACATTTTTGTAAAGATAAGAAATAATATAGGCATTAAAAAAATGGGGTTTAGCTTTTCTTTGATTGGTTTAGCCCTCCTCCCCACTTTCAGCCCCCCCCCCCCCCCGCTTTCAATTTGCTTCCGACGCCCATGATATAGTTTTACTACATGTAGTACTTTGATGAACTTAACAATACATTGTACAGCAGTTTGATTTACAGAATACTCTCTCTAAATGAAAACTGCAAGTTTTATTATATATTATATAAATGATAAACATTTAAACTTGAGGAAACATTTCAAAAATAACTCTAAAAAAGATTATCTCTGAAAAAAATGCGCTTAAATTTTATATGTACAAAAAGTGATATTATTATTCAACTTCTCTAACGCAATTAACCACCTATTGATAAAACATATGGAGATGACGAACAGTCAGATCAAAAGTCCACAAAACAATACAAAAATAGGATCAGAGTAAACACGGACCTCTTAAACATCAGAGGTGTGATCAGGTGCCATGGAGGAGTAAGCATCCCCTGCCAACTGGTTACACCCGCCGAGTGCACCTTGTCATGATCAGGAAATAACAGGAAAATCCGTCGTCAATTCAGTGTATTATCAACTAAATGGACTTTCAGTTTAGTATGAATAACTTCAGTCAGCATTTGACTCAATGATAAATTGTATTTGATATATTAGTGCCATGTTCGCTAGCCAAGGGTTTCTGATACGCCACTCTCCATGAGGAGAGCAACGTATCAGAAACCCTCACCTAGCAAAGATGTATTAGTACACACTTTCTCTTTTCTATGTAAGTGTAGTGCATGCATTTGTATTTCAGAGTTGCCCGAGCCCAAGAGAAAATCTCACCCAAAGTGGCCCCCTTCGCCTTCAAAGTTGTTCATGCCGACCCAGAGTATAAAACTTACTATTTCGCTGCTGGTTCGGAAAAAGAAATGAAGGCAAGTTAAATGACACAGAGGGAATTCTATTTATTAAGGATTTCCGATCCTCAGCCAGGAAGGATAACTCCAAAAATTAAATATTTAATTCGAAATGCACCAAAATGAAGCTTGAAAATGAAATTTTTTCATCTTTATAAGATTCAAGGTCTTTGAATGTCTTAGAAAAGGTCTTATAAAAGTTTACATTTGTACCCTATAAAAGGAGAAAAAATTAATAATTTTTTGAAGAAATTATTTTTTCTTGAATCCAGCCTTAGATACCAATGCTTATATGCATGAAATGAAATGAGAAGTGATTTGTGGTGTCTTGCTATGATAGCAAAAGCCTTTCACACTATGTATTATACAATTCACGATGGAAATAGAAGACAAAAATAAAAAATAAGTATAAAAATCATGACAATTTCTATGAATGTCTGGATACCTATCGTTTTTTAATCTAAAATATATTTGATGATCAATTTGCAATTAGAAAATGCATTGTTGATATTCGAATTTTTCTGCAAAAATATTTGAGATTTGACAATTTTCCCTATATAATATGATAAACTTTAATATTTAACTTTAAAGAAATACTGTGGATAAATTTACTTTACTTTGTGGATTCAGAGATACTTTAATGAGTATTTTTGATTACTTAATTGCTAATTTTATGTATTCGAGGATTGGACTACCTTAATCCGCATCAAAACAATCTTACGTGCTGTTCAAGGAAAGAAATTTAGGTTTATCTAGGTTATACACAGGTCAGCATCGCGGTCGGAAAGGATTGCAGTTGTTCAATTTGTAGCAAATCGCGGTCTTTTGAATTCGCGGAAAGAAAATACATTTTTTGTTATTTAATACTTTCATTAAAAAAAACAAAAACTTAAATTACTTTGCAGAGCTGTACATTGGTACATTTGCCGAAGTCTCAGTGACTATTTCTTTCACTGTACAAATTAAAATATAGATTAAAAGTATATGTTATTATATTTTTTGGAACAGGTCAATAAAGAATGTCCTGTGCTTTTTTTGAATAGGAATGGATGAGGCGTATAAAAAGTCAGCTAATGAAAGCTAATGGACAGAAAGCAGATAATTATTATTATATGCATAAGTACGTGAAATTATACATTTTATATAAACCATATGTATGTATATTTATATGAAAAGAATAAAAAAGTATAGATAATTAAGATGGCATTTACCATGTTTACATGTTTTCAAAATAAGAGTGAAAATAAATAAAATGATATGCTCTTCTTAATAGTTATTAAATATTTATTTTTGACAATTTTTATATGAATTTCATTCGCTAAAATATTAAACTTCATTATCTGTAATTAAGATCAATTCAAGTAAGATAATAATGGCTGTTATTTTCTTCTTAGGAAAGCTGAAAGAGAAATGAAGGCTGCAGAAGAGGACGAAAAATCTATGACGTATCAGGAAATAGAAACTGACATTTACGGTGACACTAATGCCTTCAAAGCAACCAATGACTACGCTCTGAAATTCAAACTCAAAGGAAAAGATGATGGTATGCAAAACGTTTATCACTACACTGTAGAATTATACTGCAGAAATATACTTATAACAAAGAGACCAGGATGGACACTTTTGCTTCGCTATAAACATGATAAACGCAATTTACGTTCCATTGTTCTCCTGCCAAACAGCCGAGTTTGGTTCATGCTGAAGTAGGAAAAAACCAATAACATCGTGTAGAAGCGGAAACATGTCATTTATTCAAGTAAATTGTGAAAATTTGTAAAAGCATTGTTAACAATATAAAAAAGAAACTATAATACAAATAAAAGTAACACCAGTACAACTGGAGAATTATTGTTGTATGCTGTATTCCATTTTGTAGTGTCAGATGATGAGGATATCTCTGTACCCGCTCCCCCTCCCCCAAGGAAGCAGGGAAAGGATGCATACAAAGAAAGACCCCCAGCCCCTCTACCCGAGGAGGAGAACAAACCGTCAGTCCCTCCCCGACGGCAGGCAGACACGTCTCAACCAGTTAAAGGTCAGTGAGTAAACAATGCAAAAAAACTCAAGTTGAGATGATTCTGACACAAATTTGATCTCAGTGCATAAATTTATCTTTTGAATAATGATACATTGTAATTATGCAATAAAGAACAATGATTGCGAATTTCAGAAAATGTAGATTACACCAAATATTCAATGTTCTGTATTTTTAATATAACTCTTTCCAGATATTTCCAAAAGCATTGAAGGACTGATGAATTTTTTGTAATTACTAGTATCTCCCCACCTAAAAAGTGGGAGTATATAAATGAGATTAGAAGTCCTTCCGTCTTCCCCTTCCATACGTCCATATTTTTCTTGGAGGACCCACCTGTAACCTGCGATTCCTCCTTTATATTGAAATAATTGAAGAGGCTCACACAATCTTCATAGTCCCAAATTATGTTATGATGAGATAGATATTTTGGGTTAACCATAATGTGGCTAAATGTAGACCCAATCATTCTTTCTATAACATTTTAATACCACTGAATATATAATAGGGCTGTTACAGAATCTTTATATTACAAAGTGCAGATTTTTTTCCCAAAGCAAATAACAGAGAACTGAATTACCTTTAAATGTTTTTTTTAAAGAAGAAGGTACCTTTTTCAACCAAAAAAAAAAAAAAAATCTGAAAAATATAATTGTTGCGAAAAATTAAAACATGGCCATGCTTTCTGATCATTTCATTTTCTGATAATTTTTTTTATTTGACCTTGTAAATTGACAATCACGACGTGATTAACATGTGCAATTTCCTTATTTTCATCAACTTTGTAAAACATTAATTATAAGTAGGCACAATGCATTGCCCAAAAAGTTGATATAAAACATGCTTTTTCAAACAAGCAAATAAAAGATTTTGATATTCACTGCATATCCTGAATTTAAAGTGAGGGAAGACTGTAAACACTATTCTCTATTTCATTTTGGGAGAATTTGATAAGTTAATTATTTTAAGCTTTTCTGTTGCAAACTAAGAAACTAGAAAAAAATTATTGACTTCATATTTCCAGAACGGTACTTTCTTATGCTATATTCTTTCCAAAATCAAATTCATTAATTCAACCCAATAGCCATTAGAAAAATTGGACAAGATTTTTTAGTTTTAATAATGATTGAAGCAAAAAGCTTACATGCATCTTTTTATAAGTATTTTTCTCTCTCCAGAAAATGAACAAAGAGAAAGGGGCAAACGAAAAGAATCCATGGACGCGGCGGCTAAAGTACATGTAAAGTATACCTTGATATATCGTTATACATATATCGTTAAAAAAATGTTGTTAGGAAGTTTTGCCTTGTGACTCATGAAATCAAATTGTACATAATGTTGAGAAAGTAATGATGGAAACTGAGACGAAATAATAGTCATATTGACTCGAATATTTATACATATCTCAAGTTCAACTATTAATCAAACAGTATTCATTGATTTTCTGATTCTAAATACTGTTAAAATTTCATATTTTAAGTTCAAATGTTAATTTAACATTTTTCTTCTATTTTGTGATTCTATGTACTGTTAAAATATTCATTTTGTGGTTTATATCAGACTTTGAAGAACATAAATACAACATTTTTAGCTCACCTCAACGAAGTTGGGGGAGCTTATGTAATACCCTCGGTGTCGGCGTCGGTGTCGGTGTCGGCGTCGGCGTCCCAGGTTAAGGTTAAGTTTTTTGGAGCAGTTTTCTTTTTTTAAAAGTACTTCTATGTCCTATATTGATTAGACATGCATGGAAGATGGTTATAGTGTGTTTCATTGTACCAGTCAAAGTTTCAGATGCTGCAATTTCAGCAAAGGAATGACCAGGTTAATGTTTCTGGAGCAGGTTAACATTTTTGGTGCAGTTTTTCTTGTAGGTTTCATTTCCAAGTAACTATAAGCCCTATGTTGACCAAGCTTGCATGGATGATACATCTAAAACCCCAGTCACATTTCCAAAAACGACCAACGGCCGACGGGTTGTGAAGCAAAAATGGGAGTCTTCGGGTGACAGTCGTCAGTTCATCGGCCGGTGTCTTGGCCGATGTTGACCTCTTTTGTTGTCGGCCGACCAATTTTGTGTCCATCGGTCCAGGTTATAATTTTTTATGCGTCGGTGGCCGATTCCTTCATTGAAGTTAGCCATCGACCAACCTTCGATCATCGTCCGACCATTCAGTTTATAAAGTCGGTTGTCCGTCGTTGGACAATAAGGGTGTTTAAAATGGCCGACGCTTAAAATCAAACTGTAGCTCAGAGGATGATCGGACGACGATTGGCCGACTTGTGAATATTTAACCTAGTAAGGATACATAACACAAACAAAATTTTGATGCATGGATTGACATAAATTTTTTGAACGGAAATAACATGAATAATTAATCCGTAAAATATAAAGAAATCTAAAGTATTATTTGCTGCTTAGATATGCACCATTTGTCATTTTTATGCAATTCCACACAAAATTTTGCACACATTTTCAACTTTGCCTTGCAAACATTACTCACGTCACCTATCTGAATATAGATCTATGAAAAAATATTGCTGAATTCAAAGAAAAAAGATTTTTTTGTTATTTGTCCAAGTTTGTCCCTAGGAATTAATGTGACTGCTCCGTGTCGCCCGAGGTTTCACAAGACCAGAAAAATTTAGTCGCCCGACCATCGGCTTAAATGTGACTAGGCATAAGGATGCATACTACCGAGCTTGCTTCGGATGCTGAATCTGACCTACATTTTCCAGTTGAGTGAACAGGTTAAAGTTTTTGGTGCAGGTTTCATTTCCAAGGCCCTATGTTGACCAAACTTGCATGGATAATGCATCTAAGGATGAACACTACTGAGCTTGCTTCGGATGCTGACTCTGACCTACATTTTGCGGTTGAGTGAACAGGTTAAAGTTTTTGGTGTAGGTTTCATTTCCAAGTAACTTTATGCTCTATATTGACCAAACTTGCATGGATTATACATCTAAAGATGCATATTACCGGGCTTGCTTCGGATGCTGAATCTGACCTACATTTTCTGGTTGAGTGAGGTTTCATTTCAAAGGTTAAAGTTTTTGGATGCACATCTTTTGGTGTAGGTCCTACATTTCCAGGTTAAAGTTTTTGGTGCAGGTATTTCGGAGTAACTATAAGCCCTATGCTGACCAAACTTGCATAGATGATGCATCTAAGAATGCATACTACTGGGCTTGCTTCGGATGCTGAATCTGACCTACATTTTCTGGTTGAGTGAACAGGTTAAAGTTTTTTGGTGCAGCTTTTGGTGTAGGTCTCATTTCCGAGTACTATAAGCCCTATGTTGACCAAACTTGCATGGATGATGCATCTAAGAATGCATACTACTGGGCTTGCTTCGGATGCTGAATCTGATCTACATTTTCCGGTTGAGTGAACAGGTTAAAGTTTTTGGTGCAGGTTTCATTTCTAAGTAACTACAAGCCCTATGTTGACCAAACTTGCATGGATGATACATCTAAGGATGCACACTACCGGGCTTGCTTCGGATGCTGAATCTGTCCTACTTTTTGTGGATGAGTGAAAATATTAGTTTTAGATTCATGTTTCATTTCCAATTAACTATGAGCCCTATAATGACAAACTTGCATGGACGATACATCTTAGGATGCACACTAATGGGCTTGCTTCGGATGCTGAATTCGACATACATTTTTCAGATAATAGACCAGGTAAAGTTAAGGGTGCAGGTCTAATACGAAAAAACTATAAGGCTTATATAACATTGTATAAACCAAACTTGCACAAATGTTGCATCAAGAGATGAAAACTCTCAAATTTGCTTCAGATGCTGGATTTTGATTACATTTTCATGAAAGAGAACTAGTTTAAATTTGTTATGTAGGTCTATTTCAAAGTATCAGATCAAAATTGCTTAAATATTTTCGGAATGTAAACTTTTTATTGGTTAATTGTGTGACTTTGGCTTACTTAAAGACAACATTCGTTAAGGTGAGCTCTGTAATCTCTGATTACCTATGTTTTATATTATATGATTTCTTCTATATCTGGTGAAGAATCTGGTTAAGAATTGAGCAAACCATTAATGTATGTGATATTAAAAGTTATGTAAGTTTCATTAAAAGATTTCACAGTTATCTGCTTCTGCTTTGCAGAAAGAGTTAACAGAGACACTTTCAAACAGGTAAGATAAAGACTATCCCTCTCACTTTTTGTCATTTCTGTATGCTAGCAACTTTGTAAAGTATTGTTACAATATAAGGAATACATTGCAGCAGAAAGTTGTGTGAGCATTAATCATAATAATAATGTTTTCTAAATACATTTTAGTATTAATGAACACCCAGTTTTGAAATCCTAAATGGAGCAGTACTAGTTACGCTTGGGTATTTACTAAAATTGATGATGAAAGCAAGCAATTAAATGAAATTACAAATGTATAATATCACATTCAAGAATGTGTAAAATAAGATTTTATCGTACTGTTAAATAATCTTTTTTATTTAATTTATTTGGCACTCATCATTTCAGTATTTTCTGCAAGACATACTACTGGAGAAGTAAATAACGTTTTAAAAATTTCACTCATCAAAATTAAAATCAAAATAAGCAGAACTTCCCAATTTCCTAAAAAAATATGTTCAGTATATTTATGTATTGTTTTGGTTCTTTTTCATTTAATATAATAAATGAAACAGAGGTGAATTTTTATGTATCTTTTAAGTCACTCTAAAGGAAGGCGAAAAGGATCAAAAGATAAAGAAAACACTCCAGTTTCTGACAGAAGGATCGCCGAAATCAAAGCTGCAGACGAGGAGGTTAGAAAGATGGGTTTTCTTTTCAAAGAAATTATAATATATTAGAATTGTTTCAATATAAAAGATGAAAATAACAAACAGTGATTGATATCTAAATATCTCTGTATAATTAAAATATGTGAAGAGGGCATAAAAAAGACCCCTATAATTTCCAGGGCTGGGATCAGGTGCCTTTAAGGTTTCGTCAAAGGTCAATTTGTACAAAAATTGATTTTTACAATAGCTCCAAAACTACTAGTATGTGTTTTATAAAGTTAAAACTTTTACAGTTTTTAAATACATCATTGATTAACAAATATAGAAAATATCTCTTGATAACAAGGAAAATTCTTTTAAAAAATAGCATATATTTTCAAAAACACACTTTTTATTAACCCCATGGTTTTAGTGAAAGCCTTCATTGCAGAAACAACAAATGTTTATCAATGAAGGGCAAGTTGGACTTAGATAACCTCTGGAAAGTTGTTTTTCTTGTTTATTTTTCAAAATGTTCAGATCTGAAACTAAAAATACATTGCAAATGGCCGATTTTAAAGGGGCCTTGTCTTTATGCATGTCATGCTTTCAATAACAGCCTTTCAGAGACTATTCACATTCAACTTGCCCTTCGTTGATAAACATATATCATATCTGCAATTATGGTTTTCAAAAAAGGACAGAATTAAGCAGGTGCACAAAAAAATACAATGTATATTTTTTAAAATACAGTGCATTTGTTTTCAAATGATACTTTCTATGCGTTTATTATTGATATATCTATTAACTGTAAAAGTTTTACCTTTATACCTCTCATAGTTTTGGAGCTTTTGTAAAATAAATTTTTCGAAATGTTGACCCTTGACTAAACCTTAAAAATAAACATACTTACTTCTGTAAAATCATCATAAATGTTTTTTAACATCATCTCATTCGAGGAAATATTGATTCCAGAGAATGTGGAATTTATATGGATTAAATACAAATAAATTTAAGTATAATTCCTTCAGCTATTTCAAAAAAATTGTCGTTTTAATTTTTTCTTTCACATTTAAGGTTTCTGTAGCAATATAATACTTAAAGATTACACGATATTTGAAATATGGTTTACTATAGGATGATGAAGATGAAGATAGCGAGGACTATTGGAGTAATATTTACTACGAAGGTGATGATAAGGAAAGGGCACAAGAGTGAGTAGCATTCAGCTGATATGTCTCGAGATGTGAAATGTAATGTACATGTATGCGTTATTATATATGAAAGAAGGGTTATTTCAATGTCATCATTTGCAATATCTGTGTTTTACATACCTTTTTGTAGTGTTTGTGAATTATTATAATCATCTTAATTGCATTTCAATTTTTTTTATTCAAATCTTGATTCAACCAAATCTGTAATTTACAAAAAAAAAAAAAAAACAAAAAAAAAACAAAAACACACAACCAAAAAAAAAAAAACAATTTAAATAGGATGAAAAATTTGCAATCATAGAAAAATAAAAGTTTATTATTTTTCTATGAGCTTTATTAAAAACATATTTCATTCATCTGTAGTATTTATTTTTATTTCTAAAACAGAATTATAAGGAATATTGGTGAGGATGGCGTGTATCTAGTTCGAACAGGTGCAGATGGCGGACAGGTTTGTACAGCATTTTATCTGAAAAATCCCTACAAAAGTTAAATAGATCTTGCAAAAAATATGCATAATTATATGAGTCTAAAATTTAATTTTGCTTTGGCAGGTTTTGGTTGTATTTGCAGAAAACATGCCAAAGAAATATAAAATTACCAACGAGGTCAGTATTGATATTTACTTAAGCTGCATGTACATCAATTTAAGTAAAAACTTCCAAAATTACATGTATATTAAAACAAGTAACACTTCAGGTATAACTGTTCAAGTATTTAGTCTTTATGTAAAGATTTGAATAAGATATTTCTTGCTTAAATACAGTTAATCAGACTTTGAAATAAACTTTTCTGCCTGTTTCAGAACGGTGAATTTTATCTCAAGAAGGAGGGTCCCCATTGTGACTCAGTGGAAATGTTAATGTACACCTATTACTCAACAGAGCTTCCTACAGCAAAATCTTGTCTAGAAACACCTTACAAGCTCCACTCTAAATATAAAGGGTAGCAGCCCTCTTTAAGGTTAGCAGTATTTATAATATTCTGTTGTACATTTTTAAAAAAAAATCTGTTGAAAATTAATGACAAGTTGTAGAAAAAATGTTAATTAAAAAATATTTGCTATAATCATTTATGAAACGTGAGGTTTATACCAAAACAAGTCCAAAATATGCCCCAACCATGCATCTAATTTCCGGTTTAAACAGGTTTCCCTAAGGGAACATCTCAAAACACATCTCTTACCTCTGCAGTCCAAGCTCGACCTTTTTTCATCGTTGTTATGGTAAATTCAAGTACCTTAGATTATGTCATACTATGTATAATTTCTCATGAGTCTGTACATAATATTTTCTTGTCAAAAACATTTCCTGAACTGGATTAGTTTCATTCATATACTCATTATATCTATTTCATGTTGTAAATTTTAAATTTAATAGGGGGAGGTAAATGCACAATTTACAACACGACAACCTTCTATTTACCCCCCCCCCCCCTCCCCACCAGTACATTCAAAATTCACAACATGATACCTACCCCAAAACCAAACCTCTACAGCCGTGCACTAGTACAGGTCTCGTATGCGAAAATCATGAGTTTATATTAAGCGCAGCCTTGCCAAAACATATAAATTGATGTTTAATCAATAAAAATACAAGTTTGCTATAATCATATTTCCGTTTTGGATCATAGGTGACAACATGTTTTAAATAGCTTACATTTAAAATTATTCTACATATTTAATCCAGTTAGATTACACAAAACTTAAGAAGTTTGTATTCTTTAAAAGTTCGTTTGCATTTTCAAAGGTGTTTTATAAGGCTGTAGTGATATAATTATATATATAGTTTATTTTTGTTAAGTTTCACATCATTCTACTTTGGATCACTGCAATAATATATGTTTGAATTTGTTATGCTTTACGAGTAAGAATGATTCTGATATTGGTGTAAATACGAGTATATTTATAAGACTTAGACTTTTTGTATTAAAAAAATATATTATCAGTACTTCTTCGTCATGGGATAATTGTTTGGAATAGGTTAAATACATGTATTGTTTGAATAATGAATCTGTTCAAGCTGTTATGTTAACAGTTTGGAAGATTGCATGTTTTTAAAAGATAAAAGTAGAAATGTTCAACAAATTTAAGTTTGTTCATTGATTTTTAGAATAACTACCATTATGATTTTGCTTTTATTAAAATGTTTTATTGACTGCCTTTTTCATTTTTTTTCATCAAAAAACAAATTTTTTGGTATGACCAAATTAAAAAAAAAAGGATTGTGTGCTGTGCACCAACTTTTAAAGCGCATCTAGAATTTATTGAACGTTCATTGAAAAGGAAAAGGGAAGAATTAATTTACTTCATTAAGCTTTGTTGCATTAAGTATCCTTTGTATTAAAGAAGGGATTAATCCAAAATCTTGACCATGCTTTCGTGCGTATAAAACTAAAACGTACTGGAAACTTACAGATAGCAGATTGCAGTCGTTTTGCAAGTGCTAACGATCTTAATTGTTAAAGTAAAAAATCATTGAAAAGCTTTTGGAATACTGCCTGTCTTATAAATACATGAAGAAATTCTGTGCATTTCTTATAATTAAATGACAGAATGTAAATATTTATGTTCTAATTGTAAATTCTCTTCCGGTTTTGAATTGAAATTTATATCCCCATGTCAGGTATGGACAAGTACTGCACCTGGGCTTGTTGCATCTATTGATGATTGCTGCTTCGTTGTTGTTATTGGAAAAGGATGCTTTAGTAAGGATTGATTTAAGAGAAGGACTTTGTCGCTTACTCTTCATGATTCGTGAAGTTTCTAATATTTTCTTCATGCCTGGATAATCCTCTAAGATAGGCAAATTATTTCTCATAATGTTGAAAATCTCTGGATTTCTTGGGTCATGTGTTGAAACGGTATGGTATGACATTATTAACCGATTTATTTTTCACGGTAAGAAGAGCTTTTCTTTCTTGAGATTTTGCTTTGTTTATTCTGTTTTCAATCAATCGTCTGGGATAGTGTCTTTGAAGGAGTAGTTCTTGTAGTTCTGTGAGGCGAGATTCTTGTCCATACCTAACAAAGGGATCTTAATTTCAATTCAAAACCGGAAGCGAATTTACAATTAAAACATCAATGCAATGCACCAGCTCCAATCATATTCATTAACTTTTACTTATAATAAAATTTATCAAATAATTTATAAACCTGTGCCGATTGTGTTCAAATCATATCGGCCAGACAGGAGACCTCCTGAGACATAGAATGACCGTACATTGACAACAAATTAGGGAACCAAAATGCCAGGGTAGCGCCGGAAGAGAACACATTAGAAACTGTGCCAAAATAGAACCTTCTAATTTCACTGTTTTTCTTTAACACATTCCGAAGGAATACTACATAGAAAGAATGTGAAACTGAAGAAAAACATTGTACGTTCTATGACTGATACAATGTACGTTTGTTACAATTTTCATACAAATTCTTATTCCATTATATAAATACTGAATTGTCGACAGTATTTCCCGATCCTGATCCCACCTCTGATGTTCTGGATGCATGCTCGTGTTTGCTTTGCCCCCGTTTTGTATTGTTTCGTGGACTTTTGGACTTGCATGCTGTTCTTCATCTCCTTATATTTCATCAATCAATTATCAGTGGATTAAAATACTGAAATTTATAGGACGGCTATTTGGCGAGGCCATTAAAAAGAAAACAAAATTTGCATTCAACTCATTTGATGAACAATTAAACTTTTAATGCTCAACAACTTCTATAATAACCAAACCCAATGATACTATTGACCTAAAAAAAATTAAAAATTTACATATTTACGTGCAGATCAGCAAAGAACATTTGATGAGAAGTGAAACAATATTTTAAAGAATTTTCATCTTCTATTTCTTATCTAAAATCTTGAACAATTGAAAAAAAGAGATAAAACAATCAGTGTAGCAAAATGTTATCCGATTTATAGTTTTTGAAGCACAAACATGAAAGGAAATATAACAACTTTTCCTTTGACTACGCTTGCATATTTCTATTCTGTTGTTCTTTTACACACTCAATTCTTATCAATGTAGCTTCCTGTATTTTGTTATATGGATACTGACTAAGTGACACTTCGTAAGATTGTAGAGCCCCTTTCAAGTCCCCCACAACTTGCTGACAGATTCCTAGTATCTGCCAGGATACGTCTCTGGTTTCTACAGGAACATATACATTATCATCATACAGCAGCAGTGTCTGTAGGTCTGTCAGTGACTGCAAACACCGAGATCTGTTACCTAGTCCATAGTGAGATAACACAGACAACAACTCAATCATAACATTTAGTGATAAAAATAAGAATGGATGTCCGTTTTGAAGACTCCAATTTTGTTCTAAACATAACTCTTCCATGTATAGAATATTGTTGTTTAAAAATATATTATACACCCAAGCTATTTTCATCCTTCTAGACAAAGGGAGATTACCTACAACTTCATTGTACTTCTGCCTGTCCTCAGTATCTATATACATATTAAAGTCCTGAGACTGTCTTTGTTTAGTCGGATAGATAATGTGTAGTGCTTTTTCATACTTCGCTGTTCTATAGTGATATAATGCTAGAAATAACAAAGAGGAAATAGGGCCTAGCCTACCTGCTAATTTTAGCACATTACAAATCACTCGATCTAAGATGTAGATATTTTTATATTTGCAAGATGAATTATTGTTTGCTACTGTGAAGGCTAATTGAACAAGTAAATCAGATGTAACACACTGTAATGTAAGTAATTGGTATGGAGAGCATGAAAAACTTGATAGTATTTCACTGGATTTTAAACACAGATAAATATCCACTATATGTTCATAATTAATACCAATTTCAGAAATTTCCGTCATGCCACATACGTTTCTATCTGCAATACTTATAAATTCTACCTCAGCAGGGGATAACACAAAGGACGGGCTACTGAGGGCTGGTTCAAGTATTGAATTTAGAGTCGGACTCAGCAGTAAACAAGTCACACCCATTCTGTAATACTGATAAAGCTGTTGTAAAAGAGAGGCACGTGCATCTGCAACCACTTTGTTTATGAACATGTTGTTTTGTGGAATAAAAAAATTAGGAAAATATCCTTCATAAACACAATAAATAAGATATTTAAAACACTTCCAGAAGCAATCTAGTAATCTGTTTGGAAACCATTTCAAATGTCCCTGTTGTATCATCCAGAACATCGTGGTCTTCATGAAATATGAACACAGTAATGGTTCCTTCCTATAATTGATAACTTCCTTTAGAAATATTTTCAAAAGTCCGTAACACAAAAATTGAGTATGATTCATAGTACATACAAGTTGTTGTTCGGCTTGAGAAAAGGATAATCTCCATTCTAATTCGTTAGAAGTCGAAACAATTTTGCTTCCAATAGGCACACAGTGAAAACCATTTCTTAATATTTTTTCCAACACAAGTACAGGTGGCCAGGTGTGTCTCTGACATCTGTCAACCCAATCTCTCATCTGTTTAGGCCAATGTATACTGGCAAAACAAACAGCACAATCCCATTCAAAAGTTTTTTTCAAAACCAGTAGCACATGGACCATGGGTACGGATATTTTTCTGTTTGCAATATCTGTTATTTGCTATTAACCGATAAAACAATTCTCTCCAAATAGAACATGATACATAACCCCTGCCGTTAAATTCTGCAAGACACATAGATATTATGAACTTGTTTTGTGGTGTCAGAAGGCGTAGTCTTACAAACCCTGGTGGTGTGTCGAAATCTTCCATTAGTATGATACATGTATCATGTTTCGACGTATTATATATCCTGGACTGAGATATGTCAGTTATTAGCCTAAACTGACAAAACCAGGCCATTATATCAATGTCAGATGATATCAACCTAAATCCCTCTCTATAACTCCCACTGTCCATTTTAACAGAGCCTATATGATAAAAAATTGGTTTCTGTATCATCTCTCTTCATGTCCAACACGTCCCTTCTGATGGCCACTTCCGTCGGTGTCCCTATCTCACGACACAGACCAACATACAGGACCTCTGATAGACGGGGAATGTGTTCCATTCTGTATATAAAGATTAATAAATAAGTTATACTCGATAAAAAAAAACAGGTTTGGGAAATAAATTTTAATTCTTAACAAGTTTATATATTTCTACAAAGAATTACAATATACGTAATTTCAAAAGTGTTGTGGAAGCAGGAAGAATTTCTTTGTGACCCGAATTTTTTTGTTGGAAAGGAATAGTCTCTTACTAGTCATAGGGGGATTTATAATATTGTAGATTAAGTTACATTTAAATTAAAAAATTACACGTGTATTTATAAAACGTGCATTAATTGAATGAATTACCTGATAGTATTGTCACTGCAAATGGCGGCTTATAAGTCAGCAGGAAATACCAGTTGCGTATATTCCAGAAGTCAAAAAGGTTGTAGCCTACACATCATTTTCTCAAGAATAAAAATTAAGTTGAATAAATGGAGGGGAGTTGATAATAAATCGTACTTATTAATTTGTTTTGTTGCAAATGCCAAAAAATTTAGATTTCTTAGCAATTGCACTTTTATACCTATCTGATTATGTTTACAGTTTTGCTTAAATATAAGAACAAAACTATTCCCCTAGCTGGAAATTTTGAAGACAAAGTTCAAGTGATATTAATATTACGTCCGTATCAGAAAATTTCATCGAAAGCAACAGGAGTCCATAATAAAAACAGGAAACGAAATTGATAACTTGAGTTATATTTGGTTAGTAGGAAATACAAAGTATTGATCGAATTTTGATTATTCAGTAAGGAATTTTCCATATTTTCTAAGCAGAGTAAAAGAATAAGTTGGAAGTTCTCAAATTTGTTCAGTGGTCCTCACATCACGATATAAACTACATGTAAATACGTCTACAATATTACTTTTAATATCTAACTTTTAAATGGTAACTTTTACGTACACATCAGTACAAAAATATTTTAATTGTTAGAGAAATGCTTACATGTAAATTTTCGTACTAATTTTTAGGCAATTATATACACACTGAATTTTTTTTAGTGGTTTTTCCGTTATTTTCCAATTATGACACGCAAGTGTGACCGTTCGTCATGGGATGCTTACTCCTCCATGGCATCTGATTTTCACCTCTTATCTTTTGGAGGTCCATGTTTGCTCCTATTTCATAATGTTTTATGTACTTTTGAGCTTGAATTTTGTTCTTTATCTCCATATATTTCATTGAAAAAAAAATCCCCTCTCCCCCCCAAAAAAAAGAAATATTAGATTCAGTCGTCAAAGGAGAACGAGGCGCGACAGGTATAAAGTCCCTCAGCCAAACTCTTTATTTTTCCTACCAAAGTTTATGTATTAACATAACTGGTATGACAATGATATACCTTCTCTCAAAAAAGGAGATGGGTGAACATGACGAACGATAAGCCTATAGCGCAACAAACACGAAGGTGAAAAATTAAATCTCAATGATATCAAAATTTTCTAAATATTTTATCTAACAATAAATTATACTTTGCGTGAAAACTCTACAACTTGCACAAATTAAATATCATGACGATTGAGGTTATTTGCCTATGAAATATTATACGCACACGAAAGAGGACAAAATGAGTAATTTTGCAAACTATAACAAAATTTTTCGATATGAGTGGGTCTTCGCTCCATTTTTTTAAAAAGTTACTAGTAATTCTCAAAGTTTGAATACAATTATACATATTTTGCATGGTTTCCAAAATTATAGAGCAAACACCCACTATACCTTAAATATATAATTTTATGACTTAACTTTCGTATCTTTTCGAGAAATACTTGAAGTCCACTAAGTCAATGGTCATACCACAAACATAATTTAAAAGCCACACTCCATCAGGACATGTGTAGTTTAGTGGTTAGTGTGCTATTCTCAGTAAAAAATGCTACTTAGGATTTTTATTGCTAGGGTTTGAACCCAACGGATACCACATTATTATTATTTTTTTTAAAATGAAAATTCAACGAAATATTTCATCAATTTTTTTTTTTGTTTATCATTATTTTATAAATATCAGTAATGAGAACTTAATTTACTCTAAATACTGAATTCACAATTTGAATATGATTTTTATATATCTGAAGCTGGTGGCTTTTCTTCAGTCTTCACACTAAGTTCGACCTCCTTTGAGAATTATATATAGATTTAAAAAATGAGATAAGATTCCCTGGAAAAAATAGCACCCAATCAATTTTAGAAAAGTAGTTTACAAAAAATCAAATACAATAAAAAGCAGAATTGTATAAAATGCATAAATTATTAATTTTTAAAAAATACTTCTTGTTGGCGCTAATTGAACGTGGGGAAGGGTGAGAAACCAACAAAAAAAATGTAAGTCCCAATTTTCAAAACCTTTAATGTTATGTCTGTCTTTTCCAGATAGAAATCCATAGTATCTGCATGAATATGGGGGGAAATAATAATAAGAAACCGGGTTATATTGCCTTGTCGACTATTCTTATGTAATAATTATATTGTTTTGAAATTATAATTCCTGGTTAAAGTTATAGAATTTATTCAAGTCCAAAAGTACAAAATCAAAATTTACATTTATTTCGATGAAAAGGTCTTGAAGATAAAACAAATGCATGTGCGGATCTAGAAGGGTGGGGGTATTCTAGAGCCCTCCCTGTAATTTGCAGAGTTATATATTAAATTTAGAAACGTAGATCAATAAGAAATGATAAGTATGAAGCTTTAAATAAGTAAACATTGACTACACCCCACCCAACCCCCAATTTACACACACGAAATAGGTTATTTCACATTTGGAAAGTGTTTTTGGGGGGGGGGGTGTTTGTTTGTTGGGTTTATTTTTTTGCTCGTCACGAAATTTCTCGGTTGGAATTTTTTTTTAATATTTGCGCCTGAGATAAAACTCAGAGGAAGCTCTAAACACTAACAAAAAGTGTTTTCTGGACTAAAGAAAAAAATATCTATGAAGGTGTGCATATTGAGACTGTTTGGTTAATTTTCAACATAGGGTACCTGCCTTAATTGAGCAGGGAAAAATGTTTAAAGACAATGGACTTTGCATGAACAGGAACAGAGTTGTTAATTTACATTGGGAAAATTTGTGGAAATAATAACTATTTTACTTCTAGGGGAAGATCATTTTAACAGCATAAAACTACCCTACAATTAGAACTTTTTAGTGTGCAGTGTTTAGAGCTTCCTTAAATTATAGATGTATATCTTTTTTAATTTCAGCAATATTCCGGAAATAAAATATCTATTCGTACAGTTTATTTTTTTTTCTGCGCATGCTCATTGTACATTTTCCTGTCGGATTTCAAATATCTAGCGGGTAAACCATAACAAAAATTGGTAAGAGTTGCTAAAGTAAAAAATAAGCCGAATAATCATATGATTTCGATATAAAAAAAGGATCCGTATGAAAGCTCAAGACAATTAGAAATGCTTGACCAAAAGCGTATTCATTTTGATTCATGATCACATCAATTGTCGGACGAGTCATTCCGTTTGTTTATTTCATATTTCAACTGTTCATCGGTTTGTTATTCATCATCATGACATATAACGATGTTGTTAAAACAATACAATACAGAGTAGTTCATGCAAAACCATGATAAAAGGGTTTTTGACAATCGTTATGATGGAAAAATACACCAATTTCTGTTTGCGTTAGGTCATTCAAAAACAAGGATCAGGTTTTTGATAGTCGTATCATGATGAGGTGGAACCTTTTAATTAGCCTTATGCTCCAGTGTTTTCCTTTTATTTCAAAGTAAAGGATTAGAGATCGGATGTAAAAGTCTAGGGTATGAGGTTTATGAACAAAATCTCTGTGGACCTTACAACATGTACAACAAATTGTTATTTCAAAGCGGCATTTTTGTCAATTGAAGTGGTCAATTTCTTATGTCGGAGACTGTAAAAAGCAAGCCCCATATTGCAGTAGGTGCAGACTTAAAAAAAATCTTCACTTCTTACTGTCTTTGAGTGTTCTAGACTATCAGAAAGTGGTGGCATCTATATATAATTAATATGACACTGACAGAAAAAGTTTCAATAAGGACATTAAACAAATAACTTTAAGCCAAAACTTAAAGGGAAAAGAGTGTTATTACAACTGTAAAATACTGTATACAGTAATATATTTATTGAATAAAAATGATACTCTATCACATTTTGAAAAGATGTCAAAATGTCTGAAAATCATATCCTTTCACGGTGTGTCAAATATCAAAAGTTTAATAACTTTCCAATTTCATCTTGTAACAAAGAATGTTGTAAAAAATATCCCTTGAACTGTTATAAGATAAATGAAGTAAATAATCGATATTGACATAGATTAAATCTGCCATAGTTCCTGTAAATATGTTGTTGAAAGAGATGTTTACATTGTTTTCCAATCTCACATTTACTTGATAGTTCATATGATGTCTCAACTGATCAATTATTACCTCATACATATAGCAGATGGAACAATTTATATATAAGAAAAACAAATGAAAAAATACAAATGAACATATCATTGGACACCAGTTTTTGTATCATCACACTTTCACAGTATAAGTAAATTTAAAGACAGTGGACTGTCACACAGTTTGGTCCTATGTGTTCCTTGAATACATTACATAGGATCAAATCTGAAATGCCTGTGTGTCCCCAAAAACTTTTGATTAGAATTGTCTCGGGGGGTAACCTGGGCATGTGTCCAAAAGCACCTGTGTATGGAACTTAAAATTATCCTATTTATTAAAAAATTAATATTAATATACATTTAATTTATTCATATCATTAATGAATATACATTATTTGTGTTTTGTGATTACCTTGATGACATATTATACAAAGAACACCTTGAACATGTAGAAGGACCAAGTTTACATTATAGTCATAATATAAGAACCAGCTTCAATTGACAAAAATGCCACTTTGAAAAAAAAAATTGTTGTTAGGTCCTCAGAGATTTTGTTCATAAACCTCAGTCCTTAGCCTGTTGCAACTGATGAGATCTCTAAACCTTTACTTTGAAATAAAGGTAAAACACTGAAATATGCTGAACATGCTCAATCGATCTTTTGTAATCATGTCATTTTGCCGTTTTCATTTATTTCTCTTTATATGGTTTGTAAGCTGTACATAGATGTTTAAAATGAAAATTTCCTTTTTTAACAGATATAAACAATGGATGAAAACTTGATGGAGTTTTCCCTAAATGAGAACGGTGAGAATTCTTGTCTGGAGGACCTGAGGCCCCCCATGTTGATGCAGACCCCCCAGGTTGTCAAGAAATCGATCCTAAAGCCTTCACAACAGGATAACCTCATACAACTCTGTACACCCATACACAAAGGACTAAAGGTCAGGAAAAACACAGAAAAGTGAGACATGAAATTCAGGGATGTCATTTACCTAAGCTCTGTCATATACTGTCCTACTAACTTAGATGTTTGGATTTTTGGAAATAAAAATTCGGAAACGTTAACATGGTTAAAAAAAGCAAAATGCTCATAAAGAACATGAAGAAAAATTAAAAACTTAAAGATAATAATAATACATATTGATATTGGATAAATTTGTTAAAGAATATTTTATATAAATTTATTCACAAAACATATATGAGCTTTTCAAAAAATTTTATAAATGAAAGTTGAAACATATTAAAATGATGCACATGTACTGTAGAAATATGCTTTTTTATGTTAAAAAATTTTTATAAAATGAATATTTCGATAATGTTGCAGGTAAAATTTGAAACCCCACACAATGTTAAGAAGTCGACCCCCACTCGATTTGAGGAGGTACGAGTGTTGGATGAGCAGGAAAACTGGATTGAGCGGACCTCAATTGTCACCAAGGATCAGCACCAAGAATATCTCGAGATGGCTCGAGATATTATGATGGAAGTCATCAATAAACTGCCACTGTAGGTTCTATTGGTCACAAAATCTTTATAACTGTATAAACTTGAATACAGTAAGAAGTTAGAAGAGCTATGAATTATAGTTACATATATCATATATGCAATGGTATACACATATTAAACTTTTTAGTCTTAGCATTTGAAGTAGTTGTTTCTTCTGCTTAAGAGCCATGAAGCACAGTGGTTTATATCTTATCAAAGTATGGATGTGAGAATCTGTTGCAGGGCATTGTATTGACTTTTTAATACTTGTACCCTTTAATTTTATAGGCGTATTAGTTAATAGATTATAATTGTAATTATTTCCAGTGTTAGGTATAACCAATTGGCATATATATGCATTAAAATGTAATAGTGATATGGGCCTTTTGTTTTGCAGTGAAGACAGTGAAGTTGTTCAACCCAGCTGCAAGTCGTCACAGGATCGAATGGAAGAGGACATGGATACTGATGACTTTTTTGATGCCGTTGATGAAATCGAGAACATTACCCCAAAAGAGGGCAACATAGAGGACATGGCTCAGCCAGATGAGGAGTTAAAGAATGGAGATGGTCCTCAGTCAGTGGAGGACAAGACTGACAAATCAGGAGTTGGATCCGAAAAAGCAGAGGAGACGGGGGATAGATCTGAGGAGCCCTCATCTCCTCCCCTCCCCGCCAGTAAGGGCAGCTACAACATTGACTTTGATAACCTAAATATGAGGAATGTCAGCGATCTGCAACATTCCTTGTTCAACCCAGCTGCAAGTCGTCACAGGATCGATCGGAAGAGGACATGGATACTGATGACTTTTTTGATGCAGTTGACGAAATGCTACCAAAATGACAGTGCAGAATTCTCCACTGTCAGCCGCTGGTAGAAAAGAGCAAGATTTGCCAGATGTTAATGGAAAAGAAGCTGATGTTAGTGAAGTGGCGGAGGAAAATATGAGAGAGGACAACAGCCCCAAAGAAACTTTTCAGTCAAAAGAGGAAGATGAGAGGAAAGAAGTTCCAGGCTCAACAGAGGAAAAGAATGGAAAGTCAGAGGAAGTGCAGGATAAGGAGGAAACTGTAACAGAAAATATAACACAGGGATCCTCATCTCCAAAACTGCCGATCAGCAAGGGCAGCTACAATATTGACTTTGACAAACTGGATGACATCAATCCATTTGCTACTAAGGTGGCAGTGCAGAATTCTCCAGTGACGTCTGCTAATGGCCAAGTGCAGAATTCTCCTAAAGCTGACGGAAAGGAAGTAGAAGAGGATGATGAGAGAAAGGAAGGCAATACTTCACTCTCTGAGTTTCAGAGTGTGAAAGACAATCCATTCATTAGACTGATCGAATCTCCAGCCATAAAAGAAAAGAAAAAAGAATTAGCTTTGGAGTCCATCGTTGCTGAGCAGTCGGAGGATATCTTCAGCCAAAGTTTTGAAGACATAGATCCTTTTCAGCCTAAGAAGCAGCTGATGAACAGTCCAGAAGTGTCCAGAAAGACAGAGAAGTCCAATGTTCAGGACACATGTGTACCTTCAAATTCTCCCAAGAATCATGTAAAGTCTAGGAATGTTGAAATTTCTCTGGAAGAAGAACATCTCTCTCAAAGTGCAGGGTTAAATAATGTCCTAACAAATGAAGTAAGTGTAAGGAAATCTCCTGAGTCTGAAATCAAAGAAAAGAAAGATTTGGGTTCTGCTGAAATTGATGGCAGCATTGATCCATTTGCAACAAAGGCCACTGTGATGAATACTCCTCCCAAGAGAGAGGAAGATGACAAACTAGATCCATTGATGAAGCAAATGTCAAACTCTCCAGTAAAATCAGCATTCAATGATGTTAATCCATTTGCTACTAAGTCTAAAGTAGTCAATTCCCCAGCTCCAAATTCATGTGAAAATGAGAAGAATCCATTTGAAACCAAGTCAAAAATTGTGAACAGTCCAGAAAACAAGAGTTTACAATCAGAGGAGCCTGATCCCTTTGTAACAGTGTCTAAAGTCGCAAATTCTCCGGCGAAAGAAGCTTTGACTGAAAACGTGGATCCGTTTGCAACAAAGTCTAAAGTTGTCAACTCTCCTTTGCAGAACACTGAAGAAAGTGAAAAAGATCCTTGTGGGACCAAATCAAAAGTTGACACTTCTCCTCCTGCAAAATTACCTGAGGAAGACTTAGACCCATTTGCAACAAAAGCAAAAGTTGCTAATTCCCCAGCACAAAAGAATGTAGATGATGAATTTGACCCTTTTGCAACCAAGTCTAAGGTTGCAAACTCCCCTTCTGTACAAAATTCATGTAATGAGGTTGATCCCTTTGCAACAAAATCAAAGGTTGCATTTTCACCAGCTGGAAAATCAGAAGACATTAACCCATTTGAAAGTAAATCAAAGGTTGCTAACTCTCCTGCAGTAAAGGCAGATGAAGGAAATCCTTTTGCAACAAAGTCTAAAGTTGCAAACTCCCCAGCAAAAACATCAAATCTAGAAAATATGGACCCATTCACATCAAATTCAAAAATTGCAAACTCACCACAAGTGTGCAAAAAACCAGCAGATGATTCTTCCAGACAAAATAATGATCCTTCCGTTACAAAAAGTAATGTAGAGGAATTACCCACCAAAGACAATGTTGAAACAGCCTCAGAAAAACAGGGAAAGAATCATTTTGAGAAGCTTTTGATGGACAGTGAGAAGTGTGATAGTCCATTCTCAGGTCTGAATGCTAACAAAATGCAGGATGCTTCTTTCCGACTTCAGAATGATCCATTCAAGACCCCCACTGGTTCTGCTGTAAGTTGATGTTACCATGGTTACAGTTAACGTTACCAGGGTTACAGTAAACCTTGAGTACAAGGAAGTCACAGGAACTTCCAGTTTTACTGCTTTATAATCAAGATTTTGTATTTTTATGCTTAGGGCAAAGTCTTCTGTGGTTTTCATAAAGGTTTCTATATAATTAAGCTTTCCTTATAAATGAGTTTTTTATAACCAAATTTTACTTTGAATACTAGTACCATAGTCAAAAATGGACTTGTTAGTGGGTTTTACTCGACTAATAAAAATCATTGTTTTTTGAATAGGTTTACCATATTTACAGGATAGTTATGATAATAAGCAGTGTGACTTTTATTGTAGAAAAAGACCCCCAAAAAGAGCTGCCCCTTCACCAATATGAGTGAGTTTGGTTTGAGTGATGATGACTTCAAGCCAGCCAGTTCTACATGTAAGGATTTTTTTTTTCTGATAGACATCTTTAGCACATTCATACAGCATAATGTGTCAAGAAAAGGGTTTAACATTTTCCAGCTGAATGATAAAACATTTACAAAGAATACTCATAAATAAAGTTAAACTATTGACCATGTTGACATGATGTATTTTTTTAAATATTGATTTTTAATTATTTTTTTAAGTGTTTAGTGATCCTGCTGACTTTGACATCTTGGAACAGTTTGGCAGCAATAAGGGGGTGAGTTTTAACAATCTCTGGCTCAAACACTGCATCATGGTGAAGAAAATAGCAGAATGATAAAGTAAATGCAGTACCTTTATTATACCCCCCGCTTGAAAAGTGGGAGGGTATATAGTAAAGGGTATTTCCTCCCCCGTCCGTCTGCTACGCTTTGGGGTACCCATCTCTTATCCGCAACTCCTCTCATACCACTGAAGGAAATTTAATGAAACTTTCACAGAATCTTCATTACATATTGCCATTGTGCACCTCCTATTTTACTATTTGATCTGACATATATTTTGGATTTTCCAGAGCAAAACATGGACACTGCCATTATATTCATATGGGAGGCGGGGGGTATCATTTAGTGAGCTCATTGCTCACAGTACCTCTAGTTTAAACTAGAGGTACTGTGAGCAATGAGCTCACTAAATGATACCCCCGCCTCCCATATCGTTATAACTGATGACAAAGTCCATGTTTTGCCATGGCCGGGAAACCCAAAATATGTGTCAGATCAAAAAGTAAAATAGGAGGTGCACAATGGCAATATGTGATAAAGATTCTGTGAAAGTTTCATTAAATTTCACTCAGTGGTATAAGAGGAGTTGCGGATAAGAGATGGGTACCCTAAAGCGTAACAGACGGATGGACAGCTACTCAGCTAGACGTACAGACGGACGGAATTAACGATTACTGTATACCCTCCCGCTTTTCAAGCGGGGGGTATAAAAAAAGAATGATATAATCATGGTGATTTGATTTAATCTTCATTAGCATAAATAGAGGAAATAAGCCATTATTTAAAACTAGAGGTACTGTGAGCGATGAACTCACTAAATGATACCCCCCGCCTCTATATAGTTATAATGGCAAAGTCTATGTTTTGCTGTGGCTGGGAAACCCAAATATGTGTCGGATCAAAAAGTAAAATAGGAGGTGCACAATGGCAATATGTAATAAAGATTCTATGAAAGTTTTAGCAAATTTCATGCAGTGGTATGAGAGGAGTTGCGGATAAGAGATGGGTACCCCAAAGCGTAACAGACGGACGGACAGAATTAACGATTACTATATACCCTCCCGCTTTTCAAGCGGGGGGTATAATAATGATGGTGCCAAAAAGTCATCTATAAATTTAGAACTTAAAGTCTTAGTGTACTAGTTGTAAATGAGTGAATTGCATTTTACAGATTGCTGAATCGGCCCTGTCACGGATGTCACTTTATGTTAAATTTGACCCCTTGGTGGACCTCCCTGTTGCAGGTACTAAGAATCAACAGATAGATGTTTTACTCATGGTCATAGAAAATTAACAAAGTTATAGTTAGGCTCGCTTTTCATACATTAAACTTGTTTATAAAACATTTTTGCTGAAAACATCCTGTTTTGTTGTTCATGTTATTCTAAATTCAGCTTTAATGTCTTCTTTTGAATGTTGTCATATTTTTCCCTGTTATTTTTTTCATATGCATTTGTTTCCCTTTCCTCCTAAGTTTATGTTAAGTATTCAGAATTTGATTTTTTTATTGAAATGATGGCTTTTATACAGCATCCTCTTCTCTTGCCAGATCCCCGTCGAGCCAGTATTGATGTCAGGAGAATGAGTATGAAGCGAGGAGGTACTTTTGACCCCAGACTCCGACAGCTGTGAGTATCTTAAAATGTTTCAAAATAACTTAGAAAGTTCATGTTTATATATTCATTACAACAATCAAATCTTTTCATCTTAAACTTGATTTGAAAGAAGTAAAAAATGTAGAGAATTTGTAAAGAATACGTGGTTGGACCTAAAAAAAACTTTGACATATTTCTAGTATTTGAGTTGTCACTGTTTGTGTTGCTCAAGTTAAGCTGTATTATGTATGTTTACTCGGCAAAAGATGGAGATCAGTATAAATTCTACCTCAAGGCGGGCATTGTGTAGAGAGATATCCTGCTAACTTAGGAATTATGCTATACCTAAGCCATATTATTGTGACAATTTAATTTTTTTGTTAAAAAAGCAAACTTCAGTACACTTGTAATAGGGCTGCGTATTTGCCAAAGATTTCGTATTGCGATATCTTTTACTGTATTGCGATATGTATTGCAATATTTTTAACGTTATCAAAGTGGCATTTTCTTATTATATTAACTTTAATTTACATGCAGAAATGTACAAAACTATGATTAGTCAGCAAAAGAAAAAAAAATCTTGTTGGTTTTATTTAATCTATGCTCTAAAATACACCCATAAAACAACATCTGTCTTACAGTTTGGTTTATAACAACCTTTGTTACAATTATTTTTATGTTTAATGATAAAATTCTTAGTCAAAACATTTTGCCAATATATTGATATTACAAAAACGTATTGTGATGTGATATTTTTTGTCATTGTATTGCAATATACCGAAATATCGATATTTTTGCCCAGCCCTAACTTGTATTAATATTGTTTCCTGATTATTCACTAAGAGAGCCAGAGGAAAGCATGCTTTTGATGGGGACACCACCACGAGGTCCCAGTCAGAGCCGCGTGGTGCCGGTGGTGAAGAATCAGACACCAGTCAACACGAAAACGGTCACCTCTAATGACCTACTTTGTTCAGATATACCAGAGGGCAGGACGGTAGGCATTGTATTATCGTACAGAAACCACTAAAGATAATGGGAAAAGATGTGAGTGCTTGAATTAAAAAAAAAAATGTCATTTTCTGTACATTATTGCTGACATGCCTCATTTAATTTTTGCTCATACAATTTGCTGTTATTGTCAGAAAAGATTTTTTTTTTTTTGCAAATGAAAATTTTTATGCAACATTTCTTGAAAAGAGAAAACAAGATATTTATTAAAGAGGATTATTTGACTTTAACAGGAAGTAACAAATGTGATCAAGGACACCTTGTCTCTAAATCAGACAGAGGGAGATGGAATCATTGAGGTAGGTCACATGACAAGCCAGGACATATGCCGAGTATATAACTACAGCAATTCATTATTTTTATGCCCCCCCTTCGAAGAAGAGGGCATATTGCTTTGCTGCTGTCTATCGGTCTGTCGGTCCACTTAGTTACCATTCATTTTCTTCGCAACCGTTGCACATACTGAATGGAAATTTGGTATACAGGTATATCACATGAATATGTAGGTTCAAGTTTTGTTTTGGGTATGATCACACCATTTTTGACAGAGTTATGCCTTGGACATAGAAAAATTCCAATCATTTGCAGTTTCCATTCATTTTGCAACTGTTGCACATACTGAAATGAAATTTGATATACAGATACCGGTATATCACATGAAAATCTAGATCAAGTTTTGTTTTGGGTATGATCGCACCATTTTATACAGAGTTATGCCCCTTGGACTTAGAAAAATTCCAATTATTTGCAGTTTCCATTCATTTTCTTCGCAACAGTTGTACATACTGAACTGAAACCAGTATACAGATTTATCATATGAATATCTAGGCCAAGTTCTGTTTTGGGGACAATTGCAACATTTTTGACAGAGTTATGCCCCTTGAACTTTGAAAAAATTTCAAATTATTTGCAGTTTCCTTTCATTTTCTTTGCAGAGGTTGCACATACTGAAATGAAATTTGGTATACAAATTTATCAGATAAATATCTTGGTCAAGTTCTGTTTTGGGTATGATCGTGCCATTTTTGAAAGAGTTATGCCCTTATGGACTTAACTCTTTAAAAATGGAACGATCGTGGAATTGTAAAAATTCCAATTTGGGGGGAGGGGGGCATAAGTGTTTTACAAACATCTCTTGTTGAACAAGTGTCATATCATCTAATATAAATAATGACTAAAGTTTGCTTTATATTTAGTGTTGGTTACCAGGGATACTGATGTAATTTGTATCTTTGTTCAGGGTGTTTAAAAAGTTTCAGTTTCATCGTTTTTGCAGTATTTTGCATGTATTCAAGAAGGGTTTCGGTTTTAATACAGGAAACAGTTTTAAAATTTGTAAGAATAATCTGTGTGATTTGTTTGGTATACTTGCATGTATGGTGTAACTGGTATTTGATCTTTTTTAAAAATATTTATACATCCTCATAGTTCTGTGTGAATTGGAAAGTTTATTTTGTGTATATTTGACATTTGAAAAGTCAGGTAATGAATCATATACACATATTTCTTCCTCAGGTTTTGCAATATACAGAGGCAGACATCTCTCGGATCAAACAAACGTTGGCCTTGGAATTCCAAGGCATATTACTGGACAATCAAAAAGAATGGAGTCAAAAGTTAGCAGAGGAGGAGAAAAAACACAGTAAAAAGTTGGAAGAGGTGAAGGTACAGATGAGTCAAGAAATCGAAAAGAATCGGGCACAGTGTCAGAAGGCAGAGGACAAGGTCAAACAAATGGCGTATGTACTCTAGTTCTTTTTTTAAGGACAGATGATACAAACCAAAAAGAAATCTTATGATGTCTAAAATTTTACATTTCAGTAATCGTTTTTAAATTCTTTACCATTTTTTAATTATCATTTGATGTACATGTTTGAAATTTTAAAAGAATTATTAATTTTTAGGTCACCTGAGTAACTCAGGTGACCTATTGCTATCCGTTTTCGTCCGTCGTCGTCCGTCGTGTGTCGTGTGTTAACATTTGAACATTTTCAGCTTCTTCTCTGAAACCACTGAACCAATTTCAACCAAATTTGGTATACAGCATCTATGGGTGGAGGGGAACAAAAATTGTGAATTTCATGGTCCCCGCCCCCTGGGGCCTGAGGGGTGGGCCAAAACCACTAAAATTAATGAAATCTTTAAAAATCTTCTTCTTTACTCCTGGACATCACGCAGGCAAACTATTGGCATGAATGTAATGAGCATTGAGTCCTCTACCAAAATTGTGAAATTCATGGCCCCAGGGTCAGGGGTTCTAGTGCTAGGGCGGGGCTCTATAGATTATATAGTGAAAATGCATTTATTTATTTCTTTGAAAATCTTCTTCTCTGCTCCTGGGTATTAAATACACTAACTAAGCACATAGTTATGATGAGCAAGAGTGCCTCTTCCAGATTTGTGAATTTCATGGCCCCAGGGTCAGGGGTTCTGGTGTTAGGGCGGGGCTCTATAGATTATATAGTGAAAATGCATTATTTCTTTGAAAATCTTCTTCTCTGCTCCTGGATATTTAATAAACAAATTAAGCACATAGTTATGATGAGCAAGAGTGCCTCTTCCAGATTTGTGAATTTTATGGTCCCAGGGTCAGGGGTTCTGGTGTTAGGGCAGGGCTCTATAGATTATATAGTGAAAATGCATTGTTTCTTTGAAAATCTTCTTCTCTGCTCCTGGGTATTAGATAAACTAACTAAGCACATAGTTATAATGAGCAAGAGTGCCTCTTCCAAAATTGTAAATTTTATGGTCCCAGGGTCAGGGGTTCTGGTGTTAGGGCGGGGCTCTATAGATTATATAGTGAAAATGCATTGTTTCTTTGAAAATCTTCTTCTCTGCTCCTGGGTATTAGATAAACTAACTAAGCACATAGTTATAATGAGCAAGAGTGCCTCTTCCAAAATTGTAAATTTTATGGCCCCAGGATCGGGTTCTGGTGTTAGGGCGGGGCTCTATAGATTATATAGTGAAAATGCATTATTTCTTTGAAAATCTTCTTCTCTGCTCCTGGGTATTAGATAAACTAACTAAGCACATAGTTATGATGAGCAAGAGTGCCTCTTCCAGATTCGTGAATTTTATGGCCCCAGGGTCAGGGGTTCTGGTGTTAGGGCGGGGCTCTATAGATTATATAGTGAAAATGCATTATTTCTTTGAAAATCTTCTTCTCTGCTCCTGGGTATTAGATAAACTAACTAAGCACATAGTTATGATGAGCAAGAGTGCCTCTTCCAAAATTGTGAATTTTATGGCCCCAGGGTCGGGGTTCTGGTGTTAAGTCGGGGCTCTATTGATTATATAGTAAAAATACATTTATTCTTTGAAAATATTTTTCTTTGCTTCTGGGTTTTAAGCCAATGATCCAAATATATAATTATATATTTATGATGAAGAAAGGTGCATCTAGCAAAGTGGTTTTTAATGCCCCCAGGGTTAAAGGGGGGGGTGGTTACATAGCCTGAAAATAAATTAATGCTTTGAAATCTGCTCTTTGGTATTAATCAACCATTTTATGATAACATTTGCAAAATTTTGAAATATGAGGCCCCAGGGTCAGTGGTTCCTTTGGGGTGAGGTGCACAACTGGTTATAAAGTGGAAGTGCATTTTCTCTTTGTTACTCTGATCTACCTCTGGGTATTAAGTAAATAGAGTAAGCATGCTAAGTTTATAATTATGAGGCCATCCTTAAAAAAAAAATTTTTTGCGGTAACGCGCCTCATCATTTTAGGTGTGGGTAGGTAGGTAGGCTTATTTTTTTTTTTTTGGAGACAAAATGTCAGAAATAAATTTCGATGATATAGAGGTATTAATTATGTCTCAATTTTCACCTTATTTATCAAACAGGAAAATTAAAGCATTCTAAATGAATTCAATCTTTTATTGCTCAAATATCAGAACACATCAGTTCTTTTTAGGCAAACTTTTTCTAAAAAAGTGACTCTCATCAGCCACGTACCTCAAATAACTGACTCCACACTAATCCAGTGTTTTGGGGGTGTGATATTTACGAGGTTTAAGATTTTGATAGTTTATTAATTAGCTGTAAATCCGCAATCATCCCACGTGGAATTTTGTCTGCCACCAATTTTGTGGCGATCTCGTAAACATCATACCATGTATCTGTTAGGTGGAACTGACGTACAATATTTTTTTTGCCTAGTAATTAAGATTTTTTTCCTTTAAAATTTACTGTAACTGACAGAACTATAGAGTCAATATTTCCAGCAACCTTCTCGGACGCCATCTCTAAATTTGTAGATCACAAAGACGTTTTAATAGTACTTGGGGGAAAGATAAAGCGTAGGTGTAACCGAGACGTAAAAAAAAAATATCAATCGGATAAAAACGGAAAATGGATACGTAAAAAAAAAAAAGAAGATTTTTGAACCGATAAAAAAAATCCAGTCGGGTGGATTTTGGTGAGTCGGTCGCGTTACCGCAAAAAAACAATTTTTTAAGGATGGCCTAAGCAATGGTGCCTCTTTCAAAATTGTAAATTGTGAATTTCATGGCCTCCGGTTTAAACGCGAACCAAATTTAATTGTTTGAAAGTTGTTACACAATACTCAGGTGACCTATAAGGCCCGTGGGCCTCTTGTTAACAAGATGAAACAGCAAGCTTATAGAATTAAATCGCACCGACTGAAAAGATTTTTTAAATAAGAAGACTCAATTATTTTTTTTTTTATTGTTAACTAAGTTTCTTGAAATACAATTTCATCGAAATCAGTTTTTAGCAGAACGGCCGACAAATTGATCTACTGTGATTTGTTGAAGAAAATGACGCCAAGATATGATTACTGAGAAAAAGTTCTTAATAAAACAACGGCGACATCTCAATCTCATGCCTTTAGCTAACTAAAATTCTTCACTCTAGAAACAATTTGATAATAAAATTTACCACGACTAATTAAGAGTGTTTCGGAGGTGTCTTGACGTGAGTGAATAAATTTTCGAAAGGGACGGTAAACAACAAACAAACCTGTATATTGAATTTAAGGTACGTAATACATGGTACATGTAAGGCCCGCCTAATGAGCAGATGAGGGGCCCACCCATTTATTTATGGGTTAAACTTCATGACTATGACATTGTATATACATGTAGCATTTTATCATTTGTAGATTCGGTTTGGTTCAATTAAATATTGTTTAAATACATTTTACAATTTATAGTTTTGAAATCATTATTCAGCTTCCTGAGACGCCCAGTGTATTTTTCTTTAATTACGCCCTCGAAGATTGGTTGTTTCTTTGCTTTTAATCCCTTTGAGATTTGTTTGGACGACATTTGAACATTTCCCCATTGCTTCAAATTTAGACGTACTCAGCACTTTTTTGCCATTAAGCAGTAAGGGATCTTTTTTCAGCCAGAATCTTTTGTGAGACTGGACATAAGTTTTTATGGTCCCTTTTGAAAGACTGCTTTCAACGTTCCTTATTGGTATTTGGACCTGCGACTTAAAATTAGACACTTACTTCTTAACTCTAAAGCAAAATGCTCTAGAAACACTGCAAATCTGATGGCCCTCAAAAAGTACATTGATTGTCTATAAGCACTGGGGGCTGATGGAAGGTTTGAAAAAATATACTCGGATGTCCGGTCTTTGCGTATTTGAGAATCTTGTCTTTATCTATTCGATCTATATAAATGTACTCTGGCACGAGATATCTCACAAGTTCAACGAAATAACAGTTGTAAATTAATTAATCATGAATTTTCCTTTAAACAGCATATGTCTGATACATAGCATTTAGTTCACAAATCGCTTTCTTTTGTACTTTTCTTACTTATAAAGTTTTTTTCTATTAAATTTTAGAATGTATTTTCAAAGCTGCTATCAAGAAATAAAATTGTTTACCTACCTACCGACCCATCTTGAGAATTCATGGTCGGGTTAGGGGAAACAAAGACATTTTTAATTTCGGCCTTACATGTATGAGTAATACTGTTAACACTATGTGTATTTTATTTACACAGTTCTGTAGTCCAGGAATTTGAGACCATGATCAATGAGTTTGTAGGTAAGTTTGTCTGTTCCTGTGACAGTAGGTAGATGTACAGAATGATTGAACTAAATAGATGGTAGGGGCCTTTTTACCTAAGCAGTTACTTGCATAGGAACTACTATGTACCGGTAATGTGAAGGCAACCTAAAAATAGAAATTGACACCTGAGCTTAGACCAAGGTATGCATGAGCATCATGTATTCGTAATTTGAAGAAGTGGAGTTGAAGTTTTTTCTTGCATGATAAAAATCCAGTTCTCTATTTAACATTTAGCTGTAACTTATAGTAGATTGGAATGAATAAGGGATCACATGTTTACACTATAGAAAAATAATATCTTCCAAATTTAAAATCTTATTATTAAGTTGAAATCATTCGTATTGGTTGTCTTATTATAACAGAATTGCTCAATTTAAAAAATCAGTGACAGGAGAAATTGCTTTGTTGTCTTGAAAGAATTGTGATACTTGTTTGTATAAATTATTTACACTGGTATTGGGTGCTAATAGTATTTAAATTGATTCATTACTTTTATTCCAGAGGAAAGAGAAAAATTAAAAACTGAATTGAAACAAGTAAAACAAGAGCTACAGAAGGCCAATGAACAGGTTTGTTAAGTGAACTTCAGTGCTTCAATGAAAGTCAACTCTTTATTTGAAAAAAGTAAACAGTGTTAAAGCTGTAATATTTGCATACTAAGGAATGATTTATATTGCACATATTCCATTTTTTTGTTTAAAGACCTCACAAGAGTCCAAGGCTGTGGACACATTAGAAGCCTCCTTCTCAGCTCTGCACAAAAGATACGGCAAAACCAAAGAAATACTGGAGAATTCTCTAAAGGCAAGTCTGTCAGTTATGTAATGCAGAATTGGATTAAATTTTCCCTGAAGAGTTGATGTAGTTGTGAATCAATGCATCCATCCGAGAACATCTTTCATAATGGGACATGATGGCCTAACTTTCTATTAAAATATATAGAACATTTCAGATTTTCTAATTCTCAGTAAGAAAGTAGAGAATGGTTCAAGGACTTCGATTAGAAAGATTCAATCACCTGATAAATAGATAGAGTTGTATTTTGTATCAAATGATAAAATAACTAAATTTAATATTGTCATGCATGGGATGACATTAAAGCTAGAAGTATCATCATAGTGAAAAAGGATTGATATCATAACAATGGTTGAATAAAGAGTCAACTTAAAGGATACTCAACCTGACAAATACTCAAAATATTGTTATAGAAATTCTAGGCATTTTTGAAAAAAACCGACCTTTTGGGGATGACAACAGGCCTTGAAATTACACTGAATAAAGCAGTTGATCATTAAATCATACATAAACATCCCATATTATTTCGAATTCTTTGTGTATCAGAATGAAGAAACCCTGAAGGCCTGTGTGGAGGATTACATGGGGAGATTAAAGAAGGCGGACGAACAAATCCTTAAAGTCAAACAAATGGCCGAGGAGAAATTAAAGGCGTAAGTTTCTTTACAGGGGACAAAAAAAGGTAAAAATCGGCAATGGCAGATAGCAATGAAGTTAAAACTGCTTACTGTCAAATGAAGAATCCCATTTTTGCTTCAAAAACTGTTGGCTGACGGCTGTTTGTGGTTTTTGGAAATGTGACTGGGGTTTAACAGAATTCTTCAAATTCTTTTCATATCACATATGACACGTTTAAAAATATAATAAAATATTGCAACTCAAAACTGATAAAAACAGCTTGGATCCTATATGCTGGCATCTGCATCAGTATTCCAGATTTAACTTTTTGAGACGGTCTCAGATACTTTTACATAAAACAAACTTTTCTTGAAACTTTCATTGATGTTGCATGTAGAATCACATTGAGATGTGCATTGTCTAGATATCTTAGTCAGCCAAAGTTGGATTAAATTAATACTATAATAATTAATTACCAATATTATCGTCAATTATTAATGGAATTTTATTTTATAATAATTTCCAGAGCACATGAAGAACTTGAGAAGGTCAAGTCCAATTCAATGTCAGAAACAGCCCGACTGGAGGCTTTGGTGAAACGCAAAGAGATGCAGCTGGAGAGCAAAGAGAAAGCCCTAGAACAGAAGGTATTCTAGCTTTATGATGTAGTGACAATAAAGTGTTTTCTTTGGTTGTAAGGGTGAGAAGATGCAAAAAAGTAATACACAACTCACATAAGAGGGGGAGGGGGGACAGGATACTTTAAGAGGGGCAGGTGGTTACATAGGGAGTTTAGGTATAAAATTTTATTGCAAAAGGTCAACTGTCAAAAGTTTCTTGAGGCATCATCTTTAACATGCCAATTGCATATCAAAGAACTATATGCGGTATATTGTATATATTTGCCCCCCACAAAAGTCAAATTTTGAAAACTTCCTGAAATGTGCTGAATTCAATAAATTGTATGAGAAATATAAATTAACAGAAAATATTATAGTGTCAAAGCAGTGTATTCCCAATTTTTGTTTTTATGACGTCACAAACTAGTCCGATTTTATATCCTTTTTCAAAAAGAGGACAAAATGGACAAAATTTCAACAATTTTACCTTTAAAATTTATAGAGCGCAAGTTTGTTCAGGAACAATATTGACATTTTTAATTGATATTATCATTCTACACATTATATCAAAATATTGATCCTGAACACACATGCGCTCGGTGACTTTTACTCAAAATATTGACGAAATATGTACATTTGTCTGTAAAATTCATAATAAACTGAAATTTACGTCAAGTTTGTGACGTCATTACGTACATATGGCGTCATTTCTTTTGAAAATATCAGTGCTTTGAAGTCAGCATATACTCCCCTGTTTAAGAACTTAATTAAATATATCTCCATCAAAGTTTGATTTGGGGGGCAAATATTGGTTATTACCGAATAAAGTTCTATACATACATGAAGAACTTTAAGAAATGTAGTTGAACTCAGTATGTATTTGTTCTATTACAGAGTAAGGAATTTAATGACTTGTCAGATATTTGTGATCAACTGATGCAGAAGCTGGAATCCAGACAGTGAATATCATTGTTCATGAATTTTAGACTGAAAGACATGTTTATAGAAAACCCCATTTTATTTTCAATCATGGAAAATTGTGCTCGTGAGAGAAGTAGTGCTGTAATGTATGTGGATGTTACAATGAGTACTGTAAATGTTTGCACAACTCAGATATTTAAAAGTAACTTGAAGTTCACAGTACATTGACACTATGTGTTCATGAGTGTGAACATGAGAAATTGATGTTCATGAAATATACAGGATAATAATCAGATGTTTTTATTGCGTGTTCTTTGCATAAAATATTATTCAGGGATGGGGTCGATTACTTTCAAAAGTAATCGATTAAATTACAATTACTTTGGATTTTAAAAGTAATCGATTACAAGCTGATTACAGGCATTTTTTTAAGTAATCAATTACATCTGATTACTTTTCCTTCATGTAATCATGATTACTTATGATTACTTTAGATTACATTAAGTTTTATTTTTTGGGGTTTAATATTCAAGGACAACAGCATGTTTTTATTCATCTTTCTTTAAATATCATTAATATTTTTAAGGCAGAATTCAGACAAAGTTTGGTTGTATATGTCTTTATTTAGATACATGAGATTTATCTTTTATCACCTGATTTCTATCTTTAATACAAGTAAATATCATGTTACTGTTGAGAGAAATAGAAAAAAGAATTTATTATAGTTTTTTTTTATTAATCAAACTGGACATAATTATAGGTAGGGATAAAGGGATTCGGTAGGGAACTGTTACACAAGTAATTGACATTCTTGACGACTGATGGGTTTTTCAATTAAACTGCAAATTATTACCTGGTAGATGTTTTTTACTAGAATTAACACATTGATTGGACAAGCATGGATAGTTTAATAATTACTATTACCCAAGCTGACCTAACTTTAGTATATCTGTGTCTTATGACTAATTAATTCACATTATCTTTTCATGTACACTGTAAATCAAACAATTAAGTGAATTTTAGAATATGTCTCAATAAAGGAACATTTGCTATTAAAAAAATACAAGTTTTTTCAAAGATTTACAGGGAAAACAAATTGTTGCATTACACACATGTTCATTAAATTTTAAACAAAATAAATCAAACTTTAAAATGATCCTGTAGTAATTTTTTATCAGTATATGCATATATCGTGTCAAAAATAGGGAATTGCTAAGCTGCTAAAGTATTTTGAAATGAATACCGAATATACAGTCATGTTGCAAGGAAATGATAGAATTTACTCATTGCCAGGACAATGGACCTGATTATAAGCATTTCTGGAGACAATAGAAGAAGGTAATTAAATATAGCTTATAATTCTATAATTTTTTTTCAATAAACAATTTTATACACTGAAAAATATTAACTGAAAATCATCAAAAATCATGATTTTATGAACTTTGTTATCCAAATTGTAATCATAAAGTAATCATGATTACAGGACTTTTTTCACAGTAATCGATTAAATTACGATTACTTGTAATCAGAAAAATGGATGATTACTGATTACTCATGATTACTTGGCAAACTGTAATCGATTACAGCTGATTACGATTACCCCATCCCTGATATTATTATATCATTTCTGTGTTGGAGAGAATCTGTGTTTATATTAGAACTGCTCTGTACTATATATTTACTACTTCTGTCTTATGAATCATGCATTTTTGTCTTCTTTCTATCCTCTGTCTGTAAGTTGAGTGAGATGTCTTGTACATTTATGTTATGTAGTGAACATCTGAACTGTGTAGTTTGTCATTTGTTATGTAGTGTACATGCTTATAACTACATAAATATATTATCTGTATATCGTAATAATGTTTTATATTGTTTATATGGAAGCATTTACAATTTGAACTATATTTTATTTCAAATGCCTGGTCTCTTATCAAGAAAAAATATGGTTACAAATTTCACACTGCAAAATATAGACATTTATCAGTATGTCAAATTTTAGGTTTGAGTCATCATTGGGATCACAAATTTCTTATCATGTTGTAATAATTACATCTTTGCTATGGCACATTCATTGCCATGGAAAAAATCCAGCAGTGGACAAAATGGAAACAGTCAGGTGCCTGTTCAACAGAGTGAAAGTTCACGAACAGTCGCCAAAGTTCTGTATACATTCAACAGAAAGTTTGTGAGCTCTCGCCAAAATTCTGTATACATCCAACAGAAAGTTTGTGAGCTCTCGCCAAAATTCCTCATATCACCAACAGAAATGTTTGAGAGCTCTCGCCAAAATTCCTCATATCGCCAACAGAAATGTTCTTGAGCACTTGGTCTGTTGAACAAGCCTCGTTTGTGGGAATGTAATAGTATGATCCTTTTAGTAACATCAAGACTGAATCAAAGTGAAAACTTCAGTTGAGACATAAGTATAATTTTAGAAATTTTTATCCATGAAATGTAAACACTGGTTGGTATTGTGATCTATTATTATTTAATCTTTGTTATGGCCAAAGTCTAAAGTATAAAACACAAAGCTACAGTTCTGCAGCAACCTTGACAGTGCCCTGGTTTAATTATGCATACAAGGAATAACAAAGATATGACATTAATAATAAAATTTATTGTATGATAAAAACAAATGTCAACAGTCCATATTGTAACAAAGGAAAATGGAACTGTATTTAATGGGTTCTTTCTTTTAAATTTCAGAAGTCAACTTTTCACCTAAGATACCATTTAGCACTCACAGGTAAATTTCATTATCAGTGATTTCAGACACACTTCAATGGTAATACCATACAAAAGACAATCAAAGAATGACATTGGATTATGATTTTTTTCCCTTATAAATTTAGACATTTTTGATCTAGGAAATGAACAAATATAAATAACCCTTTAAACAGCACCTTAACATAAAAACAAAATTGGAATAGTGACTAAAATTGAAGGTATAACGAGATGTTTGTAAAACACTTATTCCCCCCCCCCCTTTTCTAAGTCCAAGGGGCGCAATCGTACCCAAAACAGAACTTGACCTAGATATTCATCTGACAAACCTGTATATTAAATTTCATTTCAGTATGAGCAACCTCTGCAAAGAAAATGAACGGAAACTTCAAATAATCGAAATTTTTCTAAGTACAAGGGGCATAACTCTGTCAACCAGAAGTCTCTGTCGAGACTGTAGCTCTACTGGTTTGTACTTATCAAAAACCATTGCACTATTTTAAGTTTCTTTGTGTAGTCTACTTGTGTGCCAACTTATTTTGAAATCGAACTAAAACTGTAGAAGGAGTAGCGTTTTAAAGGAATTTCACGGAAAATTCTATTTCTAGTAACCATGGCAACACCATTCATTGAAATCAAAAACTTATGCACTATTCTTTGTATCTTAGTGAGTCTACTTGTGTGCCAAGTTATATTGAAATCAGACCAAAACTGTAGAAGGAGTAGCATTTTATATGAATTTCACAGAAAATTCTATTTTTAGTAACCATGGTAACATCGTTCATCGAAATAAAAAACAGATGCACTATTCTATGTATCTTAATGTAGTCTACTTGTGTGCCAAGTTATATTGAAATCAGACCAAAGCTGTAGAAGGAGTAGCGTTTCAAAGGAATTTCACAGAAAATTCTATTTTTAGTAACCATGGCAACATCGTTCATCGAAATCAAAAACAGATGCACTATTCTATGTATCTTAGTGTAGTCTACTTGTGTGCCAAGTTATATTGAAATCAGACCAAAGCTGTAGAAGGAGTAGCGTTTCAAAGGAATTTCACAGAAAATTCTATTTTTAGTAACTATGGCAACACCGTTCATCAAAATCAAAAACCAATGCACTATTCTATGTATCTTACTGTAGTTTACTTGTGTGCCAAGTTAAATTGAAATCAGACCAAAACTGTAGAAGGAGTAGTGTTTTAAAGGAATTTCACAGAGAATTCTATTTTTAGTAACCATGGCAACAACGTTCACCAAAATCAAAAACCGATGCACTATTCTATGTATCTTAGTGTAGTCTACTTGTGTGCCAAGTTATATTGAAATCAGACCAAAACTGTAGAAGGAGTAGCGTTTTAAAGGAATTTCACAGAAAATTCTATTTTTAGTAACCATGGCAACACCGTTCACTGAAATCAAAAACCATTGCACTATTTTATGTATCTAAGTGTAGTCTACTTGTGTGCCAAGTTATATTGAAATCAGACCAAAACTGTAGGAGTAGCGTTTTAAAGGAATTTCACAGAAAATTCTATTTTTAGTAACCATGGCAACACCGTTCATCGAAATCAAAAACCGATGCACTATTCTATGTATCTTAGTGTAGTCTACTTATGTGCCAAGTTATATTGAAATCAAACTAAAACTGTAGAAGGAGTAGCGTTTTAAAGGAATTTCACGGAAAATTCTATTTCTAGTAACCATGGCAACACCATTCATTGAAATCAAAAACTTATGCACTATTCTATGTATCTTAGTGTAGTCTACTTGTGTGCCAAGTTATATTGAAATCAGACCAAAACTGTAGAAGGAGTAGCATTTCAAAGGAATTTCACAGAAAATTCTATTTTTAGTAACCATGGCAACATCGTTCATCGAAATAAAAAACAGATGCACTATTCTATGTATCTTAGTGTAGTCTACTTGTGTGCCAAGTTATATTGAAATCAGACCAAAGCTGTAGAAGGAGTAGCATTTCAAAGGAATTTCACAGAAAATTCTATTTTTAGTAACCATGGCAACATCGTTCATCGAAATCAAAAACAGATGCACTATTCTATGTATCTTAGTGTAGTTTACTTGTGTGCCAAGTTATATTGAAATCAGACCAAAACTGTAGAAGGAGTAGCGTTTTAAAGGAATTTCACAGAAAATTCTATTTTTAGTAACTATGGCAACACCGTTCATCGAAATCAAAAACCGATGCATTATTCTATGTATCTTAGTGTAGTCTACTTGTGTGCCAAGTTATATTGAAATCAGACCAAAACTGTAGAAGGAGTAGCGTTTTTAAGGAATTTCACAGAAAATTCTATTTTTAGTAACCATGGCAACACCGTTCATCGAAATCAAAAATCGATGCCCTATTCTATGTATCTTAGTGTAGTCTACTTGTGTGCCAAGTAATATTGAAATCAGACTAAAATTGTAGGAGGAGTAGCGTTTTGAAATATTGTTTACAGACAGACGGACAGACAGACAGACGGACGGACGCCGGACGCATTACTATCGCATAAGCTCTTCTGGTCTCTGACCAGTAGAGCTAAAAATGGTGCAATTGTACCTAAAACAGAACTTGACCTAGATATTCATCTGATATACCTGTATACCAAATTTCATTTCAGTATGTGCAACGGTTGTGAAGAAAATGAACAGAAACTAAATGAACCGACCGACAGAAAGCAGCAAAGCAATATGCCCTCCCTTCTTCAAAGGGGGGGGGGGGGGGGCAGAAAAATTTGTAAGAGCTGCTAACCAAACCACTCTTAGATCTGTAACAGGATTTTAAAGGTACAAAAATCTGTAAATAAAAAAAAGTTAAAAATAAAAACTAAAGCTTTGTACCATCCTCGCAAGCCAGGGGTTTCGAGTCAACACATTGCCATTATGGACCCTTGTCAAACTTCATTCAATATCCGTGGGTTGAATGTAGCGACGTCTTTCGGAAAAATTGCAAAACTTGATCATTTTCCTTATCTCTCAACCAATCACATTAAGCCATTGTGTGAAAACAATTCGTAACAAGTGCATTTGAGGTGCAGCTGAATCCTTATCTGACTATTTTTAAAAGCTTTAATTTGATTGGTGCTTCTCAATGAGAGAAGCAAGCCCGGGAAATTTAATGAAATATGCCTGGGGTGTAACGGCAATGTGTTGACACAGGACCACTGGCTTGCAAGGATGGTTTTGTACATCACTACATATAGTAACTGTTGCAATTATACTGAACACAAGTATTTAGACATCATGACATCAGATTGTCACAAAAAATATGAACTGGGTCATTCTATAACCATGATACATGTATCAAAAACATGTAATTTAACTTATCTTACTACTGCTTGGATTTCACAAACAAAAATAATGTTCAAACCTGCTGATTGATTGCTATTTGTCACTGATTGAGAAAAAAAGCAAAACTTCAAGGCTCTATATAAAAAAGTGATTTCAATAGTGACTTATATTCACAAAATCATACATGTATTAAGGTGCCTTGATTTTTAATGATTGAACACATTATCTTTCTTAACCTTAACATATACATGTACATGTAACTGACTATAAATTTAAATACGTGAATGTATAAAAAAAGTCATGTTAATTGGAAAATTCATGTAAAATGGAAAATTCAATACTTCATTGCAAGCACTGACTAGATTAAATTTAAAGAATCTTAATAATTGCCATAAAAATTCAGCAATTAAACTTTAAAAAAATTATTATGAATTATTACACATGCCCTGTACCAATAAATACTCTTATACACAAAAAATCAACAAAATATACAATTTAAAACAAGGAATAATATTTAACACACTAGCTATCCTAAAATTATTTAGCTAAAAAAATAGACACAATTGCAAACAAAACAAAATCACTCTTGCACCTTTTGCTTTTGGTCCTTTTCCTAATTACAGTAAAAGTTTTAACACAGGGTTAATTTTCATAACATAATTATGAACACAGCAGAGTCATATATATAAAATACATGGTTACTTCTTGAAATATAAGCAATATTTGGGCGAGAGTAAAAAATCATGATAGAGGGCGAGGCTTGCCGAACCCTCTTACGTTTTCGACCCAAGCCCAAATATCCCTTATATTTCAAGGTATTTCAAGACAGTTATCATACATTTTGTCTATCCTGCAACAAAACTTTTACATCTGACTGTCCAAAACAAGCTATTTTCAACGGATTTAGGCACATAACTGCAGTTGAAACTATGACGCCATGGCGTAAACATTGCAACATACATGTACATGACGTTACAATGCTTTTAGAACGTCGGAATACATGCACAAGGATTTATTGGGGTAGTGACCGGATAAAGCTTTGATTTATTAGGTTACCTTTATTAGGTCAATGCAAGGGGTAGTTGCAGGATAAATACCATTAAAGGTGAGATGTTGTGTTAAACTTAAATGGTTAAACACTTAATGGGACATACTTTTACATTGTCTATTACTCTGTTGGAGGTTGTGTTTTTGTTTCATCAAGGACCACTCAAGAATATTGGTAAAAAAAAATTAAACTACATCTATTCTCAGAAGAGCTTAATATACATTTTTTTGTTAATGGATGCCTTTCCAAGCAATACATGAAAGAACATTGTTGTAAGGAAGATGATAAAAAAAAAAACTGAGTTTGTAATTGATGCTTCATAATTACAATAAAACTGTTTGCTAAGAATGAAAAAAACCCACAAACTTTTTAAATCATCCAATTCAAAATAGTCATCACTCATGCCTTAACCCCCACCCCATCCCATCCAAATTTCTTTCCCTGAAACAGGAAGGGGTGTGGAAGGGGGGTCGGGATTTTACAAAACGACAACAAATCTAGGAGTAAATCACAGACAGTTTGTGTCTAATATCAGCTGAATGAAGTACTAGCACCTATACTGGCTATAGGTTTCTTGCTTGTCAGTTCACTGGAGTCAAAAGTCACTTGTTTGGTGATTTTCTGCTTGGTGTCTTTATTATCTGAAGCTTCCAGTTCGTCCTGAGATTCGTCGTAACATTCATTGACTTTATCCTGGTGGGCTTCCTCCTGTTCCTTGGTTGGGGGAAGTAATTCTCTACAAATATATCAGATGTACATAACAATACAATAATCACAAGGCAATTTTTTTCTGAGTTCAAGATTTCCTGTTTTTTAATTGTAAACAAAGAATATGCAGCTGCATCTTAAATTGACATCCTACAAGTTTCATGAAACTCATTACAACTTCCTGGATTTGTGAGTTTCTTTCATTAGAGAATCTTCAATATCACAAAAAACTTGACATTCCAAATCAGAGAAATTATAAAGTATTCTGTATCGAGGACTTTTCATAATTTATAATGGAACCTCTTTTGAAAATATCCCCAACACTTTTACCTTGAAAATGTTGATCCCATCAAGATCAATTATCTTGCAGATCTTCAGTAATCTTGCAATTATTTTTATCACCTGGCAACAGAGTGTGAGTGGATATAGCAATATGTTTTTGTATGTATTAGTTTTTCCTGTGTGAAAAGGGACGTAATTTGCATTGGGATCAATGTTGAATGCTGCCTTGGTTTATAGATATGCTGTGTAGGCTAAGATGTCTGCTTATTTTAGATATCTTTGTTCATAAAATATGTACAGAGTGAAAACTGTCTAATCCGCCACACTATTAATTCTGATGTAAAAATTCTTTCCCATTTTACTTAAAGTTTCATGTATTTTACATTGTGCAATCCGACACCTTGCCTAATCCGATACAAAATTCCTCTCCCAGTGCACGTTGGATTAGATAGATTTCACTGTATTAAGATCAAGCACCTACCTCTCTCTGTTGAAGATTCGAAAATATTTAAAAATGTTCTCCTCCATGTCTTGTGATGGATCTCCTTCCTATTTATAAGATAACATAAAGTAGTATTAATTTGTATATCGTAGACAGTCAAGTTTCCAAACTAGCCTACATGTACCAAGGCTGTGCAATTTTACAATCAAAGCCAGGACTATAAAACAAAATAATTCAACTAAGTTTTTTTAAAATAAGCTATTTTTACTGATTAATTTGATTAAGTTTTACAATCAGACTTTAAAAGTTCATTGGAAATTACTGTATACAGGGAAATTTTCTCCTTTGTTTTATTTTTGCCCTTCCACCCTAGACACATGAGTGGGCAAATTTAAAATGGGACAAATTCAAAGAAAACTTATAATTTATAACTTCTTGAACTGAACTGTGACAGGGTGAATTTAAAACTGGTAAAATTATTTGCAAGTGAGAAAGGGCAAAATATAACATAAGGCAAAAATAACACTGTATATAGTAATGATAATTTGATAATAATTATCCACAGAGAATTTAACCCTAGAACCCTAGACTGACTACATGCAGGACCTACCACTGAGGACTGATGTGAGAGCTCTCTCTTGGAATTCTGTTTGGCAAGTCTTTTCTTCTTCTTGTGGAGTGGTTTTGATTCGATGATCATTTCTTCGAGTTCATAGGTGGGGTCACAGTTAAGGTGGTCTTTCTGTAACATTGGCAGAAAAAATATTCATTGGATGATTAATATTGATGCTTGTGTTGGTAATTAAGTTACAATTCTTTAGAGGATTTTCCCCCCACATTAACCTTAAGTTTTTAATTTATAAACAAAACAAATTTTTCATCAAAGATTTAATACATTAGTGTGAAAATGAAATCCCTTTGTTGAATTCTAAGAAAACAATTCATATTTCCTTCTTATAACACAATAAATTAACATCATTATTCTACTTTTCTTACCAGTCAGACAGCAATCATGCAACTCTACATTAAGTTTATTGTAAAAAAAAGTAAAATCAAAAACAAACTATTTAGGAAATAGAAAGTGGATATATTTCAAACATATTGCACCACCTCATTAAATCACAATATAGGTAATAAAATAACTTACGGAAGGCACAAAGGGGGGTTTGATTTTTCTATGCAGAACCTGGTCAAAGTCCACATCACTTATAAAGCTATGGTTCTGCAAGGCCTCTATTGTTGAGATTCTCTTCTCTGGATCCAGGTACAAGAGCTACAACAAATGTTTACAAGAGCTACAACAAATGTTTACAGTGTATTTACAAATGTTTACAGTGTATTTACAAATGTTTACAGTGTATTAACAGGAGCAACAACAAATGTTTACAGTGTATTTACAAATGTTTACAGTGTATTAACAGGAGCAACAACAAATGTTTACAGTGTATTTACAAATGTTTACAGTTTATTTACAAGAGCTACAACAAATGTTTACAGTGTATTTACAAAGTAAAGAGTGTATTTACAAGAGCTACAACAAATGTTTACAATGTATTTACAAATGTTTACAGTGTATTTACAAATGTTTACAGTGTATTTACAGGAGCTACAACAAATGTTTACAGTGTATTTACAGATGTTTACAGTGTATTTACAGGAGCTACAACAAATGTTTACAGTGTATTTACAAATGTTTACAGTGTATTTACAGGAGCTACGACAAATGTTTACAGTGTATTTACAGGAGCTACAACACATGTTTACAGTGTATTTACAGATGTTTACAGTGTATTTACAGGAGCTACAACAAATGTTTACAGTGTATTTACAAATGTTTACAGTGTATTTACAGGAGCTATGACAAATGTTTACAGTGTATTTACAGGAGCTACAACAAATGTTTACAGTGTATTTACAAATGTTTACAGTGTATTTACAGGAGCTACAACAAATGTTTACAGTGTATTTACAAGAGCTACAACAAATGTTTACAGTGTATTTACAGGAGCTATAACAAATGTTTACAGTGTATTTACAAATGTTTACAGTGTATTAACAGGAGCTACAACAAATGTTTACAGTGTATTTACAAATGTTTACAGTTTATTTACAAGAGCTACAACATATGTTTACAGTGTATAAAATTTACAGGAGCTATAACAAATGTTTACAGTGTATTTACAAATGTTTACAGTGTATTTACAGGAGCTGCAACAAATGTTTACAGTGTATTTACAAGCTACAACAAATGTTTACAAGAGCTACGTACAGCATTAAATGATTTCACCTGAATAGTTGGGGGTTATCATTTGATAACAACTGTTTAATATAGTGTTTGACATGGAGGAACTGATAATCTTCTTGACTTATCAATACAGTTAAACATGTTTATACTGAACATGTTACAAGTGGCTTTAAATTATACTGTGAACTTAATGGATACATTTATAACAAATTACATTTGACTTGAATGTTTATAAACAGCAAAATCGACCATCCCTGCACTTCATTATACGACTTAGTGTGTTTTACTGTTACCTGTTTGATAAGGTCTTTACAACCACTATGCCAGCTGGAGGAGTAATGCACTTTGAGAGTGGTGAACATTTGTTTGGCCTCTAGGACTGAGGTACTGTTGTGTATATCATACGGCCTCTGCAATAATATCAGAAAGTTACTTTTCATGAAAATAATTTTGCAAGGTCCTAAATTAAAAAGTCACTTATACAGATCAATTACAAGGCAAATATGGCCCCATTAGAAAAAATGATGAGTATCTACATGTACATGAAGTGCAACAGATGAATGGCAGAAAGGGTATACTGTGAAGTCACTGCTTTTCGGGGGTTGAGGGGGTGGGGGGGTTAATAATTTTCATGGTGTGAAGAAACTCCTGAGCTCATGTATTTCAAAGTACATAATTCACCTTATGCTCAGTGAATTTTGTATTCCTCAGGTGCCTATATCATTATACTGACCTAAAAAATATAGCTTTAACTTTAAAAATGAGACTTTATGATTGATCATTTTGGGTGTGTGGTGTTGTTCAGTAGTAACATTGCTAAAGTCCTAAATTAAACATGTTAAAGGACCACCCCATATTAAATCTGACTGCTTTGACCCTAATCAGGAACTAAATCTTGTGCCCTCACTATATTACGCCTTTTATTCTGAACTTTGATTAAGCTACAGAGAAGTGATATACTGTTTGAAATATAAATGGTATTTCCCAACAGAGCTCTATCTGATCACGAAAAAGAGATTCACGCAACCTCAAAACTCCCAAGCTGTCATGGAAAAAAAAAATTAATAATACAAACTAGTAAGAGGAAACATTGGGTAAACTCTTTACAATCATTTCTAAATGACAGAGCAGATATCGTAATGATTAACTTTCCATGCGAGTCAATAATTGATGAACGTCGTTGGCATAAGTTGCCTCATTTGGGTTTTTCTAGCATCCAGTCTCATCAGAAATCCAATAAATTTGTTTTGATTATGATGGTAATCCAACACCCACATACTTCTGAGGATTCAATAAAGACATTAATTACAGAACAAGGAAAAGTCACATCAGATGCACTCTAAATGGTATATATGCATTGGTTATTCTCTAAAGGCGACTAAATGTTATCAATAAAAATCGTGAAGCTGAAAATGATACAGTAAAACTTGCATAGTCTGAACACTATTAGTTAAAAAAAAATGACCAGATTAAACAACATTCCTTATCAGACAATACTGTAAATGTATTATATACTGAAAGGAAAAAGAAACGCAGGGTATCATAATATTCGAAAAAAAATTGACCGCATGACTGAAAATTACGAAAATTGGTCAGATTAGAAATTTAGTTACTTTGAATCAAAAACAGTGTTCAGAATTACTCAACCGTAAAATGTATGACGTCATGTAGGGAAAACGCTAAAAAGCCCAAAACACGTTCAATTTGATGACGACAAGTTTGTCAACAAATCATGTTGCACCATGTGATCACTAGCACCTGAGGTAATTACACATTGTTTTTCAATATTTAAAGACGATATGAATTTCTTGTAATCTTGGTACAGTTTACAGAAGTCCCATATGGTCTGGCTTTCGAATTGCCAAATTAATGGAAAAAGTCAACAACGGGTAAATAAGCAGTTTCCTGTAAATTTTCCCCCATAAAACTTGTTACCCGTTATCAGAAAGGGCCTTGAATAGTTTTCATCAACCGTGACGATGACGTTAACGCGAAACAGAGTCATGTTCCGAGCGGGTTTTTCGTCCTGCCATCTCTTAAATCGCCACCTTACTACCACAAAAACCGCCTGTTATACAGTAGACATTTATAATCATTACAATCACACAAAAAATGAAAGAAAACAATTCCGCAATTTGGATTTTGGGGCCGGTCAACTTACTGTTGTGTTCCTCTCACTGGCGCATGCGCGCGTCATATGACTTATTTTTCGGCGTGGTTAACCATGCCCAATATAGCCAGAGTTTGAAAGATAAACACTCTGATGATTTCCATGCTAAGGATAAATAAGGCTCTTGACAGATGCGCGGGAGAGACATTGAAGATAATGAGAGTTTTCGATTTTCCCTTTTGGGGGGTATCGTCATATGAGCTGCAATAACTCATGGATTATTTGACAAAATCAAATGGGATTTTGGTTATATCTTTTTAATAGATAATTTTAAAAGTTAGATAGGAATATTGAAAAAAATTTAAAGAAAAAGAAATTAAATTCACCTCAAAAGTTTACCCTGCGTTTCTTTCTTTCAGTATATTTAGCGCGTACAATATTTAGCGAAAATTGGATTTTGAACAACTTAGTGTGGATTTGATTTTGCGCATATCTTATTAATGTTCTTCTTTATAGGTATATGTGTGAGGCATTTAGCGTTGTACTTGAATTAGCTCAGATTGCTTAAACGCCAAAAGAGCTAAAAAGAATACACAGCCAAATGTAATACGTTTACAGTATTTTGAACAAATAAATTTACTGAAAAGTACTTAAATTTTACATCGTATCAAACTAAAAAAAAAAATCAAAGAAAAGCATTCTGGAGTAATAATCATTATATATGGAAGCATTCTCATTTTTCATCATAGCTTTAAATTATTATATAAATATTGCATGTAGTTGAGTGTAACATTGAAAATTTTCACCCCAAGAAAACCATTGTCAACCGAGGCGCAGCCGAGGTTGACAATGGTTTTCGAGGGGCTACGCAGGAGGGCGTGGCTTCATTAATTTATTCAGCGGGTAGTAGTGTTTTTTATCAAATGTTTCTCGACGAATCAGATTCAAGTTATTTACATGAAAGTATAATATTGATTTTTGTCACAGGGTTTCAGTAACGTTGATCGATGACGTCACAACTGTATCAAAACAAAAATTACGAGAATGCGATGACGGCGCTGCTTGTATCCAGATAACTGTGTATGAGAGGGAAATACTTTAAAAATTGTTTATGCTTTATTAGAGAAAAGGAGCATTGATCAAGTGTACTGATTTTTTCTTTACTGAAGACAAGAAGCCGCGTCCTTATGTAAGTCAGGATTTCCTCTGATATTCTTGAAAAACAAGAGGCCCATGGGCCTTATAGGTCACCTGAGTATTGTGTAACAACTTTCAAACAATTAAATTTGATTCATGTTTTAAACCAGAGGCCATGAAATTCACAATTTACAATTTTTAAAGAGGCACCATTGCTTATCATAATTATTAACTTAGCATGTTTACTCCATTTACTTAATACCCAGAGGTATATCAGAGTAACAAAGAGAAAATGCACTTCCACTTTATACCCAGTTGTGCACCTCACCCTAAAGGAACCACTGATCCATGGGCCACATATTCAAAATTTTGCAAATTTATCATAAAATGGTTGATTAATACTAAAGAGCAGATTTCAAAGCATTCATTTATTTTCAGACTATGTACCCCCCCCCTCCCTGACCCTGGGGGCATAAAAAAAACACTTTGCTAGATGCACCTTTCTTCATCATAAATATATTGGCATAAAACCCAGAAGCAAAGGAAAATATTTTCAAAGAATTTATTTTTACTACTGAGTATATAATCAATAGAGCCACGCCCTAACACCAGAACCCCTAATCCTGGGGCCATAAAATTCACAATTTTGGAAGAGGCACTCTTGCTCATCATAACTATTGCTTAGTTAGTTTATTTAATACCCAGAAGCAGAGAAGAAGATTTTCAAAGAATTAATGCATTTTCACTATATAATCAGTAGAGCCCCGCCCTAACACCAGAACCCCTAATCCTGGGGCCATAAAATTCACAAATCTGGAAGAGGCACTCTTGCTCATCATAACTATGTGCTTAGTTAGTTTATTTAATACCCAGAAGCAGAGAAGAAGATTTTCAAAGAATTAATGCATTTTCACTATATAATCAATAGAGCCCCGCCCTAACACCAGAACCCCTGACCCTGGGGCCATAAAATTCACAAATCTGGAAGAGGCACTCTTGCTCATCATAACTATGTACTTAGTAAGTTTATTTAATACCCTAGGAGCAGAGAAGAAGATTTTCAAAGAATAAATGCATTTTCACTATATAATCAATAGAGCCCCGCCCTAACACCAGAACCCCTGACCCTGGGGCCATAAAATTCACAAATCTGGAAGAAGCACTCTTGCTTATCATAACTATGTGCTTAGTTAGTTTATTAAATACCCAGGAGCAGAGAAGAAAATTTTCAAAGAAATAATGTATTTTCACTATATAATCTATAGAGCCACGCCCTAACACCAGAACCCCTGACCCTGGGGCCATAAAATTCACAATTTTGGAAGAGGCACTCTTGCTCATAATAACTATGTGCTTAGTTAGTTTATTTAATACCCAGGAGCAGAGAAGAAGATTTTCAAAGAAATAATGCATTTTCACTATATAATCTATAGAGCCCCGCCCTAGCACTAGAACCCCAGACCCTGGGGCCATGAATTTCACAATTTTGGTAGAGGACTCAATGCACATTACATTCATGCCAACAGTTTGCCTGCTTGATGTCCAGGAGTAAAGAAGAAGATTTTTAAAGATTGCAATAATTTTAGTGGTTTTGGCCCCACCCCTCAGGCCCCTGGGGGGCGGGGACCATGAAATTCACAATTTTTGTTCCCCTCCACCCATAGATGCTGTATACCAAATTTGGTTGAAATTGGTTCAGTGGTTTCAGAGAAGAAGACGAAAATGTTCAAATGTTAACACACGACACACGACGCACGACGCACGATGACGGACGAAAACGGATAGCAATAGGTCACCTGAGTTACTCAGGTGACCTAAAAATCAAAGAATGCAAATATAAGTAATAAACAACGATTACTCAGTGAACATGGCATTATGAGCAATTGCTATTCATAACGCCATGTTCACTGAATAACGTTGTTTATTTCTTAATTGGCTATCCTGCAGTTTTCAGTTATTTAAATGGTTTCCATTTTTAAGTTAGAATCAAGCTTTTAATCTGTAATTCATTGCTGGAAATACATTTGATTGTTTTAATTTAAATATTAATGTACATTTGATAACTTAAAGCATGTTTTGATGAGAGTGATTTTTATTGTTCATATCTGTTTTGTCTGCAAGCATGCATAATACATAAATGGCAATCCAAATACCGTATATCCATTTTTTTTCCCAATGATCTATTTTTCTGCATTTTTTGCGACCATTTTTAATTCGCAAAATATAAAACATGCAGAAATTATGTCAGCTATAATGTGACATTACCATTTTAAACAAAAAAAACTTCAATCGTAAAAAATAACTTACGCAAAATAAAAACTGTACTAATCTACCCCTTTTTCGCAAAATTTCCAACACGTGAAAAAAAAGGGTATACAGTATATAGCAAACCAGTGTAATTAAAGTTTATATTAAAAAATACCCATTTACTGAAAGTTAAAGATGATGCAAAAAGGAGAAAAATTTGGAATAAATGCCAAGAAGCAGAATTTTCAGAGGTCAATCTTTAACAGGTATTTTCAATATCCAGTATAAATAAAGAGGTTGATTGGATTGAATTTTGAATTTCTCACTTATAATACAAAAGGAATTCATTATGGAAAAGAGAAACTGGGAGACCATAGCCTGCACCTGATCCTTACCCCCTCCTCCAGACCCTAATAACATTCCCTCTCACATTTTTGATCAAGCCTATCCCCCCCCCTAACCACCAGCAGCAGCAAACCGCCTTGCATATTTCATGTTCTAAATTAGTTTTTCTATCTGACCCTTACATTTCCCAGCAGCTGAGTTGTCACTTCCCCCAATAAAAGACAGTGAATTATGGTCATTAATTAACATCAGCCATTAATTTGTAAGTCAAATAAAGATGCAAACAATTTCCTCAGACCGGCACTTTCTGATCATTAACCAAGAACTCTTCAAATAATTTCCCCATCAATAATGACCCAAGAAGGCAAGGATTTTTAGACATTTCCTCTTCCAGTTTTATCTCTAGACTAAGAAAACTAGTCTAATCAATGTGTCGTAATCTTTGAGAGGCTGTCGTGTGAGAGGGCTTCAATGAGAGGACCTAAAGTGTCTCTTTCCTTTAGCCTCCTAATGAACTTCGTTTCTGTCCATCACGAGAGAATGTTGTTTTTTTTCCCTTTTTCTCTGAGGAACAAAAAAATCTAATTATTATAATTATCTTCTCTTATCTTTTCTTAACTAAGTCTTCCTTGCATAAAACAGTGTTTTAACATGTTTGAGAATACATAGCAAACAATATTTCTTGGAAAGTACTGGTAATTAAGCTATGCAAGCAAGAGTGCATTCTCCTACAGCGCAAGCTATATTGCTGCACTTGGGACTATAACTACCCCTCTAAGCAAAATGATTGGAAAACAGATAAATTAGCTGCTGCATGTAAAACATAACAACTGTATATTGGTTTATTTTCGCCCCATGTTATTTTCACCCTTTCACAATTGCAAACAATTTTGCGCTGTTTTAAATTCGCCTGGTCATAGTTCTGTTTAAGAAATAATGCTGTGTTCTTTGAATTTGCCCCATTTTAAATTTGCCCAACAATGACTAGGGTGAAAGGGGCAAAAATTTCCCTGTGTACAGTATATGCCAAATCATAAGGGTATAATTGCTCAATTTTGCTATCCATACACCTTTTCTTTATTGAAGGACTTTTTTCCAAATGAGAACTTCTAAAATCTGTACATCACAACTTGATACAATCAAGACTTTTCATAATTTCCATCCCTGAAACCTTATCCATCTGACTCCTGCTCAAGATCAGGACATTACATAGGCTATTAGCATTACCAAAGACCCCAGGAAGAAAAATGCTACCCACCAGAGCAGAAATCAAACCCAGGACCCTTAGACCTAGCCAGGGGCTCTACCAAAAACCTGTCTGTCTGCCACATCCCTCCCTCCTTAAAGGTCTTTGCCCACAAAAACCTAATTCAGCCTCTTCCCTGGTTGATCTTTCACTGGTCACTTCAAGAGGAAGGGGTGAGTGAGACCAAAAGTAACCAATAAGGGAGAAGAATGTGATGGACAAGACTAGAATTCGGACCCTCTTGACCCCCTGAAGCACTAGCAAGTGCTCAACCACAGAGTTTTATGTATCTGGTCACTGTCAATTTAAACCTAGCTGCCACACCTTTGTTCAGAATAGGTACCACTTGAATCTCCAAAATACAAAGGTTTAACCCAGAAAAAAAATCAAACATTTGTTCCTTAATTCTTAACCAAGTCCTATTACTCTTGATTTTGAGTTGTGACACCGCCTCAAGTCAGAAACATAATGAGATATCAATCTGATGGGAAAAATTGTACAGTGATTCCTAGTTTCTGCAATAAAAGATTGCAATATTTTAAGGATTATCAGCTTTTTTATTCATTTTTAATGGGTATGGTTTAAAGTTGCCATCTGCTTGAAGATAACTTGAGATGATTTATAGATGAGGGGGTATAATTTATTGTTTCATTTTCCCATTCATTGACACAATAACATTTTTGTTGAAAATAAATATATCATGAGATTATTTTTTAATGAAGTCTCAAAAAAGTGAAGGGCAATATTGATAATCTTCCCTCTCTCTCTCCTTCCACAGGAAATCAGATTCAGATAAAAGTCAAATCAATTCATATGTAATGTATGTAACACAATCCAAATCAAAAAGGAAAATCAAAATTCCTGTTTTTACCCTCACATTTCAAATATGAAGCCATTTAAGGCAACAATATCATAACATGCAGCTCCTCCAGTCATTTTTGCAACATAAAAGCTTCAAAATTCAAACTTTTGGATCCTTTATTATTTAACAAGGAGACCTGCGAGGAACGTTCCTCTCAAATGAACTTAAAATATACATGAATCTTTAACAAAAAGACCTAGGAGGAATGTTCCTCTCTCAATTTCAAGTGAACTCAATATATATACATGAATCTTTAACAAGGAGAGGTTATATAAATTTCCCAAAATATATTTTATACAGGAACACAAAAAGGAACAGACCAAATGATGATCTTTATGATTATGAAAACTTCTGTAATGGTGTTGTATGCTGGGATATCTAATTCCCCAGAGTTACCTACCCTTCCCCTCAACATCTCATAGGCACACACCCCTAACGACCACCAGTCAACTGCGAAGCTGTAACCAGGACACTCATCCAGAGCACAGGCAAAGATTTCTGGTGCTGAAAAACACAGAAAAGTTATAATTATACTAAATCTATCAGAAAAGCAAATGCTTTCAATGAAAATTTGATCATTTGAAAAATATCAGTCAGTCAAACTTCATTCTGTCAATTGACAATTGAAATATATGGCTCAACTTTAAAACTAAAGATTGCCCATATTTCACATTTTGACTGCATTCTGTTTATTCACGGTCATGTTTAATATCAGTGGAAAAGTATCAAAAAATTTGTGATTTCATGGATTAAAATTTTTTGGTCTACTAATTATTTTTACAAATAGGCATTCCATAGTATGCAATAAAATATCAATTTTTGAGATACTGCCTTTACCCTGCAGGGAAAATCTTATCTTTCTTGTGCCCAAAATGAGAAAAAAAAATGCAGAATTTCTAATTTTATAAGAAAATGACTGATGACTGATTTTTATTTAAAATTTCTTCTTTAAGCATTCTTGACTGACAATTTATGTGTTAACTGATAACGTACAGTTTTGCAAAATACATTTTATTACCCGGGGTGTAGCATAATATTTTGATACTGCGATATATTGAACCCAGGTTCAAAATATCACATAATATTTTGAACCCGGGTTCACTTTTTCGCTGCGATATATTGAACCCCCTTATAAAATATTGAACCCCTACCTTTTTCATTTCAAAGATAGGAGGTTCAAAATATTATGGCCATAAAATATTTAGTCCCCCTGCCCATTTAATTTTACAGGGAGGGGAGTTCAAAATATTATGACTATAAAATATCAAGTCCCCCGCCCTTTTAATTTATGGGGGAGGGGGTTCAAAATATTATGGCCATAAAATATTGAGTCTTCCTGCCCATTTAATTTTACAGGGAGGGGGGTTCAAAATATTATGGCCATTAAATATCGAGTCCCCCTGTCCATTTAATTTTACAGGGAGGGGGTTCAAAATATTATGGCCATAAAATATTGAGTCCCCCTGCCCATTTAATTTTACAGGGAGGGGGGTTCAAAATATTATGGCCATAAAATATCGAGTCCCCCTGCCCATTTAATTTTACAGGGAGGGGGTTCAAAATATTATGGCCATAAAATATTGAACCCCCCTGTCCTTTAAATTTAAGAGGGAGGGGGTTCAAAATATTATGGCCATAAAATATTGAGTCCCCCTCCCTGTAAATTCAAATGGCAGGGGGACTCGATATTTTATGGCCATAATATATTGAACCCCCTACCTCTGAAATTAAAAGGCAGGGGGACTCAATATTTTATGGCCATAATATTTTGAACCCCCTCCCTCATGCATTCAAATGGCAGGGGGACTCAATATTTTATGGCCATAATATTTTGAAATCCCCTCCCTGTAAAATTAAATGGGAAGGGGACTCGATATTTTATGGCCATAATATTTTGAACCCCCCCTCCCTCTTAAATTAAAAGGACAGGGGGGTTCAATATTATATGGCCATAATATTTTGAACCCCCCTCCCTGTAAATTTAAATGGGTTGGGGACTCGATATCTTATGGCCATAATATTTTGAACCCCCCTCCCTGTAAAATTAAAAGGGCAGGGGAATCGATATTTTATGGCCATAATATTTTGAACCCCCTACCTCTGAAATTAAAAGGGCGGGGGGACTCAATATTTTATGGCCATAATATTTTGAACCCCAGGTTCAATATTTTATAGGGGGGGTCAATATTTCGCAGCGATATTTTGAACCCGGGCTCAAGATATCGCGGGGTTCAATATATTATATACACCGGTATTATTTGGAAAATATCTCATTACACAGTTTCATGTTATCAATGCAGTAGAAAACGTTTTTCAGTGGCATTTTTTAAAAAAAAATTTCTTTTACTTCCGGGCTTATTCAAATGATCATGTGATAGCCTCTTTAAAACCTACCCATGTATGGAGTGGTCCCCGACATGGAAGTTGCTAGCTGGTTGTCTGTTATCATTGTCGCAATATTGAAGTCTGTTATATGTACATGGCCTGAAATTATATCAATTGGTAGATCATATTTCATTTGATGTCAAGTTCCCTCCAATCAATGAAAATCTAAAATTAAACCAAGGAGTCAAAAGGGCAGGCAAAAGATGAATCTCACAGCCCAGAGTTTCTCATCAAATCTGATGATCCCCAACTCACACCTGTGAACTAATTAGGGGATTTTAACTAATTAGAAGATTTCATCAACTGTTGGAAAAGATTGGATTACTGAACAGGGATCGCTCTGTCCCATTCTTCTAGGCAACATGCACAGAAAGACCAGTGAGACATTAATCGCATTCAATAACAGAAATCGGTCAATTTAGCATTTTACATCTCTTCAAGGGGGGTGTCAAATGTCTAGGGAATGAGAGTCGTCCAATCAATACTGCCACCACCGAATCTTAATTCTAGAAAAACACACTGTCCCATTTATGGCTTATACTGGGCCTGTCTTCCCAAGACAGACAGCATATTATCATCTAACAAATATTTCAATCTATTTTCATGAAACTTGACATCCGATCATTAATAATTCATCTCCCAAGCTCCAAATCTAATGATAAAATTCTTTATTCTGGAATCATATTGATTATTCAAATACACAGTTTATGGTAGAAAATATTGTTTTGCTTTAAAAATTCATTATATAAATGCATATCAGGTCTGAAATTCAATACCCACTCTGGTCATATTTCACAAATACACTTTGCAAATTTACAACTGGTTAGAAATTAATGCTTCATTCAATTAAATCATGAGAGTTAACAACAGATTTTTGCTCCACTCTGCTCCCACAACTACTACATGTAACTACATGTATAGGCTAAGAGAAGAAAAGAAGGAGTCAAATCCCTTGGAAAGAGGCAATAGTAAGCAGAGAGGAACAAAAACCTTTGGCTTGAGAGATGTTGGTGGAAGTTCAGTACAGAAACCCATGGCTAAAGAAGGTGGGTCACAGAAAACACAAAAGATACCCATCGCTAGGGAAGATGGGTGGAAGATAAGAACAAAAACTCTTTGCTAGAGAAGCTCATAGCTGGAAGATTAGACCATAAACCCTTGGATAGAAAAATGGATGGTTGCAGAATGGACAAGAAGCTCTAGACTATGGAAGGTGGGTGGTAGAATAGACCAGAAGGTTTTGACAGAAGATGGGTGGCAGATTGTGCCAGAAACCTTTGACTGCAGCAGATGGGTAGTACAGTGGATCAAAACCCTCAACCATTAAGAGAAGTTATAGGGAAGAGTAGACTAGAAATTTTTGAATAGAAAAGATTGATGGCAGATTGCACCAGGAACCCTTAACTAGGGAAGATGGGTGGTAAAGAAGACCAGAAAATCTTGGCTAAAGATGAGAAGCAGAGCAGATTGAAATTATTTAGCTAGGGAAAAGAATCTGGCAGTTATCACAAATTGTAACAAAAGGCCCATGGGCCTTATAGGTCACCTGAGTATCATGCAACAACTTTCCAACAATTGAATTTGATTCATGTTTTAAACCAGAAGCCATGAAATTCACAATTTTGAAAGAGGCACACTCAGCATGCTTACTTTGGTTACTTAATACCCAGAGGTAGATCAGAGTAACAAAGAAAAAATGCATTTCCACTTTTTGTGTATGTCAGGGCACCTGGGTCAGGGCTTTTTGTGGTATGGCAGGTCCACAGTTGTTCACCCCATCCCACAGTAACCACTGACCCTGGGGCCACATCTTTCAAAATTATGGAAATTTTATAGATTTTATTTCATCAAGTTGTTGATTAATACCAAAGTGCAGATTTCAAAGCATTAAATTATTTTCAGACTATATATTACACCCCCCAAGTACCTCTGTCCCAGGGGCCAGGAAATAAACCCATAAATATATACTAAGATCATTGGCATAATACCCAGGAACAAAGGAATAGATTTTCAAAGAATTCATGCATTTTCACTATATAAACATTAGAGCCCTGCCCCAACACAAGAAGCCCTGAAATTCAAAAATCTCAAAGAGGCATCCTTCCTCCTCATAACTATGTACATAATTTATTGTTCAAATACCCAGGTGCAGAAAAGAAGAATTTTAGAGAATTTATGCATTTTCACTATATAATCAATAAAGCCCCACCCTAACACCAGAACCTTCAACCCAGGGGCCATGAAATTCACAACTTTGGAAGAGGCAGCCTTATTCAACATAACTATGTACTTGGTTAGTTTATTAAATACTCAGGAGCAAAGAAGAAGATTTTCAAAGAAATAATTCATTTTTTTCTACATCACCTAATATATAGCACCACCCTAGCACTAGAATCCCTGACCCTTGGGCCATGAAATTCACAATTTTGGAAGAAACAGCCTTATTCAACATAGCTAGGCACTTGGTTAGTTTATTTAATGCCCACGAACTGAGAAGAAGAATTTCAAAGAATTTTTGCATTTTCACTAAATAATCTATATAGGCCCACCCTCGAACTTAAGAACCCCTGACCCTGGGGCCATGAAATTCACAATTTGAGAAGAGGCAGTCTTATTCAACCTAACTATGCATTTGGTTAGTTTATTTAATGCCCACGAACAGAGAAGAAGAATTTCAAAGAAATAATGCATTTTCACTTAGGGAATAACTATCTTCTAATTTGGTATTTGCGACCGTTAATGCTGATTTAACGGTCGCACTAGAACCGGCGACGCGTAAGCGGAGCCATAAAGTTCACCGTTAATTTTGGTCGCAAGAGAAGTCATTATTCCCATTCTAATGCAATCCATGCATTTTGTTGGTTGTTTACGTATTATTTTGTTGAGTTTCATTATATGAAGTACGTCACGCAGCATTGTGTTTTGCGTCGCTCTATTATGACGTCACAATTGAGAGCTTTCACTCTCATTAATGCTCGTTTTACTGCCTCAAACAAATCACTTTAGCCAATCAAAACGTGTTTTACAAACCTATTGCATTAGAATATATAATCTATATAGCCCCACTCTACCACAAGAACCCCTGACCCTGGCGCCATTTGATTTATAATTTTGGAAGAAGCAGTCATTTTCTACTTAACTATGCGATTGGTTAGTTTATTTAATGCCCAGGAGCAGAAAAGAAGAATTTCAAAGAATTTATGCATTTTCACTATATAATCTATATGACCCCACCCTCACAATAGAACCTGATCCTGGGGCCATTAGATTCACAATTTTGGAAGAAGCAGTCATTTTCAACTTCACTATGCACTTGGTTAGTTTATTAAATGCCCAGGAGCAGAAAAAAAGAATTTCAAAGAAATAATGCATTTTCACTATATAACCTATTTAGCCCCGCCCTAGCACTAGAATTCCTGACCCTGGGGCCATGAATTTCCTCATTTTGGTAAAGGACTCAATGCTGATTACAATTACACCAACACTTTGACTGCTTGATGTCCAGGAGTAAAGAAGAAGATTTTTAAAGATTGCACTAATTTTAGTGGTTTTTGCCCCACCCCCCAGCCCCCAGGGCGGCAGGGATCTTGAAATTCACAATTTATTCCCCTTCACCAATAGATGCTATGTGCTAAATTTGGTTGAAATTGGTTCTGTGGTTTGAGAGAAGAAGCTGAAAATGTTCACGCACGATGTACGACGACGGAGGAAAACGGATAGCAATAGGTCACCTGAGTTTACTCAGGTGACCTAAAAATGCTTGCTTACAATTTATGTTGTTGAGAGCTATCTAAAACTGCATTACTAAAAATTAAGATTTGTCAGTTTAACTGCCAAGTTCTAGGTGTTTGAAATGATGGCAATCTATAATTTTGTAACCTACTAGGGATTTAAGCTTGAAAGACCTTGATTTTATGGTTGGAGGTAAAAATGTCCATTGTGAATACTAAAATTGCATGCTGAGATATTTCTGCACTTGATCTTTCAGCTCTAATTTGGAAAAAGAATAAATCAGGCAAAACATCCATCTAAGATTAATATCATGCAATGAACTTATGCATTCCCATCTCTGGAGTAATCTGCTTAGGTCTATAGCATTCGAGGATGCATTAGCAACAGTCACGCATGACTTCAAGGCAATATGCCGGCTTTTAAAAGAGCATGATAGAATTCTACATGATCATAAATCGATGCTCTAGATCTGTAACAGCCATTTAGATTTATAACTTAATTGTGCAACTCAAATTTTTCTCAAGTTTACAAGGAAAAAAATTCTTCGCAGAACATATGGACATGCATAAAAGGATGTCAAATATTTTTATTACAATGTATAGTCTTCTTTAAAGTTTACCTTCTTCATCCAATAAAATATTGTCTGGCTTTATGTCTCTGTAATTTTAAAGAAAAGTCATTATGATACATATATAAAAATATATACAGTAAAACATAGCAAGCATGCTTAACATGTTTATTCCATGAAAATGGGGGGGGGGGGGGGAATTAAACTTCACAAAAATTAGTTTCTGATCATATGGTACAGTTTTCCAAACAGTCAGTTTTTCATCAGAATTAAGTACGTCTTAATGTACCCAAGGGAAATGAAGTTTTACTTTACGAGAGGAGAATAATCATAAAACGTAAGATAATTGTTTTAAGTACTAAAAATTTAAATGTCATGGCAATTTCTGGAACACACTTTCTTTCTGGCATAAAACTTGTAGTATAAAAAATACTAGACTTTTTAACTTAAATCTGCTGAGGAATTAGATTTAATTTACTGTTTGAGAAAAAAGAATTCAAGCAGTATTGCAGAGGAAAAAGCTGTGAGCTCAGGGAATTTTCACTCCTAAAAAGGCTGTATACACACTGGGGGGTAATTGGCTCTTAACACTTTCAAATTACTTCTTAATTGAATGAGCTTAAACAATACTTAATCAAGCTGTCAGGAAAAGGCATGCAGCTTTGTCTTTTGATTTGTCAAGGGAAATTCTGAGCAAATGGTTATCTATTCTCTATGCAGAACTAGTTCAAAAGGTGTACCTATGGTTTCATAATATTGGAATCAACTTTAATTTTAAAATTGGAATAAGATGCTAACAAAAGTATACCCTTGTTCCACTGAAATGCAATTCCTTTACTTATTAGATAATGAAAAAAAATACGATATGTACACTGGAATGTTCAAATATGGTACTAGTAAAATACCATCATGTAATATAAGTTTAATTAATCAATCCTTTTGGAAACTTTTTAAAAAATTTTAAATTGACAATTTCTTTCAATATATAACAGCTGATGAAAGCAATACAATTTGAAAACACGTACATTCTGTTTATAAAAATTTATGCTGTTAGGACTTATATTAGGACTTTAAAGAACTAAGATATGATTTCATATTTTACAATACCTGTGAATAATATACTTCTTCCTTAGATAGTCCAGTGCCAAGGCAATCTCGCACACATAGAGTTTGATGTGACTCTCGTCAAACTGAACCTCCTGCTGAATGTGAAACCTTAGATCCCCTCCCAAAAGTAGGTCAACGACCATAAACATGTCCTCTTCATCTTGGAACGTGTACCAGAGGTTGACGAGGAAGGGGTGGTCCAGGGCTGACAGAATCTCCACCTCCCGGAACACATTGCGGACGGCATCTTTTCTGACGCACATGGACTTGTTCATGTATTTCATGGCATACATTTTCTTGTTGTCTTTCTTCTGCACAATGCATACCTAGAAAAAAACATTTTACATTTTACCAGGTAAATGTATATTTTCTAAACAAATTAATCTTAGTAAATTAAACTTTACTTAATCAATCAACTGTTAAAGACTTTAATTGGAACAGAAATGATCTATTTAAAATCCACCATGTCAGGAATATTCTCTCTCATTGTTATCTTTATTTTTATTTTTTTAATTTCTTATAACATGCAAAATACAGTAAGTTGTATATGAATAAATTGTATGTTAGCCGTGAATTTCAAAATGCCAACAGATACAAACAATTATCCAATTACACTCAATCCATTTGGATTTCCCAATCTCTATAAATTAGGACTAATCCAATCTATATCCATCAAAATGCAAACAAATAATAACAATTATCCAATTACTCTCAATATCATTAGGATTTTACCCTATCCATTGGGATTTTACCTAATCTCTATCCGTTAGGATTTTAAACATTCTCTGTCCATTAGGATTTTCCTTAATATTTATTCTTTAGGATTTTATCCAACCTCTGTCCATTAGGACTTTAAACAATCTCTATCCATTAGGATTTTATCCAATCTCTTTCTATTAAAATTTTATCCAATCTCTATCCATTAGAAGTTTACCTAATCTTACCCATTAGGATTTTATCCAATCTCTTTCTATTAGTCTAAGACTTTATCCAATCTCTATATCCATTAGGATTTTACCTAATATCTAACCTTTAGGATTTTATCCAACCTCTGTCCATTAGAATTTAACATAATCTCTATCCTTTAGGATTTTATCTAATCTCTATCCATTAGGATTTTACCTAATCTCTTTCAATCTGGATTTTATTCAATCTCTACCCACTAGGATTTTTTACCTAATTTTTATCCATTAGGATTTTTTTAAATCTCTATCCGCGTTAGCATTTTATCAAATCTTTATCCATTAGGATTTAACTAATCATTCTCTATCTATTAGGATTTTATCTAATCACTTTTTTTAACTCATAATTTTATCCAATTCTATCCATTAGAATATTATTAAATATGTATTCATTAGGATTTTATCCAATATCTATATCCACGCAAATTTTATCCACTCTTTGTTGACTTTTACACTAGTTATTCTGATCAGAGGAAATATCGTCTTTTATTTAATGCAGTGATGCTAAGTTGCTAACAAATGTCTATTACTAATATTATTATTATATTGTTAAAACACAGAAGAAAAATACAATACATGTAATTAAATCTTACTTTTGCCTTTAACAAACCAAAAGACTTCTGTGTTTTCTTTAATGTGTCTTTTTTATTTGAGGAGTTCAATATCTTCTTGCCATGCAGTCAATATACAAAATAATGTTACCTTTCCAAAACTTCCTTTTCCGATAGCTCGTAGAATTTGAAAATGGTCAAAATTCACTGCAAAATAAGATAGAATAAAAATCAAATGGCAAAAAGAAAATGGTGTGCTCATATCATAAACAGGACCTTTTAGGATAAAATTTTTGCAGTCATTCACCCTACCTACAATACAAGCTACTTATCCATACATTTACGGATAATATGATTTGTGAATAATCCATGAGACAGAGTCAGAGCCCCAGCTTGTTTTCTCTACATACACATTAATTTTGATTTACGCCACTGCTCTAACGAGATTTCTAGGACTTTGTTTATAAGATAACTGACAGATCCATGCATACTTAACTAATTATTTGAACATTAGTTAATGTCTGGGCTGCTATATCTTGTTTCCTCTTTTACCTTATAAATTTCTAAATGAAGTCTTTGCAAATCTAATTCTTAGTCCAGCTATAAGAAGATATCTCCCTATTTGTCCAATAAATCAATTTTCTTATGATAAAGGCATGCAGAAATTAAGACACCTTAGACATGACCACAGCACATATGGTCATATATCTCACAGAAAGAAGAGGGCCATGGGCCAAAGACACTCACCTGAGTAACTGTGACCTTTTAATATTATTTTTCATCAACAGATCCTTTATATTTATTCCCATGTAAAATTTCATCACCCAATTGCAGCCTCATCAAACCACCATGATTTAATCACATTATACACAACCTGAGAATGTCACTCTTCTGTTTTTCTATTTTTACCATTAATGTAAAACTTCAAGTACCAATCTGAAACTGTGCTAAACACTATTTAGGAGAATTAACTCGTGTATCAAGCAGTTCAAGGTTAAAAGTAATTTAAGGTCAAGATCTAGTAAATAACTTGAGACTAATTTTTTGGTGCTAGATCCATTATGACGTCATAATCAATTTCAACTTTCTTTTTCCCGTACTTTACGGCTTTAGTAGAATTATGTAGGAAATAGGGTATTTTCATGTCATTCAATTTGAAATCATATGAAAAGTAAACCGGATACCTATATTAAATTTTATATTGATTTAAAGAAGAGGCCATGAACATACTAATTACCGTTTGCAATTTTTATACAAAATAGCTTTGCAGGGGTAGAATTTTCCGATCCGGTCTTGATTTTCCTAACACGGCCATGAGAGACTGTATGCAATCTGGATACATTTCCTTTGCCGAATACTTAAAAAACTCCCATATTCATGACTGGTTTTCTTAATTTTTCATTGAAAATGACAGATTAAAATGCAGTATTTCATCTTTTTTACCTACAAATTATGCCCCGAAACACCTTATTTGATCAAGCTAAAGTTGTAAAGCATTAATAAAGGAATTTATTTCTCAAGTTTGATAAATCTGTAGGCATCCTTCATTTACTAGATCTTGACCTTAAGGTGAAGCTATAAGACTGAAGCAAGTACAGTGTAGTGTACAATATAGAGCTCTCACCAATATGCATTAGCATATGAAGAAAAATATCTTGTATAGTTTCTTTGAAACTGTGCTAAATTAAATGCAAAGTGTGATGGACATAGAGATGTAAGGACCATGTCAGACTTGATAAACATAGAATGGACTGCATATTGACAATGGGGCATAAAAATCATAAATAAAATAGCCAGGCACACTGACTCCTATGATTGAACTGTTTACACTTGTCTTTATAATGCAGAATACTTTTTATCTAACTCATGAAATATAACCCAAGTATGAACTTTGTCACACCCTGTATCAGATTCCATTTCCAAAGCAAACTTTTGGCAAGATGCATCTTGATACATGCTAACCTTCGAGTGTTAATATAAACAATGGGTGATTGAAATACACTTTGTAAAACTCAACACACTGAAGTTCTAAGTAAACTGCATTGATTTATGTGGGCCAACCTAATTCAATTTCGCTGCCATTAATCCTAAGCTGGAATCTGGCATCTCCAATAGTTTTCATCAATGCCTCAATTCAGCACAGATACATGCAAATAAGTAAGAAAAGCTACATGTGAGTCTTGGTTCTTTGTGTGGCAAATAATATAAACTAAAACAACAAGTTACATGAAGAAGTTTTAAAAAATATCATCTATATAGGTATAAAAGATTCCATCAGCTCATCTGCAAGTGTTCATATAGGAAAATATTTGTTACAATAGACATGATAGAATTGGTTAAAGATATTCACAGTACTCTTACTCTTATTTAGAACTTCTATATAAATACTGTGATATTTGGACAACTGTACATGGCTCCTTATGTGACAAGCAGAATACATTCTCCAGCAGTTTCTTGTGATCTGAAGACTCAATCTTCCCAATTTTTCAAGAGTAAAGAGAACAAGAGGCCCATGGGTCACATTGCTCAACTGAGCACTGTGGCTGGGAAAAAAGCAGAAATCCGCTCATTTTTGAAAATTTTAAATCCGGTGGTTCCAACTTACCATTAAAGGGGAGGGGTATGATTTGAACAAACCTGAGTCTACATTAACTAAGAATGCTTGAATATTTCTTTGATTACATGTGCCTTTTTAACCTTTACATTTAAACTTACATTGTGGTATCCCCCCCTACTCCTGGCCAGCAAAGCACCCTATTGTCATATTTTAAACAAATTTACTCTAATACACTTCCTGAGGATACTTCTATATCCAATCAATGCTTTGCTGTTCTTGAAAAAAAGTTTTTAAGAGATTTTCCTACGTATTCCTATGTAAAACTTTGCTCATCAACTGTGGCCCCAGCCTACCCCAGGGGCTCATGATTTGAACAAAAATGAATCTACATGTACATTAAGGATGCTTCCATAAATATTTCTAATCATGGCTTTCCTTTGTTTGTAAAAAAAATTCTTGCTGTTCTTGAGAAGAAGATTTTTAAAGAATTTCCTATATATTTCTATGTAAAACTTTGATCGTCTCTTGTAGCCCAACCCTACCCCGGGGGTCATGATTTGAACAAACTTGAATCTGCACTACCTGAGGATGTTTCCCCATAAGTTTCATCTTTCCTGGCACAGTGGTTCTAGTGAAGATTTATAAAACATGCCACCAAATTTTCACTCTCTCTGAATCATCTCCCCTTGAATGAAGGTGTAGCCCTTCATTTGAATAAACTTGTGTCCCCTTCACCCAAGAATGCCTATTGGCAAGTTTAGTTGAAATTGGCCCAGTGGTTCTGGAGAGGTCAAAAATATGAAAAGTTTACAGACAGACAAAGGGATGGACAGATGACAGATGGACTACGGACAACCTGTGGCTGATCTTCCTTAGTAGCTAAACATACAAGCTTTAAATGATTCCTGAAGTAAATGACCTTAAATATCTTAAATCCTCATATATTTTTTATTAAGTACTTGCATTTTCTCAGTTCCATTGAGTTGGAGAAAACACGTTTTGACAGCATTTACGTACCTTCTCCATGGACATCAAAGGAATCCTTTCTTCCAGAGGAGGAGTTACCCATCCTGAATCGTCTGTACACAGTCAGCTAAAGACAAATGGGACGTCACACATCTACAATGATAAAAGTATAGCTTTACATTTATCATCGGTTTGAAAATCATGAAAATTAATTCCAACAAATGCACCTTTAGCAGCCAAGTTTCTATTGCATCCTTTACTCTGCTTGTTTTGGATACACCTATCCAATTTACATTAAAATCAATGATCTATAAGCAAGATAAGACTTTAAAAAATAATTTCAGAAGTTTTCTGAAGATTATGAATTCAATACCAAATTAAATATACAAATTTTATAATTAAACAATAAACAGTGAAATTTTATCAATGCTCTCTTGCTTTTAGCTGCAAATTAAAATGGATTCATTTTAGGAAACCGGGTTCGATCTTGACCATCCATTAGGATTTTCCCATTTTTGCTGACACTGTATTTACACTACCCTTATCCTACTCCATCAAATTGATTGTTGTCCCACCCACTAGTGTACTGAAAAGTCAGGATGCTAGAATTACATCAGCACCGAAGGCCACTAACATATTGAAAGTAAATCATTCCGCAAGACAGAATTTTTCTTCTGCGTCTAAATTTGTTCGACACAATATATTTTCTGAGACAGTAGTATGTCAGGTTATAAAACTGCCTATTTCACCGTGCATAACCCCACATATGGGCCATTATGGGGGCGCGGAATGGTTCTTAAATTTGGGTCTTTGCTCCATGCTTTTGTTACCCAAAAATGTATATTTTACGCAAACTTCCTGTTACAAAATAGAAAAAAGGCCCACTGCAATCAAAAAATTGTGTTAAAGTATGAGAAAATGAACCCTTTTGGCCTCTTAAGTCTAAAGCATGTATGCCATTTTATTGGCAAATAATTTCAGTCTTTGTAAGATTTTTGCAAATTGTGGAGATTCTTCACAAGAAATTAATGATAGATGAAAGGAACTTGTGTTATAATTGAATTTTATTATTTCACCTTCTTATTTGTCGCACCATAGGATTAGCTTGCCATATTCGACTATTTTCCGTAGTTATTAGTACAAAGACAATGTTCAGCTTAACATAGATCTGTTGTTTAAGAAATTGGATAAATATTATCAAGTGTAATTAGAATTAAGTTTCTCTGTTAATCATCTTATTGATCATTTTGTAAAAATCTTTGCTACAACAGGCACATAGCAACAGGATGACCAGAGGGGGGGGGGGGGGGGGGGGCCCCACCCACTTTTTTTCACATCACCTTTACTATTGAAAATGTCCATTGAAAGGTTGCTTGAACCCCCCACTTCTTACCACAGTATAGTGATATCAAGGAAATGTAATATTGTATTACTATGCCAAAAAAAACAAGAGAACATATTTATAAAATAACATACATTTATTTTGAAGTCTGCCCCATTTATTTGAGGTGGAATTCTCCGAAACATTAGAGCTATGTCTTCAGCAAAATCATATCTAGAAGTCCCTCACTTAAATCAGATGAAGCTGAGTGATATATAAGGCACCAACTTTCACAAAGAAACGGTCAAATTTGCATTCCCGCATGCTCTTGCCAGATATTGCAGAAGTGTTCATGTATTTCTAGGACGAGTCCCGAGCTGGGAAACGAGTAACAGTAAGCTGGGATATCACTGTGTTCCGCCGTAAGTGAATTTAGGATTATTTTCATCTCAATCACTGTAGGAAAGCTAATCAGGTCAACGAACATTGCAAATTCTGCTTCGAATTCTTCACCCCCGGGCGGCACCATTCCGCGCCCCCATATGTGGGGTTATGCACGGTGTATTTTGCACGTATATATTTTCATCTTAAAAAATGTGCTCTTTCATCAAATCATTATATAGGTGGTCATTATAAACAAACAATTTCTGCATCATTACATGGCATTGATTTATAATATCACCTATACTCATCCATTTGCCCATTAAATATGTGATTGAAAAAAGGAGATATAGACCCTTTTCCTATGACATGTTTTGCCTAGGAGTTATTCCTCTTAGCCGCCATCTTGTAGGTCAAAGTAGTGAATTTACCTCTTTGAGCAAACCAATTTTAAACATGCAATTTTCAATGCAATGCATGCAAGAAATATTTGGGGGAAAATATTTACAATCTTAAAATTATGAATTAATAGAGGCTTTAACAAACGTATCTTCATAAGAAAAATAGTGTTATCAATTTACCTCAGTAACCAGTATAACAAATTGACCTTGGTTGAATAATGAAGGAAACGGCCGGGGAATGTTGCCCTACAATATGGCGGCTAAGGGGAATAACTCCTAGGCAAAAAGGGTCTATTCTGACAATTCTAATCTACTGGTAACATGTGTCTATGCACAAAAAGGGATGTATGACTTATGTATCTGGTTGTGCAAATATAGATGACATATATAATTTATATATAATACATTATCTTCTCCATAAGCTCAGAAACCGGGACATTGAACCAGTGTCCTGGCTGTTCTCTAGAAAGTTGTGCATGAGGATGATGAGTTACTGCAGATCTTTGTCAAACACCCCCCCCCCCCCCCAACTTTTAATTTACAATCCTTTGTTTTCGTGGCAATTAAACTTACACAAATCACTTATCCTTTTAGTTTTAAATAATAGTGGTAGAGGATACATGTACTGTACTGTAAAACTCAGTTAAAATTCAGATGATTCTGTATAATTTTTTTTTTTTTTTTAATAAATTTTAAATACTGTACATATAGTTTCAATACAATTTTTGAAAATAGAAGCCATCCTTGACTAAATATCCATGAACCTAAGAATGAATTAAGAAAACTGAAAATTGTAAAATCTGAGAATTATCAATAAAAATTGAAAATTCAAAAATGAAATGTCTTTGAAAACAATAAATTCCATATGTATCGATCTGTTCAGAATATGTATATATAAATTATAAAGGTTTTTAATTGATAGTGTCTCACTCTCCGAAAGGCAGCATTAAGATAGCAAATCTTCCGAAAAAAATCAATATACTTTTACCAGAAGTCTTGAGGCAGAATCATCCCTCAAACTGCCACAAAAAAACATATGGCAATTATCCGACACAACGTTTTTCAATTTTCTCTAAGAAATACCCTCTGATTCAATTCAACTTGAAATGAGACATCTACTTATTTAACTTCCCTTCCTTAGGGGGAGAGTCTGAGTTCCCTTCTTTGGTGACTTAAAAGAGGCCTCATATACAATTTAAAGCTTTGATGGTCTCTATACAGTCAAATTATCAATTAACAAGCTTCAAAAATATACGGTATATACTTGAACTTAGGTAACCTGTAGAGTCCTGGATAACTCAAATAACACTGAATATGTTGAAATTTATCTGTTGAAATTTTAAAGAGATGTAAATGGTCATTCTAACCATTGCCATTGGCATGTGATTTATTTATTTATCTAATATTCAATACCTCAGATCCTCGGTCATTTGATTTTTTTCAAGCACATGGTCACAGAAAATGAGAATTAGCAATTTTAAAGAAAAATCCTGTTTATTATATCAATCAAAAGGATTTATCCTGTTTCATATACCCTTGTGTCCTTTGAATGGACATATAGCTTAAATAGCTGCAGAACCTCTCTGGTTTCAAGACAATATTTGAGAGAAATTTAACAAGAAAGCTAATTATGTGCAGATCCAAGCATTAATGTTAAAAACTTTTGAATTATCAAATCATGTATATATATTTTCATCTTAAAAAATGGCTCTTTCATCAAATCATTATATAGGTCATTAACACTTTTAGTTGCATACTTCAAGTATTGTTTCTTGAATTGATTGTGTTTCTTCATCAAAAGCATGGTATCCATATTAATTAACCATGTGAACATTTACACCTATCTTGCTACTTCAGGCCCTTTGGTTTGTCAGTTTCAATTTCATCAACCAGAGAGCTCTACAGTTCTGCAGCTTGAGTGAAACAAATGGAAATAATAACAAATTATATTTCTTTTTTCATATTCAAATTATTATTGTGTGCTTTTTTTTTTTACATGCACATGCACACAAAACAATATATACCATATCCTACCATCATACATGAGCTTTATAAAATAAAATCTTTAAGCAGTATTTAGCAAAACATTGTAAGAAAACTGTTTTTCCAAATTCATTTTAAATTCTGTTGTATTCAAAACTACATACATTTATCTCATCTACAAAAATGAAATTAGCTCCATGTAAGGCATAAATTCTGTATAGATCCAGGTCTGCTGAAACTTACGAGATTTCTTTATTATGGCCAGTTCCCGAAGTCCGGAAAATGAAACAATAAGGGTACAATAAAAATTGATTTTGCAATAAATGTACCATCACTATCATTACAGACACTTTCGAAATCAATATAAACGTTCAGGGAGCACAACCTATATTCCAGATGATTTCTTTTGTCATAAACCGTGTTCACTTCAGAAATTAGAAAATAGCCAATAGTGAAATGTGCAGCTTTTTAAAAAATTATACTCACTGTGTTTCGGCAAGGAAGTATCAAAACGATCTAATCATGTCATCTCTTTCCATCGCCTTTTCCTGCACGGCAGAATGTAAATAGAAGCATCGTTGTGTATTCTGTCATGCTCCGTCGCACTTCGATTGATGAGCGGAAGATTGCACGTGATCAAAATCTCCATAGTGATTGGATTGTATCGGCCGCCATATTTGTTTTGGTTTGCCATGTGGAATGTCGACAACAACTTACGGAAGCGGCTTTCTTGTGTGTTTTGGTTTATTTTGAGGTCATGAAAATTACAGACAATATGCAGGCAGACATGGAAACCCTTGACGAACTTCCAGATATAGATAAACTGGATCTGGAAGGAAATGATGGCTCGTGTGAGAGTGAAATCGATCGGTTAGAGTTGTATTCGCCCGGTTTAGATTCCCCGACTGAAAGAGGTGTAGCCAAAACTAAGAAAGAAGAGGATTTAATTTTGAAAATTATAAAACAGACAAAAGCACTCGGCTCTAATACACTAGAACTATGTAATAAAGGACTGTTACAAATTCCACGAGAACTGCTAGAACTGAATAACCTTGAGGTAAAATGACTTCTCAGGTTCCTGCTTGAACATGTACAGGTTTTGATTTGTTTACATTTTCTTGATTATATGAAAGTCACGGATGAAGCACTGATACATACAGGTTGATTTTCTCAACATGTGTTTTACATGTGCTCACGAAAATGAAGTGCTGTAACATGTTATATCAGGTCTGGTACAATCACTAGATTTAGCTACGTAGCTTGATTTACCTACATAGCTTTATTTACCTACCTGAGGTAGCTTTATTTAGCTACCAAATTGGTTTATTTCTATTTAAAAGCATTTTTCTCAGGGTGTGCAGAAAATATCATTTAGATGCAGTGATCATTTTCAACTTTGAACTCATCTGAAAACAACTCATGAAAAAATCCCTCTTGGAAAAATGCCTTTTTCTGCGCAATTGCAATCAAAATTCTGAAAGTTTTGGGGCTATGTATGACAGTTAGAACAGTTACCCCTTGGATGAAATGACAAAGAAGTCCAGTTCCGGTTAACACGATAATAGGTCGGTAATTATTCAGTACAATGTGAAGTAATCATACTCAGTCATGCCTCACCGCACGGACAGCTAACCAAACAATGGAATTACATGTTTTGCTCTAAATTGTCCAAACGCAGCAATGTATAAACTATCTCTGCTTTGGATTGTTTTTTTAAGCCTCCCTAGTATAAATATCAATACATTTCATACATAGTCATTTAATTGCGACTTTTTGTCTCTTTTTTATAAAAAGACAACTTTTGAAAACTTACCTTGAAATAGCTAAATAAAGCTACCCGAGGTAGGTAAATATAGCTACGTAGGTAACTCTACCTACGTAGCTAAATCTAGTGATTGTACTGGACCTGTTATATCATTTACTTATATACATCTTCTAAAAAGCTGTTCCTTATATTGGGATTTCCCCTTATTGATTTTTATATCCTAGTAAATTGTGTATTTTTAATCAATGTAATAATAAGTATTCAAAATTAGTGTTGAGAAATGTATGGCTGGACCGGGAATCGAACCCAGAACCCTTGCATCACTAGTCAGGTGCTTTACTAACTGAGCTATCCAGGCCAATATCCATGGCCCAATCCATTACATTCCTCCCTCCTTAAATGGACTTTGCCCTCAAAGACACAACCCAAGTTCTTATTAGCCCCTGGCAGGACTTTTAACCTGCAATTCCAAAGGTCACAGGTCAACAGCACCAAGTCTGTAACAGGAAAGGTGATCGAAAATGTTTGGCTGGACCGGAAATCTAACCTAGCTGGGACCCCTGCATCACTATTCAAGTCCTGTACCAACAGAGCTATCCAATGGCCGATATCCACAGTCCAAAACATTACAATTGAATACCTTCATTAATAAAATGCCAATTTTTGATTGTAAACATATAAATAGAGAAAACAAACAGTAATCTAACTCAAAAGTTCTATAAAACTATATAATTCATAAACAAAGGACACAGAGACCTCCAAATTTATTAGAGGTAGGATCAAATGCCATGGAGGAGTAAGCACCTCTTGTTGACCGGTCAAACCTGCAATGTGTTCCTTGTCATGATCAAATAACAGAAAATATCTCTAGACAATTATATGTTTAAATTTTTGAGTAAATGGTGCATATATCTGAATGTCTTGGCTAGAAACAATGGCATGTAACATAAACTATTTTAAGTTTCTTGAACATTTTAGTACCTGTACTTGGAGGGAAATGAACTGACCGGTCTTCCTGATGACTTTTTCGACTGCTTGCCCAGGTTGACCTGGCTTGACCTCAGGAAGAACAAACTTTTACGATTACCGAGTGTGTACACTGGCCGACATAATCACCTTCGGACACTTCTCTTGGAGGGAAACAAACTCCGAAGTCTTCCACTTGAATTAGGTGCTTAAATCACACGGTTACTGTTGATTTTTCAGATGTAAATTCATAATTTAATATAATCACCTTTTTACAATAACTGCAGCACTACTATTTTGTAGGGCAAAATGATAGCTTTTGGCAAAGTTTTTGTTGAAAGATAATTAAATGATTGTTGAAAGATAATTAAATGACACATATATATTAAAACATATTTGAATTTTAATGTGATGAATCTATATTCATATTTTTTAGGCTTAATAAAAAGCTTAAATGGTCTTAATATCAGCAATAATCCCATTGAATTTCCCCCAAAAGACATCATGGAAAAAGGCACAGCTGAAATCTTGAAGTTTCTCAGGGAAATGCTCCAAGCAAAGTCATCAGGACAACTCCTGAATGGTAATTTCCAATGAGAAAGGATTATTAGCTATATTGGCTGTCTCCTCAGAATTATATGCATCATGAGTTGTATCCTCTACTGTACTGTTGCTCTATATGTGCAAATATAGAACTTTTACATTAAGTCTGTTACATTTAAAAACAAGGAAACTAATATTTGTGCATCCCTGTTAATTGTAATTTTTCTTTTTTGAAATTCGCTTGTTCAAAATTTCATGCATAAAGATATACATCTAGGTTCCCCCGGTAACGAGAGCAGCAGTAGTAGTTCTGACGACTGGGACGATGGCGACGATCTCCAGGACTACGCCAAGCGCCGCCAGAGGACGCTGGCTCTAGAGGATGCCAAAAGCACCACCACCAAATCTTCTGACCCATTCGGACCAGTACCACAGCCGGTGGCACTCCACCAACCGGTCAGTTACACCGACAAGAAACTGGAAAAGGCCGAGAAAGTTCGCAAGGCAGGAGCTTCAGGGACAGTGGAAAGGTGAGAGGAAAATGGGAAAGGGATTTTGTTTTGTGGAAGGCTAATTGAAAAATCTTGTACACTTCAAAAGAATTTTTGTATAAATGATTAAAGTCTGTTCCTGTATGGTTTAATCTATTAAATATGAAACAATGAATACAATCTTAAGGTTAAGAATTAAAAGTTAAAAATCTTTAATTTAAAGATTATTGCGAGAAGAAATTTTGCTTAATATTTGGAAATAATTATCAAGTTTGAAGCTCTTCAAAATCTATGTTGTTTTGGCTTTAAGCTTTAAAAAACACAGGTATGTAATTGGTTTGATTGTTTTAAGTCCTTTATCCCAAGTTACCTTAGATCATCATCTGAGTAAATATTTCAAGCTTAATCAGAAAAATTGCCAGGAAAACCCTCAGTTTCCCATGTCACCCTAGCCTAGCACACTGATGTACAAGGCTCTCAATTGTCTATAATTGGGGCCATTCTGTAGGTATACATGTAATATTCATGGATGTATGGGGCATAATACCTCTGCTTCACCATGCTCATTCTTAGGTCTTTAGTAACTAAAGTAAGGTTTAACCATGTTAAACATTTTAGAAACCTCGTAATAGAACTTACTGTCAATCATAAAAGTAGATTTTTCCATTTGAATTGCAGATTGGATTCATTAACATATAGATATTGAAACATTGGAATGATAATATTATACTTATGTTATAATATATAATATAAATCATATTTACAATTTTTGTTCCTGACTTAATATCAGAGTACCCTACATTTATGTGACTGTTTTTGTTAACATGTTGATCAAATTTTCAGAGTTGAATCAGCATACTGTACAAGAGAGGCCATGTATATGGATATTAGGTAGCCCAATGCTGTTTGTTTAAGATAATTAAATCATGTAAGATTCCAGCTAATACACCATTGTTTCTTCCTGACGATATTTATAATCCCTTGTTTTTCCAGCACTCCTATTAATGAAAATACCAAAAATTGAATTATTTTAACCCATTAATCTTAAATTTCCAATATATAACCCCTCTCTACGACTATTTTCCATGCCTATGACTACCTGTGTTTCATTTATTGTACATGCAGTAAATTACTAAATATCTCATTACATGTATGGGGACATTAGTATGGAGTTCCTTTATATGGGTATAATATATATATTGGTGCAGTTCTTGAAGGGCACTTTATGGTAACTTGACCTATTACAATATAAGCATTCAATACATTATAATTTTATCAAGGCATTGGTGCTGATTTACAGTGTATATTTTATTGTAATGAATTATGTCTGTGGGGTTTTTTTTTAATATAAAAAAATTGTGTGATTTTGGGACTTAAATCTTAATTTTGGTTGGTGTATATATTTCACCTGTCAAAAAAACTTCTTCCCCTTCTAAATTTCTGTGATCCTGTACATTGTTAGATATTGTATTGGTTTAAAGTACGTATAATCCTTTGAAAATTAAGACATAATGCTGTTCATTGAACAATTTTTGAGGAAAATTTAGCTTTATTGATGGTCAGTTTTGTTAATGCAGTGAAAGCCTTCATGAGTATTATACTTCAGAAATGAATCTTTTCTGTATCTTCTGAAATAATATGTTGTTTTCCTTTGGCATCCAACTTAATTTTAAAGAAATTCGTCTATTTCCTTGCTATGACCTTATTATTTTTTCTCTCTTTGTCAATAAAGTTTTCGACACATGCTCGAGTGTGGAAGGAGAGCTTCGCTCCATCAGATTTCTTTGAACAAACCTAGATGCAGGTTTGATGCCAAGTGTTTTACTGTTCATGCATTCAATTAAAAATTTAGTGCATGTATTATCAAATTATTAGGTATTGATTTTAAAAAAAAATGCATGCTGTTTTCATATTTTTTTTTTCCTACAAATTTGTAATGATCGTTCATGTTTTGTTCCGGTTTATAGGTCTTTTACTGACCATTGTCCTATTGCTTTTGTCTATCACACTCATGGTTTTTCCAGTCATGGGCTAAGTTTTTTTTTTTTAACTCTGCAGCCAAAAATTGCTTGTTTTTTGAAAGGCCCTATTGAAACCTGATTCAAGGATTTTTGCAAAATGATGGTTGAAAGTTAAACAGCTGAATTTTTGAAAATAATTTATTTGAGTGACAAATCTTACATAAAAATGCATTATTTTAAAGAAACGTCTACTGAATAATATACTAAAAAGTGTAAATCATGGGTTTTGGGTCTCTTGTTTATTTCCTTCAAGTTGAAGTTATTTTCTTTATGAAATACAGTTGCATGTTAGTAAACATTAATTATATATAAGCAATATTAAATTTGTTTCATGAAATTTTTGCATTACTGCAGTTTTCATTTTGAAATTAATGCACATGCAAATTATATCAGTTATTATATACATTTCAATCCATATATTAAATTTTATCACTCGTGTACATCTGACAGTAAATGATTAAAACGAGGCAGAAAATGTTTTTAAAATAATTTAAAAGCACAGGGTTCAATACACCGTGATATCCTTTTACTTGTGTTCCTTTAAACTTTACAAAAAAAACTCTTTTCTATGAGAAAAAAATATAATATTATAGTTAGTAATTTACTTACACTTTCTTTTTTTCAGTCGTAAAAAGTCAGCCAGCAGTGTGTTGAACTGGAGGGTGAACCCCTACCCCGAACCCCCTCCTGAAGAATACGCTAACTTCAAAATGACAGAGGAACGAAAACTTGCCAAGGTCAAGGAACACAAACAGAAAACAGAAGCCATTATACAAAGGAGAAAGTAAGTAAGAAGATGTCAAAGAAATGGGAGAATCTGATCTCTCTGATGTGATGCCCCACAAATTCTAATCCGATGCCTCAGAGAAAGTATTGGATTCATTCTTGAGTTTTGACCATGTTTCAAGATAAATTGAAAACAATTTTTTTAAAAGAAAAAAAGCTGTTGTTCAGATTTAATATGTTCAATACTTAGAAGAAAATGAATTCAATTTGTGTGTTTGAAAAAATATACACTTGCATAACTCGTGTAATTTATATGTGACCACTCATGGCGTAGTCTAATAGAATTTTGATATTTCAGGGACAATGAAGCATTGAAAGACTGGAGAGTGAAATCAAAAAAGATGCAGCAAAAGAAACATTATGAGAGCATGATGAAAGGAACAAAAGGTATACAAACCAGGTTTTTTTATATTCTGTATATAGAGTTATTTTCGCCTGTCTTTTTTTTGCCCTTTCACACTTGCAAACAATTTTGCCCCATTTTAAATTTGCCCAGTCATAGTTTTGTTTAAGTAATTATGCTGTATTCCAGGTGTATTCTTTGAATTCGCCCCTTTTTAAATTCGCCAAATGAAGGTAGGGCGAAAGGGTCGAAAATTAAACGGGGGCGAAAATTTCCCTGTTTACAGTGTATTTTAAAAGTGGCAAATAGTCACACTGATGAACTAAGCAACATAAAAGCTAACCTTGGTAGTGCTGATTTCAATCATTAAGAAATACATACATGTAGTAAATGATAGCATTTAAATTGAAATTTCAACTAAAAAATGTTGCAAATTATAAATTCCTGTGGTTTTAAGTATTCATCCTATGTCACTGTTTGGTGTGATGCACATAAGTATGTTTTTATGGGATATATATATGCCTACTGATAGTTCAAACTACATGAGAAGTTGCTATTTGTATAAAACTGTTACTTCAGCTTATAAGTACATGTATATACTGGTACTTATTTTTATTATTTTCATTAAATTATTGTTCAAAAGAAGAGAATAAGTTTTGCTTTTATAAGTCAAAATACCAAAGTTCTACCTGATCTAACATTTCCATTATCAATTTTATGAATTTTTTTAAATTTTAGATTATGTTGATGCCGTGGAGAAAGCCCCTTTTGATATTGACAAAAATCATATGAAAATTCCAACCAATGAGGAGAGAATCAAGGTAAGTCACATGATATTGTCAAAAGTCCCATGAAAATTCCAACCAATGAGGAGAGAATCAAAGTAAGTCACATGATGCTGACAAAAATCATGTGATGATTCCAGCCAATGAGGAGAAAATCATTACAAATCAAATGATATGAACAAAAATCACAAAAAAGATTCCAGCCAATGAGAAGTGAATTAAGTAAATTGAAGATAATCATTATTCCTGTTGCAAAGATATATTCTGAAAGACACTGAGAAATATTAATATAAATTAATTTCAACTCTCATTCATGGAAAGTATAAACATGATTTTTTTCTCCAGATGAAATGTATTTTTATCCTGAACACATAATAAAAGACTATATCTTATAGGAGGATGTGAAGAATGCCCATGAAAAGGTACGGAGAGCCCTGTCACCAAGCACTCGTCAACGCATAGAGGAAGAGAAGTAGGTTAATCCAGTATACCACAGATGTGAGAGATCTGATCACCCCAATAGTGGAAATTTTTCCAAATTTCAATTCAGATAATTTTTAAGTCAGATATAAAAGTAGCTTTTGCAATGTTTTGTGCTTTCTGATATTCAACAAACATCTTATATGGTGACACAATAAAAGATATCTGATTGAATAACTTGTATTACAAGGAATAATATTATTACTTTCTAATATTTATGGATCTTGATATATATGAAGAAAGGATTGCAAATTCGAAATGATTTATTTGCTTCTTTGTTAAGATAAGTGCAAATACATTTTATGTCAACTTATCATAGAAATTGTTCTTAAGAATCACTCATATGCATGTATAAAGGCCGTATGCAATAGGTGATACATGTAGAATGTCAATATTCAGTATGTCTTGACTGTTATAGGACTGCAAGAATACGGGAGTTAGAGAGAAGAATAAAACAGCACACATCACAGATGCATGACAGAAGAAAACTACCGAAGGGTACCCCACAGGAAGAAATGGAGGCTGCCAGAAGGGAGCTAGAAATTGTAAGTAATAAAATGCAAACTATCAATAAAGATGTTATTATAAGAAGAATGAAAGAGGTTTTGAAGTAAATATTTTAATTTTTAAAGAAATAAAAGCTAATGATCTCATTTTATAAAATCTGGAATATGATCATAAAAAAAATATGTGGTAATGACAAATATTTGCCCCCAAAATCAAACTTTCGTAGAGAACTCTTTTAACTTAATAGAATGTTAACATCTATTTTCATATTTTGTTTGATGAAATTTTGAGGCATGTTCTTTCGCCCTGGGATTTTGTATGTTTATAATTTTTGGTTTAGTTGTTTTTTGAATCATGTTGATAATGCTTGATTGGTGAAAGGCAAAAACAAAGGTCAAGGTCATATTAATGCAGAGGTGAAACGTTAGATGAAAGATTTCAGAACACCCTATTTCAAGTTTTTCTTGAACACAACTTTCTTTCCATTAACAAAGGGTTTGGTATTCAATAATTCCTGATTTAACGGTGGAGGATACTATTTCATATTTTTTAAATAGTATTAATTTATTGTTTCCACAAAATGGTCATGTTGTACTTTCAGTAATTATAATTTATCATCTTGGTATTTTATTTGACAACTCAATTATACTCTCTCTATGAATCTGACAAATTTGTTATGAATTGACATTGACATTCTTGATCATATGATTTTGATGACATAATTATGTGCTTGATAAATAAATGATAATTTAAAGAGTATTTTTTTCATTAATCACAACCATTCATTTCCTTGATTTTTTGGACCTAGCTTCCATCAGTCAGCCTTTAAAATAACCAGTAGCTACCTATTAGGCTCTATCCTGTGTAAGATATTGATAAAAAAAAAATTCAACATTAAAGTTAAATTCAATTTGATTTCATTTTCTAGAATCTTAACTCAAGCTATAATAATATTATTTTTTTGGAAAGAAATGTTTTTGAAATATTGTTATGGAATATGGAAATATGTTCCTTTTATTAGCTACTTGTGATGTAAAATATTTTAAATATTCTTAACAGTTTTTCAAATTGAATGTTATTTATAATTAAATGAGAAGTTATAGTGAAAGTTTGATGGTGTTAAAAAATTCTGAATAAGTAAAATAAAAATAGACTATGTATATAATCACATGTTTATTAAACATGGATAATAGCTATTATTTGATTTTGTACTGTTTAAGTTTATACATTTTTTATGCTTCAGATTGACTTTATTTGAAATGTTCCTGGTTCAAATTACCAAAAATGGCCCACAACTTTACAACATTTATGCATGGCTTTAGTAATATAATTGTTTTGCCTAATAACCATAATACTGTAACATTAAAAATTAAGTATGAAATCGAAAATTGTGCCCCTGTATAGCTTTTTTCAACAGTCTCTCAAGTTTGATATTCATGAGAAGAAATATTATTTAATTAAATAAATAGATAAATATTGATATTATTGACTTATATATGAGAAAACTATAGACAAATTTGACATTCTAACCATGGTGCTGACAGAGCACTCTTCTATATAAAAAGATGTTTCTTACTGAGGCTTTAATTGACATGATTTTGTTGATATTAAACCTTGTAACCCATGATATATATTGCTTTTAATTTAAAAAAGAAAAAAAAGTGAAAAGGGCGAGGGAAAATATTTTAACATTAACTTAATCGGTGAAAGTCTTGTGGTTCACAGATAATTAGATTTTTCTTATGGTTTATGGGAAATACAGCCATATTAACATAATAAACACACCAGTATTACACTATATATTTTATACTAGGTTGAGAGAAAAAAATATTTCAACAGTAAATGAATTAGATTAATTGATATGAGACTATCTACTCTGAGAAGTTTTAGCTGAAGGTGATAGACTTCTTTCAAATGAAAATCATATTTATCCTCAAAAAATGTGCCTTAATTGAATAAGAAATTAGAAAGAACTCTTTCTGAATTTAATTGCCAAAGAATATAGACATTAATTGAACAAGAAATTAGAATTAGGAAGGGAAGTCTTAAATTTAATTGCCAAAGAATATAGTTACACAGTCAGATAAAAAAAAAAAAACAATAATAAGTATGGGGTCATGATAGTTGTAATGAGAGTTTATATGTAGAAGTAGTTGAACATTGAGAGGACTTGTTTCAGTAGATAATAAGCTTTGCTCCTTGTCTAGGTGAAATCTCTACAGAAAGACCTGCTAAAGCGCTATCAGGAACTCAAAGCATGGACCACAGGTTTTCTATAACAACCAATCTCTTAGACATTCTGTGCTTGCTTTCTACCAATCATTAATCATCAGTGCTTGCTTTGAATATGTTCAAACCTCGTTAACAGAATTATTTATCAGAATATAAAACATGATTTGATTTAACAATAGATTTTTTTTATGTTTTCATTACTCTGTATATTCTGTAATGTGTAGGTGTCATTTATATGTTTTAATAACTCACAATACCCTTTTTTATGTCATTTTAAAGAAAATCACGAAGTTTTTAATTAATTTAAATAGATATTTTGAATGTAAGATATTTTCTAACCAAACATTTGCACACACTGTCCTTTGCACAGTACAATGGTATTATAGGCTCTTTGGACTCTTAAGTTAAAAATTAACTAGTATACTTTACAGTTACACATTTGAGGTTGAGTTATGAGATGTAGAAAACTGGTATAGTGTAAACAAATATTTTCCTTTCATAGCATGATTAAATTATAACACTTTTTTCCATCTTTTTATTGGCTAGTCTAGATTAAATTTTGTAATATATAATCAAAGTTATTTATACATATAACTTGTAATTCTATCACTGCATTCTTCTGCTCAATATAATGCATATATTTTATATTTATAACATTTTTGAAGTATTTAGAAAGTGTTACAGTACATTCTGCAATTTTTATCAAGTCTTATTGTATAAATATCATAACTTAATATTAGATTTATTTAAAAAAAATGCAAATATATAAATATTTTAAACATTATTTGAAGAATATTGCATATTGCCATTTTAATAACAAATCAATTTGAAAAATTTTAAATAAAATATTTTCAGAACATATTTTTATGTCATATTATATATGGCAGAATTATTATGACTGAATATACAGATAAGTTCATAACAAGTATCAAAAGCTTTAGTTTAATTTATAGTCCTGAATTTCATTATGAGGACAATCATATAGGATAGTCAGAATGCACTATGATACTTTTTTAAAGTACATTGTATAGTGTAAAGTCCCATTACTAGTATTTTGATGATCTCCATAGGCCTAACTAAATTGCCAGTTAAAAGTATCATTGTAATTAACACAAGAAAACCCTTATTTTAAACAGGACAAGCTTTTCGGGGGCTGCTTCATATAAGCATTATTTTACCACCCATCTCTAAATTCTGACCGTTTGGTAAGAGATATGTGTGTAAATTCAATGGCTAGATTTGGTTTTATCTTGTATATTTTGTTGAATATATTAGGCTAAGAGGCTGCTGTTATTGTTACTTTCATGTTTAAAACCTATACTTAAAATTATAATTTTGAATTCATCCATCAAATTCAATTTATATCCTGGGGTTATAAGGTACCTTCCTTTTTGTTTGATTTGCAATGTATTTAGCTTAGTTTTAAGGAAGAAAAACATAAAAAGCCAAATGAGCTCTTAGAAATATATATTAGGCAGTTTTGTTTGGCAATTTTCATAGCACTTTCAACTTTTGCTGTATGATCACATTGAAGATACCAAACTTAACAACTGGTTCATGAAATATTCAACAAATTTCATTCTATAGTACAGATAGATTTAAAATATCATATATTATAATTAAATTGAATTTGAGAAAAACAAGACATTTTGTAAGACGATGCTTATGGAAAGATTTAATAATCTAACACTCGGAAACCTTGATAAGAAATTTTAAAATATTTTGACATTTGAAGTATATATTCTAGTCCTTCAGATAAATTTATATGATTTTTAGCATTCAGGACTCAAGGCCTTAATGCTTAATTCCAGGACTGATGTATAGACAGAAAACTAATTCATTTCATAAGGTACTCCACATTGATTTGCAGACGTGGAAAGTTTCACAAAGTTTTCACATTAATTACAAAGCACTTTCAAAAGCTGAACACTTATAGGGGATACAAGAGAAAATTGATGTACCAGCCATTTTTCTTTCCATAGTTGTGTCAAAAATACTTCATGAAAAGTAAATAATTTCCTCTCTGACTCTCAATTTTAGCAATCAAATAAAAATTTTTAATAAATAAAAAAAAAAATTCCAAAATAAAGTTCATATATACAGGCCAGCCATTAAAAGCAATATGTTTTAAACTTAGGTATAGTAACATTTCTATAACACCCTATGACGTAATTTTTAATATTTCAAATGTATTATGGTTAAATTTTGATATTAGAGTGCATGTTTTACTTATTATATATACAATGCATTGTTGCAACCACTATTGAAATAACGATCACTATTGAAATAATTATATCAATAGTGGTTGAGAGTGCATTTCAATAGCAAACATAGTAAGTAACCACTATTGAAATACGACCACTATTGAAATAATTATATCAATAGTGGTTGAGAGTACATTTCAATAGCAAACATAGTTCGTAACCACTATTGAAATACGATCACTATTGAAATAAATATATCAGTAGTGGTTGAGAGTGCATTTCAATATCAAACATAGTTGGTAACCACTTTTGAAATACGACCACTATTGAAATAATTATTTCAATAGTGGTTGAGAGTGCATTTCAATAGCAAACATAGTTGGTAACCACTATTGAAATACGAGCACTATTGAAATAATTGAAATAATTATTTCAATAGCGGTTGAGAGTGCATTTCAATAACAGACATAATTAGCAATCACTATTGAAATACGAGAACTACTGAAATAATTATATCAGTAGTGGTTGAGAGTGCATTTCAATAACAAACAAAGTAAGTAACCAATATTGAAATAACTATTTCAATAGTGGGTGAGACTGCATTTCTATATAATAACCATATGTTTCAACCACTATTGAAATACGAGCACTACTGATATAATTATTTAATAGTGAGTGAGAGTGCATTTCTATATGGTAAACATAGGTTTCAACCACTATTGAAAAACTACCAGTATTATAAGAAAAGTTTCACAACGTAAGTAACTTTTGAAATAATTTTTTCAATATATATTGGATTCATTGTTCAAAGCACTATTGAAATCAATAATTTTATCCACATTGAAATCATTATACCAAAAGTGAACATTATTTCAATAGTGGTTGCAACCTGTGTTTGTTATTGAAATGAATCTCATCCACTATTGAAATAATTATTTCAATAGAAGTCGTATTTCAAAAGTGGTTACTATCTATGTTTGTTATTGAAATGCACTCTCACCAACCATTGAAATATTTATTTCAATAGTGGTCGTATTTCAATAGTGGTTATTACCTATGTTTGTTATTGAAATGCACTCTCAACCACTATTGATATAATTATTTCAATAGTGGTCGTATTTCAATAGGGGTTATTACCTATGTTTGTTATTGAAATAAACTCTCAACCACTATTGATATAATTATTTCAATAGTGGTTGTATTTCAATAGTGGTTACTAACTATGTTTGCTATTGAAATGCACTCTCAACCACTATTGATATAATTATTTCAATAGTGGTCGTTATTTCAATAGTGGTTGCAACAATGCATTAAGGTAAAATGTAGAGTAAAAAAATGTATCTTAAAGAAAATTTTCTGTTAGATTATGATAGCGTATTTAAATAGCACTGAAGACTTTATGTTAAGTTAGCTTTATATTGCAGATTCGCAGCTTTCCAGAAAGTTTCCTCATGCATTTGGTAAAAAAAAAACATAAGTGTTTTAGAAAGACGTTTAGAGAAAAGAGATTGCATGGGCAGTTTTAGACAACTGGATGAGAATCAGCATGCGTTCTCAAGATGCATTTTTTCCAGCTTCCAAATTTTCTTTGCGTCAGTCTTTTCCATCTTCTTGTTAATTAGATTTTCAGTGTCTTTCAAACACCTTTCTATATATATATATATATATATATATATATATATATATATATATATATATATATATATATATATATATATATATATATATATATTGTATATATATATATATTATGAGTGACCATGCCGATAAGCTTAAGCAATAAATCATTATTTTAAAGGGAACATGGTTTTGGAACGTTACTTCATGAATCCTAAAGCAACCCACAATATCCCCATAAAATGCTTCTTTCAATTTTTAGAGTGAATGTTAGAGATTAAGGAGAGTATTTAAATGAATTAAAACCTCGCTCGAGTCTACACCGAGTCTACATTTGACAATATTTTGACTTTCTAAGAAATTGCTGCTTTATACCAGTAATTTCACATGATACGGGAAGTTTTCCCAGAGAAGAAACATTTATTAAGGAAAACAAAAGTATAGATTTATTCCAAAAAGTTTCAATTAAAAACCCAAACAAAATATCATAAGCTGTTTATGTTCTAAAAAAAATAAGTAGCTACTACATGTATGCTTGTCTTCCAGTTAATTGCTTTATCTGTAATATATATATATATATATATATATATATATATAATTATATAAAGCTAAACAGTGTTGTGTAGTTCACGGTCAGGGAAGAGCTTGGTAGAGTATACAACGTATTATTCAATAGTGTGTTAATATGGAAACGGGGGAAAATAATAAGCCATACAGCATGGTTACAATGTCCATTGCATGAATGAAAGAAATTAGTTCATGTATATGTAGAAACTGTATCTTTCTATCCTGGAGTCTTCTTTCTTAAGATTTTTTTTAAAAAGTAAAAATATTGACTTCTCAAACTAAACATATTCAATTTTATTTCAAAATAAATAATAATATTTCCTGGATTTGTTTTATAATAAACGTTGTCAAATAAAAATTTTAAAGATTTTTTTAAAATTAAAATCATCGTAAAATGAGAAATGTAAGTTGAAATAAGGAACGATGATTGAAATGTTGATGTATTACTGACTGAAGTTGTATTGACACCTGAACAGGTAGAAGTTCTAATACTTCCACTAGAGATTTATTGCAATTCCATAGTCTGGCCAGTAAGTTATATTCTACAGGTAGAAAATAGCTAATTTTATTGTAATAAATTGTTAAATACATGCCTTAAGTACATGCCTTTGTTCTTTTTCATTTTTTTTTCATGCTACGTTTAAACACAATCATTTACAATTATGGGAAAACGCATTTTAAAAATTCTTTCTTACACTAAAACACTTAGTTTAGATTCTTTCGTATACATTTACTAAAAATAGTTTATGACAAAATTATTTAAGCTTTATATTAGAATTAGATTTCTTTTTCACAAATTGTGACGATTGTTTGAAAATTCACATTGTTGAAATAAAACCACATGACCATTTTGTACGTTTTTTGAAGTGTGTTTGCCGTGGATTTTTCCCTTTGTTTAGTTGAATATCCAGTAAAGATGAAGTGATTTTCAAATAAAATGTTATGTTTTTCGATTGTAAAACAATAGTGTGTATATTTCTTTAGGCTGAGGACCTGCACAAGGAATTGATGTCCACAAGGAAGAATCTAGAGTACCGGTTTAAGGCGTTCACAGGAGATCTTAGTTCTGGTCAGATATACAGAAGAAATCGTGTCCCAAAAATCTAGTCATTATTGTCCAACGATTACCAGTGTAGAATTCAAAACTCAAGCATAGTGATGGAAAGTGCTTAAATGCGAAATTACCATTGTATGTGAAGACTCTGGCCAATAAAGTTGACACTGCAGTTGTTCTATGAAAGGTGCTAACGTAAAATTGCTAATTTTAAATAAATTTTTATCCTTATGAATATGGACAAATTTACACCATTTATAGATATTCACTAGTTACTGACGTTCTGTATTCAACTGTATATCTTTTGATTGTTTTCTATGCAATGATTAACAAAAAATCTGAATATTAGATTATTACTGAGGACAGATGGTTCGATATAATTGTTTCTAAGTGAGTATTTCCATGTTTTTCTTGGCATTGATACATTTCAGGTTACCTAAAAATGCACACCCATAATGCCTGCAATTGCAGCTTGGGACCTATTTATTTTGAAATTGATGAACTTATATAAACTGTATATGTATTTACTTTTATTTGATCAACATATATTTCAATCCGTCCACATTACATATATAAACATGGTGTTTTGTTTTAAGTGTTAAATAAAATTTTGTCGAACAAAATCAATCTCCTGTGTTGAGTTGTCTGTCGTGCCTCCTCTGTCAGACTTAGTATCAGCCGATGGTGGAGACTGAAACAAAACGTCAAGTTTATATAATGAGCACTTCCTGAAGCAGAAAATGTTAAAACGCCATTATATTCTGAAATATTATAAATACCAGACCTATTGTAGTATGAATATCCCTATTTTCAAAGGGATTCTTACATTATGAATATTTTCTCGGAAATTCCCTCTTTTTATTTTGAACTTGAAGATTAAGAATATCGATAATTTCAAATGAAAACAATTCTTCAAATTGACAAAAGTCGTACAAAATTTAGAATTAAAAAAGCACATGTACAGAAGAAATCGTCTTCCAAATATCTGGTCATTATTATCCCACATTGACAGCAAGGAATTAGAAACTGAAATGTAGTGTTGAAAAGTGTTAATTTTCAATGGGTAACCATTATGCGTGAAGACTCTGCCAATACTGCAGAAGTTCTTTGTAAGGTACTTATGGTAAACATTGCTAAGAAAATCAAATTTCTTACTGACTCCATGTATCAACATTATAAACTATTTATATGCTAGTTATACCCTCCGCTTGAAAAGCGGGAGGGTATATAGTAATCTGTATGTCCGTCCATCCGTCAGTTCGTCCGTCCGCCTGTCTGTTACGCTTGGGGTACTCATCTCTTATCCGCAACTCATCTCATACCACTGAATGAAATTTGACAGAATTTCACATAATCTTTATTACATATTGTCTTTGTGCACATCCTTTTTTACTTTTTGATCTGACACATATTTTTGGTTTCCTACAACAAAGCATGGACACTGACATTTTATTCATATGGGAGGAGAGGGGTATCATTTAGTGAGCTCACTGCTCACAGTACCTCTAGTTTGTTCTGAAATTCAACTTATATCATTTGCTTGGTTTCTGGAGTATTTGTTTTTCATTGAAGTCTCGATATTTTAGTGACTTTGATGATGCATTGTTAGATAATTAAAGAGACAGATGTTTACCTGCTACCGCTACATGAATAATCACCAGTGTTTTTCAAACTTCATAAACTAATATTGTTGGGATATATAATATTTTTACTTTTATTTGTTTGTTTAATCAACTTAAATTCCATGCCGTCCATGCCACTTTACATGTGTAAACATGGATTTTTGTTTTTTACTTTAAATACAATTTTGTCCTCCCAAAAAATAAATCGATCGCCATATTTTGGTTGTCAATCGTGGTTCCTTTCTCAGCAGACGGGGATGTACCCGCCGATGCGTAATGGAGAGCGAATGATAATCAGTTTCGAAGTCTTTTGAAATAAAGAAAAGATATAAACATGTCATCATTACTCTTTGTTAATACTTTTAAATGTGCAATACACAATCTAACTTCATTAACCTAAAGAACTAAATCGAGCTGCTGCTTTTATGGCTTTAAATGAAAACTTTTCAAAAGAATAAAGATAAACACAGCGTTAGATTTTGTCTAACGTTGGACTGCACAAATCAATGTGTTTTTTTTTTGGCATATATTTTTTAAGCTCAACGGCGAGTCTTAGTTTACCTCTCGCATGTCTCTCTTTAATATTCATTATTGCAAGTTTGCCAAAAAAGCATCTTGTTTTGTGATATTTTAATTAAATTATTACCTTGTCCAATTTTTTTCTTCGTTTTGGTCATTTTGCATAGATCTAAAAATTAATATCTATATATTTACATCCACTGAAAATTTTGTCCTTTATTTCTTAAGAAAACACATTGTGTTAATCACTGCATGAACTACATAAAGCATGTCGCCTGTACAAATTTCTTGATTAGTGGTTGTTCCATCAATGAAACGTATAAAGACGTTCGCACAATTAATGCAGTAATTAATCTTTTAATCCTACTTTAAATGATTATATAAACAGATATAAATATAAACAATAAAATGTCATTCTTTGTTTGTAATGGTTGCAGCTATTGCAGAAAAAAATTACATAACCCGCTTATGCGGGTTATGTATTTTTTCTGCAGCAGCTGCTTCCGTTAATTCCAGTAATAACAATCAAAGGAAGCATTTTATTGTTTTTAAAAGTAAAACTTAATATCAGCATGGGTACATTGTTGTCATACATGTGGCGATAGAGACGAGGTCCGATGGCTATGTAGTGTTTATTTTTTTTAAAAAAAGGGGGGGGGGGACGTAATGAATGTTTAAAGACAAAAGTCAAAATATAGATACACATGCAACTATATAGGTATAAGTATATCATTTTTTTTAATTCTATTATTAAATGTTATTAAATAGATCACTTGGCGACACAATTTATTTTCGCGCGGTAGTCATTGACTCTTGATAAGCAAGACAAAATTTTCACGAATTGTAGCTATTGCTTTTTATAATCCTAAGGAATACCCAAGAATTAAATTTTTGCGAACATATTGCATATTGAGCATATAGTCATGATTTGAATTTTTACCTCGACCAAGTGTTTTGACTGTTCATCATTTACATGCACATTTATCATCGATGGAAAGGACAAATACTGCATCTCCAAAAATGACATACGGATTATTTGCGCATGGATTTGTACCATATGACTATACTTGCCATAATGTTTAGTATTTAATTGCGCCAATGTTTTTCCTCTATTAAGACAATCAAAATAAAAATAAAAATAGAATTGTCAGGTTCTGAAAATCAGGCAATGAGTAATTGAAAATGCTCACAAAGATGTCTTTAAATTCTCAAAGTAAAATGTATTTACCCACGGTGTTTCTTTAAACTTCATCTTTAAATTTAATCATATTATATAGGGAAAATTAGTAAATCTCAAATAATTTTTCAGGAAATGCAATTAGAACTACCTAATGGATATTTTCTAATTGATCATTGATCAAGAAATACATTTTAGGAATAAAAATCATAGGTATCCAGACTTTTAAAGAAAATTATATGATTTTTATACTTATTCGGTACTTCACTTTCTCCTTCTTACTTCCATCGTTTCATAATGCATATTGTATGAAGTGTTTCCTTTCAAAGAGAACACCGTAAATAACGTCTAATCTCTAATCATGCTTATAAACATTGGTAACTAAGGCTAAATTAAAAGAACTTTAATTTTGTTAAATATGCAAGTTTTACTTAGTTTTATGATCGAGGTACAAATGTCAACTTTTAAAATACTGTTTGTTAAAACTTTAAAGAACATTGAATCATACATAGGGCATAAAATGAAAATTGTTGCAAGAAAAAATTTCAATTTCAAGCTTTATTTTAAGTCTTTTTGAATTAAATTATAAATTAAAGAGTTATCCTTCCTGGCTGAGGATCGGATATCCTGAACGTCCTTGTTTCGAATCCTGCTGTGGGACGTGGAGATCGGTGCTTCGGACAAATCCGTTTAAACCGAGGCACGGTGTTGCAGTAGGTGGTGGCACAAATAGGATCCCTCCCTGCTCAATGGCCACGAGTGCGGAGTATAGGACTATATTTGCAGCTCTCCTGCGGCTGGTGGTGGAGTCTCCATATGAGAGGGGGGAACTCATCAGTCAATTGTTCTTGGAGCTGTACAGTCCAATTAAGATACTGTGTAAAATTAAATTTACAAAAATGTAATAATAACTTAATAATGTTTCTTTAAAAAATAAAACATAAGGAACACTCTTCATATTCAAACCAACAATGTACATATCTTTATTATTTTCATTATGTCCTTCAGAAAATCGACACGAGAGAGTAAATTTGAAACTTTGTGGGCTTTGTTATTTATTAATCTTATCCATGGTAAGGTATATTAAGTGCAATTTATATAATATTATTTTTTTTTAAATATATAAATGTTCCTTTATAATCTACAGATAAAAAAAGACGAAGATGATGCACTCTTGAAAGAAAATTTATCTTAGTGCCATCAAATTCGTTTAGAACATTAGATACTTATTGCACACTGATTGCATCGCGATACTAAAAATCAGTGTTTGAAATCAGCGTGCGTTCGATTACAAAAGAGTATACGTGGTATATACAATTCGTGTATAAATAAATTTCTTTACGGAAAGTGAATGACACGTCTTCTATATCTGAAAAAAGAAAGAAGAAAAAATGATTTAAAATGGAATAATTTCTTAAAACGAGTATATTAATTTATGCTTTTTAAGTAATAAATGTTAGAAAAAGTTATAAAAAGATGTGGCAATGTTCATATTATTTTTGTTTATACTTTCCTTACTTTTAAGAACCCCTTGGGGAAAAAAAAGCTTTTTAAAGCCTCCAAGACACTTTATCCCTTTCTTATGGTAAGGTCCGTGTTTGCTCTGCTCCCGATTAATTGTATTATTCGATAGTGTATATAAATTTCTCTCTCCATATATTTTATTTTACGGGTTATACTTAGGAATGTGTTGTATCTGTACTTTTGAAGTAAGAATTTTCTAAGCCTAAATTATTTAATAAAAATGCGACACATACAAGCTCAGACACCTGATGTTGCTTATTTTTGTAGTAAAAAACATTGGGGATATATGTTTTTTTCTTTCAAGAAAAATATGCAACGTCAGTGTTCAATTATCGCTCCTTTTAGCTTGTCTACGAAGGAAACATCAAATGCTAACCTTGATCTCTAGGTACTCCCTCAACACATAGACCTATTCAATAGAGCGAACGCTCGCGAAAAGTTCTGTTGAATGTAGGCCTATAAGGAATTTTTTGCGAGCTCTCGCGAACGTTTGCTCTGTTAATCAGGCCTTGCCAAGTTTTTCTTCCGGAATTTTGTGGATAATCAGGAAGAATCCGCAATAATTATAATCGAAAATTATTTCTTGAATATACTAGTATATTTAAATATTTTATGTATTTGCAAGTTTTGATGTGTGGTGCCTATGTCACCTAACCTGCTTTATAATCTATATTGCTTAAAAATAACTGCTTGTTTGAAAAAGGATTCGAAAAAAGTTTACGAATACCATCTTTAAAAATTTACGCATTCCAATTTAGTAGAGCTAAGTTTCAGTTCTC